AAACAAATACACTCTGTTCCAAAAGTATATGCCCACCTATATTTTTAGCCTTATCTATGTGATTTCGCTAAAGATTTTTCTTAAAGTTTTTTATTATTAAATACCATGACATCTACATAGAAACAAAATACAAAAAAATTCAGAAATATATGTTTTTATTTTTTGTATAGAGATCAAAATCTAAATATTGAGTGTTCCAAAAGTATATGCCCACCTTTGTTTTATAGGTTTTTAATAGTTGATAAAGCTAAATACCGTATTTATTCTAATAGAGTGGCCGCCACTCTATTTTTCGATACCCCCAAAAAGGGGCCATTCTATTGGAGGGGCCATTCTAATGGAGGTGGCCATTCTATTTTTCATAGGTAAAAATCAGAGATAGGATGAATCAAATGTTCGATCGAATATTTTTTGACTTCGAAATTTAATCGATTTTTCGTGTAAAATTCTATATTTTCGACTTTGGTTAGTTAATCTTTCTTTTCGTAACACTATAAAACATAAAAATCTTTTGCCTGCTGGGCAAAAAGGCAACTTTTTATTTACTTTGGTGCCAGACAATCAAAATTTCCGGTATAGTTTGCTCATAAAAGTTCGTGGGATCTCGGAATTTGGACGTAATATATGGAAATTGGGAGAGATTTGGAGGGATATTGATTAGTAATTAAAATTCTAAACTACCAAAAATTCCAAAATTTTCGTATGTCTTCAAGGGTCCTGAAATATCCAGAATTTTATCCCAAATCTCAATCAATCCATCATTATTCCTCAAAATCCTATGTCCCTGCAAGTCCCCTGATAAAATAAATGTATCCAACTAAGGTTGTCGGATAGTGGGAAATCTTCGGATATCCGGATCCAATATCAGAACCGGATCCGACAACCTTATATCCAACTTCCTTATATCGTCAAATTCATAAATATCTATTAATTCTCTTAATCCCATGCATCTTCATTAAATCGTTGTAATTTCTTGATATCCCTCCTAATCCTCTCAGATCCCCTAATATCCCTCTTAATCTCCCTTTTATGACTCCAGATTTGCTCGAAAATATTATGATTATCCTTACTAAAGAGTAATATTTAATACATAATAGGAAAATAAAGAAATGTATTCAGGCATATACTTATTAGTTAAAAGGGCCATTCTATTAGAGGGCCATTCTAATGGAGGTGGCCATTCTATTTTTCGATACCCCCAAAAAGGGGCCATTCTATTGGAGGGGCCATTCTAATGGAGGGGCCATTTTATTAGAATAAATACGGTATATACCTAGGTAGGCATATTGGAACAGAGTGTAAATCTTCTAAAAAATATTAGAAAATTAAATACAAAGCTTTTATTTTTAAGCCATAGTTCTATTTGTGAGCCACCAGCTCTTATTTTTGGCAAAATTGTTGGAATATTGAATATAAAAATTTGAGATACGAGAAAATCTTGTTGGCTTAGAATTTTATTTAATTTTAGTTTTTTTTTTTAAATTATCAGCTAAACAAATATACCGTATTTATTCTAATAGAGTGGCCGCCACTCTATTTTTCGATACCCCCAAAAAGGGGCCATTCTATTGGAGGGGCCATTCTAATGGAGGTGGCCATTCTATTTTTCATAGGTAAAAATCAGAGATAGGATGAATCAAATGTTCGATCGAATATTTTTTGACTTCGAAATTTAATCGATTTTTCGTGTAAAATTCTATATTTTCGACTTTGGTTAGTTAATCTTTCTTTTCGTAACACTATAAAACATAAAAATCTTTTGCCTGCTGGGCAAAAAGGCAACTTTTTATTTACTTTGGTGCCAGACAATCAAAATTTCCGGTATAGTTTGCTCATAAAAGTTCGTGGGATCTCGGAATTTGGACGTAATATATGGAAATTGGGAGAGATTTGGAGGGATATTGATTAGTAATTAAAATTCTAAACTACCAAAAATTCCAAAATTTTCGTATGTCTTCAAGGGTCCTGAAATATCCAGAATTTTATCCCAAATCTCAATCAATCCATCATTATTCCTCAAAATCCTATGTCCCTGCAAGTCCCCTGATAAAATAAATGTATCCAACTAAGGTTGTCGGATAGTGGGAAATCTTCGGATATCCGGATCCAATATCAGAACCGGATCCGACAACCTTATATCCAACTTCCTTATATCGTCAAATTCATAAATATCTATTAATTCTCTTAATCCCATGCATCTTCATTAAATCGTTGTAATTTCTTGATATCCCTCCTAATCCTCTCAGATCCCCTAATATCCCTCTTAATCTCCCTTTTATGACTCCAGATTTGCTCGAAAATATTATGATTATCCTTACTAAAGAGTAATATTTAATACATAATAGGAAAATAAAGAAATGTATTCAGGCATATACTTATTAGTTAAAAGGGCCATTCTATTAGAGGGCCATTCTAATGGAGGTGGCCATTCTATTTTTCGATACCCCCAAAAAGGGGCCATTCTATTGGAGGGGCCATTCTAATGGAGGGGCCATTTTATTAGAATAAATACGGTATTTTCTAACAAAGTAGAATGAGATATTTTAATGTTAAATTTTATTATCTTTGATGGGCAAGTTTTATAATCTAAAATGGTTTGAAAGTTATACAATCTGTTCCAAAAGTATATGCCCACCTATATCTTTAGCTTAATCCACGTGATATCGTTTAGATTTTTCTTAAATTTTTTATGATTAAATACCATGGCATTTAGAAATAAAATACAAAAAAAATTCAAAAATATATGTCTTTCTTTATTGTAAAAAGATCAAAATCTAAATTTGAGTGTTCCAAAAGTATATGCCCACCTTTGTTTTATAGGTTTTTAATAGTGTACGGGATTGTCCCATGTTGACCTCTATCCACAAACCCCTTTAATAACACCCAAAATAAGAAAAGAGGAAAAACTTTTTTAAAGGTTTAGAATAATATGTATTTGTCGGTTAATTCTGATCCAATTTCCAAAACTTAAAATGATTCTGAAAGTTCAATTTTTCTCTTTCGATCATATAAAATTTATATTTTAATCTTACATTTTATAGGTAAAATTAATTTTTGAAAAGTTAACTTCCGTTAAAGCGTGAAGAATTTATATAAGTAAATAGTTCCCTCCAAATTCCCAAATCTCTCGATATTCTCTTAATTTCTAAAAATCCTTGATTAATCTCCCTTGAGTCATTCATCTTGATCCAACCTAATCCTTAATATTCCGGCCCCAACCCTATTTTAGTCTCAGATTAATTTTCCTTTTTTACTGTCATTCATTTATTTCCCTCAAACATTATAGGAAAACACAATTTATTAGGAAGGAAAAAATAGACCGGAACGGCAAAAATCAACTTTATAAAGGAGATTTGACCATTTCGAGGCAGAAAAAATGGAAGGCAAATTAAACAGAGACTCAGATGGAGGTGGATGACGGTATATTAATAATGTAAGGATGATTCACCCAGCAGCATTTAAAACGCTTAGGCGGGGGATAAACGATCTAAAAAGGAAAAAGAGAAAGCATTAGTCGATGCCCCGGTAGCTCAGAGGTAGAGCTCCTGCATATAGTGAGCGAAAGCGCCTAGCAACAACTAGCAGGTGGTCGCAGGTTCGAATCCTGCCCGGTGGCTAAACTTTTGCAAACTCTTTCTATAAAGTACCTCCTTTCAATTTCACCCACATCTTAGTTCCTTCAAATCCATTGATATCCTTTGTCTAAATTAATTCGAAATGCGACTTTTTGTGATATTTCGATTAGTTTATTTCAAAGATTTATGTATTTACAAATAAGGTTGTCGGATAGTTGGAAATCTTCGGATATCCGGATCCGGATCCGGTATCCGAACCGAAAATTTCGGATATCCGGATCCGGATCCGATATCCGAACCGAAAATTTCGGATATCCGGATCCGATATCCGAACCGAAAATTTCGGATGTCCGGATCCGGAACCGAAATTTTTATTTTCAAAATTTTCGCCTGCGGCGCTGTAAAGTCGAGTCTCTATGGATGATATAGAGGGATTAAAATCAATTATAAATGGATTTGGGGAATTAACAGAGGTATTGAGGGAATTTAGGATTAACAGAGTTATCGATGTGAGGAATGAGTTATTTGAAGAATTACTAGAGACATCGGGTATTTTCTTACATTTAAGATTGGTGGATTGAGGGCTAGGGTTTGGGAATTACGAGAGATATTGAAGGATTTATTGATTAATCCCCTATATCCCCTTTAATTCCAATATCCTTCAAGGGCGTATCCAGGGGTTAGCTTCGGATGGGGGGGGGGCATGTGAGTTTTTACAACTGTTTACAACACATTCTCTTTTAGCGCCGCAGGCGAAAATTTTGGGAATTTTGGAAGGCCAAGAAGCCAGATTTCTCCCATTATCAGCGCCGCAGGCGAAAATTTTTGAAATTTGGAAGGCCAAGAAGCCAGATTTCTCCCATTATCAGCGCCGCAGGCGAAAATTTTTGAAATTTGGAAGGCCAAAGGGCTAGAATTTCTTCCATTTTTCCAATTCTAGGATCCGAACCGAAATTTTCGGATATCCGGATCCGGATCCGATATCCGAACCGAAAATTTCGGATATCCGGATCCGATATCCGAACCGAAAATTTCGGATATCCGGATCCGATATCCGAACCGAAAATTTCGGATATCCGGATCCGGTATCCGAACCGAAAATTTCCGGATATCCGGCCTTTTTTCGGATCCGGATATCCGGATCCGACAACCTTATTTACAAACTCATAAAAATAATTCTTATTTCCATTTTATTCATAAAAATAAAAACTAGACGATTTTAATACATAACAAAGTTTTTACAAAACTATAATATATTTCGCAAAAATTCGATCTTTCGGTAATGCAGAATTGGGGAGACACCTCATAAACTATTATTTTTTCTTCTAAAAATCATTTTATATAGGTAATTGACAATGCTTTTATATCTCCCCCACTGCATTATTGCCGAAATCTTCTACTAATTTGAAATTCCTATATGTAGAATTAAATTTTCTTCAATTTTGCTGCTCTATTTTCAAAAGATTGCCCTTTTGATTTCATTGCATCAACGGGAGATTTATTAAAAAGAGAAAAGGGTTTTGGAGGATTCTTCTCTCTTTTCACTGGTGGAATTGGTTGTAATTGACTAAGCATCTAAAAAAGAAAATCCATAAAGAATTAAAAATTTTCGCTTTACCGCCATGTGATTTACCATGGTCCCTCTTCCAAAGATCTGGCGTTGTCTGTGCCTTGAAGAAAATTTCTTTTTTCGAACATCTCCATAACCTTTTTGGGGTTGACCACTGGCTTGGGCAGTTCCTGTTGGTTGAACAGCAACTGGTTGGACAGCAACACTACCTCCAGCAGAGGTCTGTTGAGGGCTAGTTTGATAACAACCACCTGAATTGCCGCAGGAACAACATTGCTTGCTTTCTCCAGCAGCTACTTGTGTGGCTGCTGGTTGATATCCAGTAGTTTGGGCTAAATTAAAGTTTTCATTTAATAATTTTTACAAAAATCGTTTCTAACTTCCCGTTTGTCCACTACCATAACTGCTGCCACTGGTTGGAGATCCTCCAGTGCCCAAACTGCCACTTGCTGTGTCTGTTCCCGTACCTCCTGTACTGCCACTATAACCACCTTCAGATCCCCCACTACTTCCCCCATTTGTTCCTCCTGTGCCTTCTTCTCCCCCAGTGGTCCCTCCAGTTTCACCCCCTCCTGTACCTCCAGTGCTTCCACCCAATCCACTCCCAGAAACTGTTCCTCCAGAACTTTCACCTCCTCCATAATTACTTCCTCCTGTTGTTCCCCCAGTACCTCCTGCTGAACATCCACCTGATCCACAACCACTTGTTCCTCCTCCAACATTACCGCCACCATTTCCAGTCGTCCCTCCATAAGATTGTCCACCGGTAGTCTGAGGAATTACTCCTCTAAAAATTTTTTAAGAATTTTCTTGAAAGAATTCTCCTTTAAAATTCTACCCGCTTTGTGGAATATATCCTTGTCCAGACGGATATCCACTTCCTCCTACTCCACCACCGGCTGGTTGCACAACAACTTGTTGAGGTACATATTGTTGCTGTTGTGGCACGTATAATTGTTGTGTCTGTTGAGGTACATAACCCCCATATCCTCCTGTAAATCCATATCCAGTTCCATATCCATATCCTCCACAAATATTGCAACCACTATATTGTTGAGGAGGAACAAAACAATATTCAATACAATTGGAAGTTGAAAAATCGAAAAGGGACAAAAGAGATAGGAAAAGTAAGAAGAAAGAGGTTATTGAAATCATCTAGTACAAAATTAAATAATTTAGCTTATTAAATTTTGAACTGTGTTTGTATTTCAACAGGGATTTTATAATAAATTTCAATTTATTCAGAATTAAATAGTTTTAATATTTTTAAAAATCAAATTAGAAAAATATTATCGAGACCAGAAATAAATGAAATGAACGAATGAGAGGAACATTAAAAATACGGAAATTAGTCAAAAAATATTGAGAGGGAAAAGTTAAGATGGAAGGTGTTCTATAAATTTTTATTTATTATAAAGTATGCGCAACTGTAACAAAATAAAAATTTAAAAAAATATTTCTTTCGTAAAAACTGTTTATGATTTTATTGTAAAAATTAATGTATGATAGAAAAAATTAAATATTTATTTTAAAATTTTTTTATTTAATTAATTAAAGACCTCAAGTTCAAAGAATATTTTTAAAAAAATAAAAAAGATTATTTAAAACCCCAAATTTTATACTAGAAATGATGGAAGGTGGAAAGCTACAAGAATATCGGAAGTAGAATATTAGGGTTGGTCCCCGACGGGTGGGGGTTTGGGGGAGGCAGATACACGGGGCGGGGACCAACTCTATAGAATATCGAATGTATTTTCTCATTCCTAATCATCTAATTTCTTTAAAATATGGAGAGAAAAAACCTCAAGAAAACAAGAAATTAAAACACAATAAATTAAAAATATAGCAGACGGTTGCGCAAAAAAATTTTTTATTTTCCAAATTATAAAAAATTGTTGGCCAAAGAATATAAAAATGTTAAACAATTTAAAAAAACGTCATAATTAAATTAATTAATTTTTTTCTAAAATTAATTGAGATATTTAATTTATTCAAAAATAAATGTTTATAAATTAAAATAGCCTAATTTAATTTAAATAAAATTTCAAAATTTATTTCTGAAAAATTATTTCCCTCCTCATCTTTTGGTCTTCAAAAATCAATTCCCGAATCTTTACTCATTGCAGAATTCTTTTTTTCTCCTTTAGTATTTTCTGAAGAAGTATTAGAAAGTCTTCTAACTGTAGTTAATGAAGAAGAAGGTAAATTAGAAGAAGTATTCTCAGAAGTTTTTCTTTCTTCATAAATTTCCAAATTTTCGTTTTTATCAATTAAATTATTTAAACATTTTTCATCTAAACAAATTCCTTCTAAATCAACTAAAAGTGCCGGTTCTTCTAATTGTTTATCGGCCCTTCTAATACCTGTAGCGCTTCTTCTTTGGGCAGATCTAAAAACAGCTTTACAAGGCTGTTTTTGTTGAATTCTTTTGTTTGAAGTTTCTATTGGGGCTGTCCAAAGACGTGTACGTAATGGAGAAAGTGAAGGAGGAGATGAAGTTTGTGAATGTTGTTGATTGTGGGGATGTTCTGGTTGTAGTGGTTGTTGAGTTTCCTTTAATTTTATTTTTAAATTTTTTAGTTAAATTTTTATTTAATTTTTAAAAATTTTTTGCTAATTACATTCAATATTTTAAAATTAAATTTTTTTTGCCAGTACTTCGAAATTACTCATACCCAAGTGCGAGTGGTCCTTATGAGAGACAAGATTTGGATATCATCAACCACTTAGTGTAACAATAGACTAAATAAATTTTCAAAGTTTAGAGCAATAATCCCCTGATAAAGAAGTGGGGATCTCTATGAATATCATTAATTATTATTAGAATATTAAATTACAGAATATTTTCTGTTAAAGATAAAATAAGATAAAAATCCTTAAATGAGGTGACAAAGAAGATTAAAAAATTTGAAAGATCCCAAAATAAATTTTTTAATTTCCAAATTTAAATTCTTTCCAAAGAAAAATCTAACCGGATTTAATTCTCTTTTTTCAATATAAAAAGTATCAGCTAAAGCAGAATTACTAATTTCATTTTCTTCATTTTTAATATCAATTAAAATTTCAACGTCATCATTAATATCGTCACCACAATTATTTTTTTCTTCTTTACTATTTAGATTATAAGATGATATATTATTAAATTCTTCTTCTTTATGACGTCCAAATATTGTTGTTGTTGTTGTTTGCTCTTTTTAAAGATTGTAATTAATTTTTGGTTAAAAACCAACAACTTTTTTCTATTTATTTTGGGTACAAAAATTAACAAAATACAGTCAGACCTTGATTTTACGTAGAAACCTTGGGGTTGATAAGATTGATGTAAAAATTAAGGTGTATAAAAATAGGAGCTGAAACATCTCTCTAACTCAATGGCCAAACAAAAATGTACATATATGAGCTTATTGTGTGTATGTATAATTAAGGTCCGATTGTAATAAAAAAATATAAATTTAAGGAATTAATACAATAAGGAGTGTCAGAGTTGATTTTTACAAAATTGGGACTAATAAATTATTTAAACAATATTTAGGAAATAAAAAATTTTTTTGACTATATTGGAAAGCAAAAAAGAATCTATTTATTACATTATAATTTTATCTACCTGAACATATCGAGGAATCAAAATTAAGTTTATCTTCCGACTGATTTACAATTAATTTATTAAAAATATTAACGTTTTCCTCTTCTCTACTTGTCTTCTAAAATTATAAATTTAAGAAAAAAATTATTTCTTCTATATTTTTACCTTAATTTTAATTAAATTTTTATTTTCTAATGAAGTTTTAATATGTTCATTATTATTATTTATTTGTCCAATTTTATTTTGTTTTTCACTTTCACTTTCAGAAAAACGCATTTTTAAAGCATTTAATTGTTCCGTTTGCTGAACTTTTTGTTGGAAAGATGTTGAACCTCTTCTGTTATTTGAGGATAACGTTCTTCTTCTAAAAGCTGCCGACTAAATTAATTTTTAATTTTTTTTTGTTTGGATTTCTAAAATTATTTATGTATTACCCTTATCTTCCCTCCAACAGATTCTAGTGCCGAATTTAATCTACGTCGAATCGCTATTGGTGGGTCTTCTCTAAATATTTAAAGTTTTATTTGGAAGTAATATTTTAATGAAAGTACATTTATTACATAGTAAATACCTCTTTAATATTTAAAAATTTTTAAATTAAGTCTGTCACCTCATTAATTAATCATTAACTCATTAATTTACCTCATCATCACCTCATTTTTTAAATTATTTTTACCGTCAACTTACCCTAATTTTCTAATTTGTCCACTATTTTGGTCTATACAAATTTGTTGAACTGTAGTTTTCGGTTGGTGACCAAAAAGTGAACCTGGCACTGAGCCCATTTATTCCTTAATTTTAATAAATTTAAAAATAAAATAAAATGTTTCAAATAAATACAAAAAAATTTTAAATTTATTGCTAAGAAAATTAAAGTGCAAATAAAATACTGAGTGAAAAAAACTTATTTTTTAAACACGAACAAAATAATTTTTTATTTAAATGTCAACAAAACAATTTTGTAAAATTGAGCCGGGGTTTTTTGTTTAATTAAAAGAATTTTTAATTAAAATCTTGAGTAAAATATTAAAATAAATTTTATATTAAAATTTTTATAGAATATACTAACTTTTACTAACTTTCCGGAATCGAAAATTATCGAAAAATCTGAAAATTTTTTTTAATGTAGATGACAATATGAGAGATAAATTTTACAAAGTCTTTACTAAGCGAAAGAATAAATTTTCTCAAAAAAACATCTCCTCTCCCTCTCACACATTTTTCTCTCAAAAATATAAATAAATTTTCCTTACTAAAATATATTCTTTCAAGTTTTTCTTTATTTTTTTGTAATTTTTATTTAATCCTCCACCCTCACCTTTCTAATTACATATAAACTACCATGCTTAAGCTTTACCATGGAAACGTATAAAAAATGTTTGCAATTTAAATGTTATTCAAAAAATATATTTATTTATATATTTTTGCAAATAAATAAATATGTAGATATAAACATTGGGTAATTTAATAATGAAAAAAAATAAATTTTATTATTTTATTTAAAAATCAGAGATTATCAGAAAATTTAATGGCAATGAGAAAAGAAGAAAAATTGAATTCGAGAAGGCATTCTAATTTTGATTTTAAAATTGTAAATTTATTTTAAATATTATCGTGTGAAAATGTGGGGATTTTTTAAATGAATGAGGCGAAGGATGATCAAGAAAGCGATTTTTTTTCCTACTGCTTTCTAAAATTCTCAAAATTTTAAAAAAGTGGGTTTTTAAAAAAAACTTTAAAAAATGGTTTTCCTGTGCCTTTGACACCAATTTAGCTTATAACGCTGTAATGATAAATTATGGATGCCTACTGCACCCATAAATCAAAAAATTTAAATTTAAGAATTTTGTAAAACTCCAACACCCGACCCGAACTCCGACATGACCTCCCCGGCAAACCCCGATCCCGCCACTTTCGACCCCGAAGGCCCGTGGAGTTACCCTTGTATAAATCAGTTTATTAATTTTGATTCGGAAAGTAGAGTGACATAGTAAAGGATATTACATATTTATTTGGAATGAGGTAAAATCCTATTAACCTCAAGATTACTCCCTCACGCATCACTATAAAAGCAACTTGATTTTGAGCTTAATTATCAACACAACACTACGTCCTCCTGCTTCAACTTAGTCCACGTCTACATATTTCTTTCTTCATTAAAGTAAGTTTCTCTCAGTTTCTTAATCTTTTGTTCAAAATTTTTCCTTCCTTTATTTTAGTGTCAGCCGCTACGACGACTACAGCACTTCTGGCGTTTCAATTGCTTTGGCCATTCTTGATCTGCGGAACGTTGCTGGGCTTATTTACTTGTTGCCGAAAAAAGGCAAAGACGGACGCTAATAGTAAATCCCAAGTGGGCCCATCGTCAAGTACGCGTACAGCCTTAGATGATTCTAAGAAGGGATCTCAGAAAGGCAAACCGAAGAAAAGTGAGTTTCAATTGCTGAGCTTTTGAACAGTTTTGATTTTCTTTCAATTTACAGAAGACAACCTTTCGAGCAAAAAAGATGCCGGAGTCGCAACATCTGCTGATGGGTTCCCTATCTTCCCAATACTGAAGACTGATAACTCAACAGTTGGTGAGTTGAGCTTAATCTTTCTAGCTAGGCTAGATACCTACCTATATTTCTTTAATTTTTCAGTTTGTACACTTTCGGCCTCTACTAATACTCCAAATGATGACAACAATGCAAAAACCGCATATACGATGCAGAGTATGACAAAGTCTCTCGTTGCACCAAAGACTGCCAAAGCTCCGGTGCCTCAGAAAGAAGCTGCTCCTCCTGCAGAACCTGCTTCGAAGGAAGAGAAGCCTGCTAAGGCACCAACGGATGCAAAAACGATGGTTACAAAAGAAGAGTCATCAAAAGCAACGAGTAAAGTGGAGACCCCAAAGTCTGCGACTTCAAAGACAGAGCCTTCGAAACCAGAGACTTCTAAGGATTCTCCAGCAACAGCTATGTCAACTCCAAAAGAGGAGGAGGAGAAAACGAAGAAGACTCAGGAGAGTAAAGAAACAGCTCAAACGACTGAAAAAAGTGAAGTGACCAAAAGTGGCACTGATTTGTCAACCGAAGAACAGAAGGAAACGGAGACTACGGACAAGGACAACTCAAACAAGGATTCTAACAAAGATGCCAGCGACAAAGAAAAAGAAAAATAGATGAATATGTGAATGATGAAAGATATTGTTAGCCATTATATCCCAGTAAAATGTTTGTATATATTTCTTAGATATTTATTTGTATGTACATATGTAAATATATTTTTTCACATTATTGTTTTTGTTCGCTTGTTAGCAAGTAAATTTTAAGCTAAAAATGACACCTTAGCTATTGTCTTATTAAGAGCGGAGGTGGGTCGGAACAGTCAGAGGTGTCGGAAATCGGAAAAGCCGGAAATCGGAACTGGCTCAAAAGTCAGAACTCGGAAATCAAAATTTTTTTCGGAAATCGGAAGGAAACAAACGTGGAAATCGGAATTCCGACCCACCTATGATTAATTTTAAGAGTTTGCCTACAGTAATCTGCCAACTATTCGCGGAAAAAATTTAAGAAATTTCTTTGGGCTAAGAAAATTTTTTAGGCTTCCTATTTCCTTTATCAAAAATTTTTATAAGCCTTAAATGATTGAATTAAATAGACGTGTAATGCTAAAAGAAGCTAAAGGGGTTATTAAATATTGTGGAGAAGTTGAAGGGACAACTGGAAGCTGGATTGGGGTTGATTGGGATAATAAAGAAAGGGGGAAACACAATGGAAGTTTTAATGGAAAACAATACTTTGAAGCTTTGTAAATTTTTTTAAATAAAATTTTCAAAAATTTAAAAATAAATTTTCTAGGTCAAAAACTTCTGGCTCTTTTGTGAGAGAAAAAGATTTGGAATTTGGGACAGACTTGCTCGACGAAATTAACGAAAAATATGCTTCAAATTCAAAAATGGATGAAATTAAAATTCAAGATTCTTCTTCAGCTAAATTATTTGAATTTGTCAAAATGGACAAAATTTATTCAAAACAAAAACAAATTTTTAAACTAAAATGCATTGTTTTGAGGTTGTTTTTAATTAAATATTTTTTTATATTTATTTTTTAAAGTTATTCAAAAGTTTCTCATCTTAATTTAAATAAACTTGGTCAAATTAAATTTAATTTTTGTTTGGAACTTGATTTATGTTCAACATTAATTGGAAAATGGACTGATTTAATTAATATTTTGTTGGCCTTTCCTGCTCTCAAAATTCTTAATTTGGAGTTTGTTTAGATTTTTTTAAATAATTTTAGACTGATTATTAGAGAGCGCGATTTTCAAAAAACCTTGATTTTGATCCTTGTTGATTTCAGTTGGGTACCTTGACCAGATTCTACCAAATCAAGGAAAGCTGAAAAATGCCTTGATCTGGACTTTGGATTCAGGAAAAATCAAGGTCTGGATCCAGATCCAGCTCGCTCTCTATTGATTATTCCAAAATTTTATCATTCATCTAATTCTGTTTACCTCTATAAAATAATTTTTTGGTTATTTATAAGTTGAAAAATCTAATTCAGAGAAAATAAACCATTAAATTTGAATAAGATTTTTATTCTAAAATTGCCAATCGTGCCGAGTTCGGATTCGTTATCAGCGCCGAAGTTACCCTAGAAAATGTGTTCGCAGGATTTTTAAATTAATTTTTCAACGGGACCGGAATTCGACACGTTTGCTCTAAAAATTTTATTTTTTTATTAATTTAAGTTGTAATCGCATCGAACCATTGGAAGACTGCACTGCCAAAGAAATTGAAAATATTGATAACAATTTAGATGTTTTCAAAGGAATTACCCAACTTTCTCTAAATGAATGCAATTTGACTTTCCAAACGGTTTTAATTTTATTTGAATTTTTCTCAAAATTTTATTTTAGTTAAATAAATTGCCTCGTTTATTTATTTTTTTAGAAGAACTTTATTTGGCAAGAAATAATTTAGATGATTTTAATTTTGATGTGGAAAATTTAAAAAATTTGAGATTATTGGACTTGCAAGGAAATCCTTTTAAAGAATTTGAAAAATTGAAATCTCTTTTTAATTTACCCAAGTAACTATTTTTTATTTTTTAAATTTAATTTTCTATTATTTCCTTTATTTTCCACGTAAACTTATTAAAGGTTATTTAAAACCCGGTAATCCTTAAGATCATTGGTTCCTTCGTTATTTTTGAGGCTTGCCAGTAGTTAATCGAGTGTGCAGAGTCTGAATCTTATGTTAGTTTTTTGGTCCGAGATTCAAAATAGACAACTTTTAAGCTCAGATTCAGAATCAGCACACTCGATACCTACTGGCAGGCCTCAAAAATAACGAAAGAGCACTTACTTATGTTAGCATATTTTCTTAGGTACCAATGATCTTAAGGATTACCCAAAAACCTTAAAATTATTTTTTAATGGAAAATATATTTTTAATCATTTACCTTTAAAAATTTTTCTTTGGTCAAATTAATTTTAAAAATAATTTTTATTTCAGTTTGCAAACTTTAAACCTTTCTTCTTGTCAATTGGAAAATATTTATTTTGGTGATGGCTTTTTTGATGGTTTTACTAATTTAAATACTCTTATTTTGTGTGATAATCCAATTAATAAAGTTTTCTTTTTAATTTTTATTTTTTTTAATTAAATTTTTTAGTGGGAATCAATTGATCAACTTGGTCGTTTACCTTCCTTGGAAAAGTTAAATTTAAGAGGAACTCTTTTATTTGGCTCCAGAGGTGTGGAAAGCAGAGAAATTGTTATTGCCAAACTGCCCAAAATTGTATTTATTTTTTTAGGAAATCAAAAAATTTATAAGATTTGGGAGATATTTTAAGGGGGTATTTTTTAAGTTTTTGGGTTATCTTGAATGTCGCATTTTTTGCGTTCATATTTTAATTTTTTCATTGATTTATTGCAATTTTTTCTGCTTATTCTTTCCAACTACAGAATTTTTATTAAATTAATTTTTTCTTTTAAACAGATATATTTGGATAAATGCGATATTTCTACATCTTTACGTAAATCGGCCGAGAAGCTTTTTATTAGCCGTTTTTCTCTTCCTCCTATTTGTCAAGAACATAAAAGCACTTTAGAACGGCTTAAAGCAACCTATGGTCTTTCAAAGGGTTTGAATTTAAATAAAAAATCTTTTTTTCATTTATCAATTCCATTTTGTTATTTTCTAATAATTTTTTAACATTCCAGAACCAGAAAAGGATGGTAAACTTCCATCAATTTCCCAATATTCTGGCATCCAAACTCGCCGACTCTTTTTGTCTTTCGAAGAGAAATCTACAATACGTTCAATTTCATTGTCATTACCTCTTCATAAAGTTGTTGGATTAGGTGCTCGTTTATTTGGATTTGAACCTGACCAATTAAAAGGTTTGAAATTTAAAAACAGAATTTATTCAAAAAAATTTTAGGAGTAGAAATTCAACGTTCAGACCCAAACTTCTTTTCAGAATTGATAGCACGGACAAAGGACAATCTTTTGAGACAATTTGATCTTGAAGATGGAGATACTATCCGATTTGTTCAATTCTAAACAAAATTTTGTATTTTTTGTAAATTACGGGTTTATTTTTAAATCTGAATAAATTATTAATTTTTTTGTAATTTTTTAAAATTCTAATAATTTTTGAAAATTATGAAAAATTATCTAAAACAATATTAACTGTTTAATTTAGAATTATTTTGTAAAGATGGAAACTGGTTCGACTACGGCAAAACGTGATGTGTTCACATTCTTGATCGATTTGGGTATATTTTTGTTATTATTTTCAAGGGGATTTTGAAAAGTTATGAATTTAGTTGGGGAAAAAATTAACTCTTCTCTAAATATCCTAATGGCCCCCGTGTTTGATTAACTTCAGTAATCTTAATTTTTTTTGATAAATTGTTTTCTGTCAAAAGTTCGTTACTTTTTTCAATTATATTTTTCAACAATTAAAAAAATATTTTTTAGGAATTCGTTTAAAGGCTGAATCATTAACTATTGGATATTCTTCTATTTATTGTCATCGTGTTCTTACTCAAAAAGATTTTCCAACTGGCCATATCTGTCCTTATGTTTGTTGGATGTCTTCAAAAATATCAAAATTATTTTTCTTTTTTATTCGGTAGCAACTGCTTGTATGCTTGTTGCAGGGAAGGTGACCAGCGATACAAAAATTAACACAAGAGATGCTATGAATATTTCTTACAGGTTTTTAAATTTATTTGCTCTAGTCTAGGGAGATTTTTTATTAACTACAAAATCCAAGACCGAAATTTTTTCAGTATTATTCATCCTGATGCACCACCATTGGACATTGGAGAACTTTCTTATTCACTCAAAGAGGGTCTCATCGAACTTGAATTGGTTGTTCTCCGTTGTTTACGTTTCCGGCTTAATTTTGAACATCCACATCAAGTATTTTATTTTAAAATCAGTAGAAATTGTATTTTTTAAGGATGTTATTTTGATAATTCGACTTCTTCGTGATTGGTATCCAAATATATTTCTTCGACAACGAGACGACATTGAAAAGGTTACGGCTATGCTCTTACAGGATTTGTACGTCTACCCAGAGATTGTTCTTGACCATAGACCAAGAACACTTGCTGTTGCCGTTAGTTTTTAATTAAACTTGAGGGTAATTAGGGCTGCGTGTAATTGAGGTTTTTTGTTATTTTCGGCGTTCTTTTTTTGATTTTGGGGAAATTTATTGTTTACAGTTTTGATTTTAATATTCTCATTTTAAAGGTGATTTCATTGGCCTTCTCTTCTCTCAACCTTAACATTGAAGACATCGAATGGGCACCAGTTTTTATGCAGAAGTATGATGAGAGGCGTATGTACAAAATTAAAAAGAAAATTTTGGAACAAATTTATGAAATTAAAAATCTTTTATAAATTATTTTTTCAAATTGGTATTTTGTTTTTATTAAAACTTTATTTGTATTTTTACAAAAATTATAGCTTGTTAAAGCTTCCAAATACTTTTTAATTTTAACGTTCTTTGATTGTCCTTTTTTAGATAATTCTTGTTATTTTTTAGCAATTTCTACAATTGTTTTGGAAATATAATAGAGCTGGTTTAAATTCCTAAAAATGGTAATTTTCAATTTTTAAATTCATTTCCTCATTTTTAGGTTTCATTATCCTCGAGAGTGGAGACTGGACATCGTGATATTATTGTAATGTTTTATTTTTAATTGAATTTTAAAATAAAATTTAAGCACGATGCGCAAATGAATTATTATGGAACTCGTCTTGCCACTTGCTCAAGCGACCACTTAGTCAAGATTTTTGAAATAAAGGCTAATGGCCAAAGTTTACCGATTGCTGAACTTACAGGGCATGACGGACCGGTTTTTATTTTTCCCTGGAAATTAAAATAAATTTAAGGTCTGGCAAGTGAGTTGGGCACCTCCCAAATTTGATAATGTATTAGCTTCTTGCTCTCATGATCGGTATATCTTCCACTTATTTTTTTAATTTATTTTAATTCAGAAAAGCAATTATTTGGAGAGAAGTCAATGGAAAATGGCAAAAATCGGTTAGAATTATTAACGTCTTTATTTAATTTTTTCTGTATAGTATGAATATAATCAACATGAAGCAAGTATTAATAGCATTAGCTGGGCCTATCCTGAATATGGACTGATTTTTGCTTGTTGTTCCACAGATTGTTCAATTTCTGTTGTTCAATATATGGGGGATGTTTGGTCTCCTTTGAAGATTAATAATGCTCACGAAGAGGTTTTAGTTAAATTTATATTGAGGTTTTGAGCCACAACTATCATTTGGTTATCCTTAAGATAATAATTTTTAAGGGATGTAATGCCATTAGTTGGGCACCAGCGAAAAGAATAAAATCAGTTCTTGACAAAACCGAGAAAATCGATCCTAAACGCTTTGTGACTGGTGGAAATGATCGGCTAGTAAAAATTTGGAGGTTTTTGAAAAATTCTGAGTTTAATTTTAGATCTTTATTTTAGAGAAGAAACGCCAGGAAACTGGAAAATGGAGGCTGAACTAGAGGGACATGAAAATTGGTTAATTTCTAATTTGTTTCTTAATAAAATTATTTTAACGTTATTTATGTATCTTTGAAAAATCTTTAGGGTCCGAGATGTAGCCTGGTCTCCCTCTGACTCATTGACAAGTACAATAGCCTCTTGTGGAGTGGATGGACAAGTAATAATTTGGAGATGTTCAAATTTGGATTCAGATGAAGGTCCAAAATGGACAAGTCGTGTACTTCGAAAATATGATGATCGTAAGGGAATTTTTTTTAATTCTTTAAGAGATTCTTTTTAGCCCTCTGGCATGTAAGTTGGTCATTATGTGCAACTGTTTTGGCTGTTTCTGGAGCAGACAATAAAGTTAGCCGAGAAAATTAATTTAAAATATTTTTATATTTTCAGGTTAATTTATTTCAAGAACGTTTACCTAATCAGTGGATACAAATTTCTGAACCTGATGAGGACAAATAAATAAGTTTAGAACAATTTTAATTATCTTTTGATGTTTTTTATATAAAGGTTGTTTATATTAATTGGGGAATAATATTATTTAATTTAAAATTTAATAATTTTTTAACGGGGCAAAATTAAAAATTGTTAATAAATTTTATATGAAGAGAAGATGACTTTGATTTATGAATTAAATTTTTGGACGATTTTTTTATTCTAATTTTTGAATTTATTTAAAAGAGAACCCAAAAATAAATAAATTTTATGAACATCATCTAAAAATAAACTAAAAAAGAAATTTAAATATTTTCTATTTTCCCTTTCTCTCCCTTCTTCATCTCCGATTATATCCCGGCCCAGTTCTTGGAGGAGGACAGTGATCCTATAATTTAATTTTTAATCAATTTTCTTATTTAATAAAATATTTTCGACTTACACATGAGCCTGGTTGGCCTGGCGGTCCTCTTGGCCCTGGAGGTCCTTGAGGTCCAGGCAATCCATCAGCACCTTTCTCTCCAGGATCTGTTTGAGTGAATTAATTATAGCTATTTAATTTATTAAATAAAACCTCCTGGTGGACCAGGCGGTCCAGGCTTCCCTGGTTGTCCATCTTAGAAATATGCATTTATTTTCTTCAAAAAATATAAAATAAACCTCTTCCTGGAGGTCCAGGCGGTCCTTGAGGACCAGGCGCTCCTGGGGGCCCTAAAAATAATAAGTTTTAATTTTTATAAAATTATAACTTATTTACCAGGCGGCCCTGGCGGTGCACCGTTGATTATCTGAAAATGTATTGATGATAGGAACAATCTTTTTAGTTTTCCATACCTTTCCGGGCTCGCCAGGAGGTCCTTTATCTCCAGGCAATCCTGGAGGTCCTTGCGGGCCTTGTGGACCAGGGGGACCTGGCAATCCAGGTGTTCCATCTCTTCCAGGAGTTCCGGCTTTAAATAAAATCTTTACATTTATGAGAAGTGTATTTACCTTCTCCTTGAGGTCCTGGCAATCCTTTTGGTCCAGGAGGTCCTGGTGGACCTATAAAAAGTAATGTCGAACTCTGTCTTTTCTTGAAAACTTGCCTGGAGGTCCAGGTGGGCATTTTTGACAGGGAGGTTTTGGAGGCTAAAATAATAATTTATTAAGTAATTAAGTTTAAGAACAAACTGGTCCTGGTAGTAAAACACCATCTCTACCTGGTGGACCAGGATTTCCAGGTCGGCCTGGAGCTCTGAAATAAATGTTTGGTACATTTCCATTATCTCCTCCCTCCTTTTTTAAATAATCAAAGATTACCCAGGTCTTCCATCTCTCCCGGGAGGGCCAGGTGGACCAGGCGGTCCCACTTGGCAATTACAACAACTTCCACCTCCAGCCGCTCCACTTCCAGGTGGAGACCCTATAGCTTGGGCATCATATCTTGCATTGTTTTGACGCTTTCCTCTTTCAATTGTTTCGTTAACAGATACACCAGTTACCGATTGGATTTGTAAAATTTCTCTCCACATATCCCGTGAACGAGTCTATATATTTTTAATTAAGAATAATTTTCTCAAATTTTTGCCTTGCAAAAGTCCACTTCATTTTGCATAAATGCTTGTATACTTTGTACATGACTATATACAATAGGTAATGTAACAACACATCCAAGAACTGAAACAGTGGCAAAAGCTACAGAGGCGAAGGCTAATAAACGAAGAGAACGACGTGGACGTTCTTCTTCATTTAAATTTCCTTCATTTTCCATAGCTTTTCCGTTGCCGAATGGAAGTGTTGAAATATTAGACAATTGGGGGGTTTTATTATCTGTGGTCCAAATAGGGGCCATTCTTAGCTTAAATTTCTAAAAAATCAAAATTTTCAGGAGCTAGCTAATTAATTTTGTGACACGCGAGAAAAGAGAAATTTGCTGATTTTTTGTTCTTTTTAACGAGAATTTGTTTAAATAAAATATTTAAAATTGTTTTGAACAAATATTCCTCTATATATTTAATAGATACATTACTTTATCCATTAATTATACTTATAATAGCGAATTGGGGGCAATCGCCGCTAAAAATATTAAAGGAAATGACCTTAATTTTTCTTTTATCAATGATTGACACAAAAAAGAGAATTATAATTAAATAAATAATTAAAAATTGTGTTAAAAATATTTGTTTTTAATTCTTAATTTAATTCACGATAAACTTTAATTAATATAAATTTAAATATCATCTTCCATCTGTTCATTTAAATAATTTTTTGAATTATCTTTTAAATATTTATTGATAATTTCTTTGACAAAAACCTTTAAAATAAAAATATTTTTAAATATTTTAAATCGAAGATTTGGAAATTTATATAAAAATTAATGTTAAAAATAAAATATTAATTTAAAATTATTTCTCACTCCAGGCGGCAAATGTAAATGTTCTCCATTAATTGAAAGAAAATGTAGTCGGCCACTCTTCTCAAGTGTTTTTAATCTTTTTGAAATTAAATAAAAATATTTTATTTAATTAAATACCCAATTAAATCCTCCTGATAAAGACGTGTTTTCTCCATTGGAATAATTGTATTTGTGTCATTTTCAGCATAAAAGCCAAACCACTTTATTTAAAAAATGGAATTAAGAAATGTCCCAATAACTTTGTTTATTTATAAAGTTATAGACAAAATCTGGGGGTATATAACTAAGGTTAAAATTTATAAGATTTTTTAAAGGGTGGAACCGACATAAAAGAAGACAACATTGTTAAAAATATTTTTTTTTAATTTATAAATACTAGCGGAGTTGGTCGGCCTTCGGCCGCCCCACCCCGCTAGCAAAAACAAAACAGACCAAAAAACAAACTCCAAATCAACTTATCACAACCTCAAAATTGGCCCTAATCCAGTCATAATCAGAAAAACCCGATTATCATAACATTGACCAGCATTAAAACATTTCCTGATTACCAATACATTTAGCGAAGCAAAGCATCTAATAGGTGCACCTGATAGGGTACACACAGGCGTCGTGTGAATCCGCTAGCATAACAAAACAATTCAACTCAAGATCCGATTCAAAAGCCTTTGGCCGGCCTTCTCGCTTACACATTTTTCTCCTCACAATTCCGCCTGCTTCACAATTCCCTCTGTTTCAATATTCCCCTGCTTCGTAATTCCCCTTGCCTCACAATACCGCCTGCTTCACATCCCCCTTCATTCCCCTGTTTCAATATTCCGCCTGCATCACAATTCATCTTGTTTCAATATTCCGCCTCCTTACCAATTCCTCTTGCCTCTCACAATACCACTTGCTTCACAATTCCCCTTGTTCAATATTCCCTGTTTCAATATTCCGCCTGCTTCACAATTCCCCTTGTTTCAATATTCCCCCTGCTCCACAACTCCCCCTGCTTCACAATCCCCCCTGTTCAATATTCCGCCTGAATGAACGTTGCGCCTAGCACTTGACACATTAACGTTGGCGCCTAGCACTTGACACATGAACAATGACGTCTAGCACTTGAAAATGAACGTTGACGCCTGGCACTTGCCAAATGAACGTTGACGCCTGGCACTTGACAAATGAACGTTGATGCCTGGCACTTGCCAAATGAACGTTGACGCCTGGCACTTGCCAAATGAACGTTGACGCCTGGCACTTGACAAATGAACGTTGGCGCCTAGCACTTGACACATGAACGTTGACGTCTAGCACTTGAAAATGAACGTTGGCGCCTAGCACTTGACACATGAACGTTGACGTCTAGCACTTGAAAATGAACGTTGGCGCCTAGCACTTGAAAATGAACGTTGACGCCTGGCACTTGCCAAATGAACGTTGACGCCTGGCACTTGCCAAATGAACGTTGACGCCTGGCACTTCAAGTGACGTTGACAGCTAGCACTTGACAAATGAACGTTGACGCCTAGCACTTGACACATGAACGTTGACGTCTAGCACTTGAAAATGAACGTTGGCGCCTAGCACTTGACACATGAACGTTGACGTCTAGCACTTGAAAATGAACGTTGGCGCCTAGCACTTGAAAATGAACGTTGACGCCTGGCACTTGCCAAATGAACGTTGACGCCTGGCACTTGCCAAATGAACGTTGACGCCTGGCACTTCAAGTGACGTTGACAGCTAGCACTTGAAAATGAACGTTGGCGCCTAGCACTTGAAAATGAACGTTGACGCCTGGCACTTGCCAAATGAACGTTGACGCCTGGCACTTGCCAAATGAACGTTGACGCCTGGCACTTCAAGTGACGTTGACAGCTAGCACTTGCCAAATGAACGTTGACGCCTGGCACTTCAAGTGACGTTGACAGCTAGCACTTGAAAATGAACGTTGGCGCCTAGCACTTGAAAATGAACGTTGACGCCTGGCACTTGCCAAATGAACGTTGACGCCTGGCACTTGCCAAATGAACGTTGACGCCTGGCACTTCAAGTGACGTTGACAGCTAGCACTTGACAAATGAACGTTGGCGCCTAGCACTTGACACATGAACGTTGACGTCTAGCACTTGAAAATGAACGTTGGCGCCTAGCACTTGACACATGAACGTTGACGTCTAGCACTTGAAAATGAACGTTGACGCCTGGCACTTGCCAAATGAACGTTGACGCCTGGCACTTGCCAAATGAACGTTGACGCCTGGCACTTCAAGTGACGTTGACAGCTAGCACTTGACAAATGAACGTTGACGCCTAGCACTCAAGAGGACACAGGACTCCAGCAAACGTTGACGTAGAACAGAGCGCAGTAAAGTTGAAGTGTTGAAGGCAGTTGAAGAATGACCAAAATACCCTGCTTTTATACCATCTTCTTACCCTTACAACTTAATTCAGCTGGCATCTCTTTACTATAAAAACCCCCATTTCCTCACTCCCCCAATCAGTTTACTATAAAAGCAACTTGTCTATAAAAGGACAGACAGACACACATACCCTTCTCAATTATATAATTAGATTATTTTAAATATCTTATTATATAATTGAGAAAGGTGTGTGTGTTTGTCTGTCTGTCCTTTTATAGACAAGTTGCTTTTATAGTAAAATGATTGGGGGAGTGAGGAAATGGGGGCTTTTATAGTAAAGCACTGCCAGTTGAATTAGGTTGAAAGGGTAAGCAGATAGTATAAAAGCAGGGTATTTTGGTCATTCTTCAACTGCTTCGTCAACGTTCATGTGTCAAGTGCTAGACGTCAACGTTCATGTGTCAAGTGATAGACGTCAACGTTCATTTGTCAAGTGCTAGGCGTCAACGTTCATGTGTCAAGTGCTAGACGTCAACGTTCATTTGTCAAGTGCTCAACGTTCATGTGTCAAGTGCTAGACGTCAACGTTCATGTGTCAAGTGCTAGGCGTCAACGTTCATGTGTCAAGTGCTAGGCGTCAACGTTCATGTGTCAAGTGCTAGACGTCAACGTTCATTTGTCAAGTGCTAGGTGTCAACGTTCATGTGTCAAGTGCTAGGCGTCAACGTTCATGTGTCAAGTGCTAGGCATCAACGTTCATGTGCCAAGTGCTAGACGTCAACGTTCATTTGTCAAGTGCTAGACGTCAACGTTCATGTGTCAAGTGCTAGACGTCAACGTTCATGTGTCAAGTGCTAGGCGTCAACGTTCATGTGTCAAGTGTTAGGCGTCAACGTTCATGTGTCAAGTGCTAGACGTCAACGTTCATTTGTCAAGTGCTAGGTGTCAACGTTCATGTGTCAAGTGCTAGGCGTCAACGTTCATGTGTCAAGTGCTAGGCATCAACGTTCATGTGCCAAGTGCTAGACGTCAACGTTCATTTGTCAAGTGCTAGGTGTCAACGTTCATGTGTCAAGTGCTAGACGTCAACGTTCATGTGTCAAGTGCTAGACGTCAACGTTCATGTGTCAAGTGCTAGACGTCAACGTTCATTTGTCAAGTGCTAGGCGTCAAAGTTCATGTGTCAAGTGCTAGACGTCAACGTTCATTTGTCAAGTGCTAGACGTCAACGTTCATTTGTCAAGTGCTAGGTGTCAACGTTCATGTGTCAAGTGCTAGGCGTTAACGTTCATGTGTCAAGTGCTAGGCGTCAACGTTCATGTGTCAAGTGCTAGGCGTCAACGTTCATGTGTCAAGTGCTAGACGTCAACGTTCATTTGTCAAGTGCTAGGTGTCAACGTTCATGTGTCAAGTGCTAGGCGTCAACGTTCATGTGTCAAGTGCTAGGCATCAACGTTCATGTGCCAAGTGCTAGACGTCAACGTTCATTTGTCAAGTGTTAGGCGTCAACGTTCATGTGTAAAGTGCTAGACGTCAACGTTCATGTGTCAAGTGCTAGACGTCAACGTTCATGTGTCAAGTGCTAGACGAACGTGGGATTGTTGACTAGACTTTTTTTGGTTTTTAGGTTTGGAGTGATAGGCGTCAACGTTCATGCGGAATATTTAAACGGGGAATTGTGAAGCAGTCAGAATATTTAAAAGGGGGTGGGATTGTGAAGCAGGGGAATATTGAAAAGACGAATATTAAAATAGGGGTAGTAGTGAAGCAGGCAGAATACTGGAATAGGGGGAATTGTGAAGCTGGCGAAATATATAAAACACACGGAAGCAGGGGAAATTGTGAAGCAAACGGAATATTGAAGCAGGGGAAATTGCGAAGCACACGGAATATTGAATAGGTGTAATTGTGAAGCTGGCTTGAAGCAGGGGAAATAGTGAAGCACACGGAATATGCAAATCTGGGAATTGTGATAGGCGGTATTGCACGGGGGATTGTGGTGCAGGGGAGTATTGAAAAGGTGGAATTGTGAAGCAGGCGGTATATTGAAATAGGGGGAATTGTAAAGCAGGCGGAAGTGTTAAGTAAAAGGAATTGTGAAGCATGCGGAATTGTGAGGGGGGCTAACGAGTTGGGTAGGCCGAAGTCTTTTGAATTGGATCTTGAGTTGAAATGTTTTGTTTTGCTAGCGGGGTAGGGCGGCCGAAGGCCGACCAACTCCGCTAGTTCGATAAAATACTAGAGGTTCTGATAAATTTTTAATTAAAAAATATTTTTAAAATAAATTTACAGAGGTCTGTTTAGGTTGCATTTTCTCATCTTTTAAAAATTTAATTAAAACAAAATTCTTTAATTTTAATAAATTATTTTTGTAAGTAGAATTACATGTCTAAAAATTTAATTTTAAATTAATTTTTAAACTATAATTAACTGTTTCGCAATTTAAATCTGTTAGAAAAATATTTTTACGTTGATATTCTTTTCTTTTATTTGGATCACTTTAAAAGAAATTATTTTTTAAAAGAATTATAATATTTGATACTTACTGCCAAAATTGAGCTTGAACTATTCTAAAAAATTAATTTAAATTTATTTTTTATAAAATAATGAGGGATTAGTTAAATGTTAGTGTACAATAATAGGAATAATGCTGTTCTGATTATTAAAAGTTTTGTTTGTGTCCGAAAAAGCCGGGCACCACAATAGGTTATCGACACTGCTCTACACAATGGCATGTTTCGTTACAAAATTTTTGGTGGTAGTTCGGAATATTCTCTTGTTAGTGGGTAGTTTTTTTAATGAAAACTGATTTGAAATTTCGGTATATATTAGAATTGCCAGACAGATTATTGAGAGAATGGAATTTAATTGTTTTATAAAAATATTTTTTGGATATGAATAAATAAAAAAAATGTGAAATAAGTTGGAGAGTAAGAAAAATAGAAAAAATTATTTAAACACTAACGTTCTTTGAATAAACGTTTCATAAGCTCCATAATCCAATAAATGTCTAATTGTGTTACAAATAGCAACAGAACCAGAACAATGAGGCAAACTTTTAAAAATAATTAATTTACTAAATTTATTTGTTTACCCAAAAACTCCTTGTTGGGGGCCGCCAACAGATATCTTTAAAAAATAATTTTTATATTTAAATTAAAATATATTTAACCAAATTTCTCATTGGAGGGTAAGGACAACGCTGAGCTATAGCACGCCTAAAAATTTAATTTAAAAATATTTTTGACCCCTTTTATTAAAAAATTAAATTAAAATATTGAGAACAATGAGGCAAGCCTTTCTCTTCATTTTTTTATGATTTAAGGATAATTTAAAGGTTCTTTATAATAGAAAGAATTTAGCAAAAGTTTAGCCACCGGCCAGGATTGGACCCTGCGACCTCCTGGGCCCGTAGAATAAATTCAAGGGTAAGGTTACCCGGGTAGCGGCAGCGCCGACTTGACCCTAAGCAAAGGATTTGGCGCCGCTACCCGCTTCTCATTCTCCCTATTTATGAAAAAATTCATAACTTTTTTTAAAATGCAGATAAAAATTTTATTTTTTGGCCAAATTATAGATCGGAGTGTTATCTATGAAATACCAAAAAATCAGAATTTTTGACCGACTTATTTAAAAGTTATGAATTTACTAGCAAGGTACTACTTTTTCCTTAAAAAATGACTAAAAATGAGGTCCTTTTTGTTAAAAATTGTCATAAATTTATTTCCAAAGAAAAAATTCTAAAACTTATATCAAAAAATAGAGCACATTCCAAACTATCTTAAAAAATTTAATTTATAATTTTTTCATCAAATTTTAAATTTTAAGGATTTTTTAAAGGAATTGTCTACCCTGCCCCGTAGCAGGGTAACAATTTTACCCTCCACCTCTACCGTATTCTTTTCCTCTTTCTTTTCTTCTCCATTTTTTCGGCGCAAGGATTTTTCTCATCTTTTCGTTTTGTGGGGGAAAAGTTACTCGGGTAACCTAACCCCGAATTTATTCTACGGGCCCTGACAGTTATTGCTAGGCGCCTTCGCTCACCATATACAGAAGCTCTACCACTGAGCTACGGGGCATCAAGCCTTCCCTTCTATCCTTTTAGATCGTTTAACTCCCGCCTAAGCGTTTTAAATAATCCAGGTGAATCATCCTTACATAATAAATAGAGGCCTCTCTAATAAAAGGAAATAGACTATAAATTATATATTTTTAATTAAAAACGAACATAAAAAGCCCTCCTTGGCTAAATCCAATAGCATTATATCCTTTCAATAAGTTCACATCTTCTTTCAACATTTCACAAACAATATTAATTTGTTCATTCATATTAGAGAAAAACCCTTTCTCAACATCTTCAACTACATTATTTCCAAGCATTACAGATTTAACATAAATTCCAGGAATATTTGTTTGTATTAATTTTTTGATGTAATACATACTTAGAGGGTTACAACAAGAATCACCTTTTTATGTTTTTAATATTAGAATATATTTATTGTGTTTTAGTTTTAGTTAATTTTCGTTATTAGAGACACGAAAAATCAAAAATTGACACAAATGTACCAGCCTTTGTTAACTTTTGCTGGAGATGAACTATCGCATATATTAAATTAAATGGTACTAATGGGAGTTTATTGTATAGAGGAAGAGAATTGAATTGAAATTTTAAAATTTGTAAAATAGAGATATTTACAATATTTACAATATCCATAAAATTAATTTTAAATATTATTTATCCAAATCCATCAAATATTTTAATTTTTATTTATTAAAAACCAACCCATTCCATGCCAAATCACAACAGGAATTGGCGCTGATTTTATTTTTTCTTTTTCCAAAATAAATGAAAAATCTTCAGAATCTTCATAGAATGCATGGACTGATAAAAAACAATAAATTGTAAAAATTAAATAAAAGTTTAAAATTGAATTCATTCTTAAAATTACTTATTTCAATAATAGTTAAGTTTATGTGACGCATTTTCTCTCATTTTTCATCTTTCCCAAAATCAACCTCTATATTTTGTAGGCACCATTTCAAACGAGAAGATTAACTTTTAATCAATGTTTTCACAAGGATAAAAAGTGAAACATGATTTCAAAAAATATATTTTGAATATTATCAAATTGTTTACGACACATAAATTCTGGAGAATAATTTTTAAAGTTTCCGAGTTATTTCCGGCAATATGACATAATTTTGCCTGAAAAGATGGCATCATTTTCACAATCTTTGTATAAAAACTTAAACTTTTCGTTTGATTTGGTGAATACGGCAAATAGAGGGGTATTTTGGGAAAAATAGATTGAGAAAGAATGCATCATATAAACTTAATTATTGCTGGTTCTCCATTAATTTCTATTTAAATGAAGGAAATTTAATTTATTTTCTATTTTTCATTTAATATACTTTCCCATCACAAAAACATTCATTTTATGCTTTTACTTTCTTATCAGTAGACTTTATCTATCATTAAAAATAAATATGTACCATTCAATTAATTTTCTACCAATTAATCGAGTTATTGATGGTTTTTTAACAAGTGATCGTAAATATATTGCCGGTATACTGTATTTAATTTGAAAATAAAATTTCGAAACGAAAACTTTCAAGTAAATTAATTAAAATTTAAAAATTAAATGGCTTCGTTATTTACTTTTTTTTCTGCAAAAGTAATTTCTCTAATTTCCAATTCTTTTAGACAATAATATTTTATCGAAAATGAATGTTTTAAAACTTGTCGATTATTCTCCTTCTTCTGATTCTGGAAATGATGAACAAAAAACTCCAAGAGCAACGCCAACTCCAGTTATTTTTCGTGGAAAACGAGTTTTTCGAAGAATTATTTATTCTGATCAGAGACCGGATGCAACGCCAATTAAACGAAATTCTAGTCCAGAAAAGGTACCCGAACCTTCAAAGTCTCCAAAAAGATGTTCATCTGCTACAAAAAAGACCGCTAAGAAAACTTTAAATAATGAGATGAAAACGCCAAAAAGGAAGCGTTGGACTAAAGATGAATCGAATAAATTGAAGGTTTGTGAATGGAATTTTTTTTTATTTAGGTAATAGTAAAAATTGGGAAATTGGTCCGTCTTGGATTTTTTGGTTAAATTTAACAATAAATTTTTTGGTCTTTTATGGGAATCATTAAGTATTTTTTGCTGTAAAAATATTTTTTTATTATTTTTAAAAATTCTTTTTATTTTAATATTTTTCAGATTGCACTCAAAGCCGCAGTTAATCCAACAACAGATGCCCACTGGGAGCGCATAGCAAAGTTTATATTTTTCTCAAAAAATTAAATAAATTTTTTTTAATTTTAAGGGCTCTTGGAGGTTTTCGTACAATTTCTGAATGTAAAGAGCAGGCTACGAAATTAGAGTGGAAACCTCTGGAGGAAAATGATCGCAAAAATAGTACTGATTGTTCTGACAAATTTTTCAATGACAACACGACTGACGTTCGTTTTTATTTTTAATTGGATCCAGTTTTGCAAATCCCCATCTTCAAAAATTAATATTTGGGTTATTGGGTGGACAAAGTTCTCTAAAGCAAGAAGAGGAAGAATATTAAAAATACCCTAAATTAGTTAACAGTGGGGGCGAATAAGCTAAAATTAATTGAGAAAAAGTTTAGGAGAGGTTTAGGATATTCGTTTCCTAACGGATGGTTTCCAAGATTGAGTTTGAATGTTCATAAAGGGTAGACAGTTTTTTCCTTTTTTATAATTAAATTTCTAGTCTATAGGTTTACCATAAAATTTGTTTTCATATATTTAAATAAAGCATTTTTTTAGTTTAAGGACCTTAAAGATCTCAGCTTAAATGATTCTTTGTTTGATGTTGCTTTTAAATCTCCGCCAGAACAAGTTCGTTGTGCACGTCGACCATTTCTTTTGCAATTGGTGACTGAAGAAGATGAGAGTCCAAATGTGAGTTCTCCCTTTGATTGATTTGTTGGGTTTGTTTCGATTTTGCCAAAGATTAAAAAAATTTTAAAGTTTGTCAACCTCTATAAATTGTATCGAGATTTTTTTGTAATTTTTGATTAAAATATTTTAAATTTTTTGTTAATTAAGTTAATCGTCGGGCTGCGAATTTTAAGGGAGGAATAAACGAAATAGGTTGAAATAGGGGTAACAAGAATTGTCGTTTTTGTGTGTAAAGTCGACGTCAGTTAAGCCTTAACAGTCAGCCAGAAGGCGTTTGTGTTGCCTTTATAAAAATTGAATTGCCTTTAAAATTAAATAAAATTATAATGAGAAGAATCAGAGTTTAACACAAGTCATTAAATAATATAGGTTCATTAAAAATTATAAATTAAGGCAAAACCATCTATTTTTTATTTTTAAATATTTAAAAAACCATTAAAAATATTTTTTAAAAATCGTGTTTATTATTTTTTATGAAAAAATTTAAAAATAAAAAAATTAATTTTGAGCATCTTTTTGTTTAAATTTATTCCCCAGATTCATGAAGTATTCTTTCTTCATTCTCCCCAATCTCTGAAGAATGATTTTCAGCCAAATCGAGAGATATTTCATCCAATTTTTCTCTAGGAACGTCGGTCCCTTCAATTAAAACTGGGCAATTTAATGTTTTTGAAATTTCTTTTAATTTTTCTTTAGAATTAATTGGGTCTTCAGTAAATGTTGTAATTAGTTGAATAATTATATTTGCCAAATATTCGGGGTCGTGTTGACCTTGAAAACCCATAAATTTGCCAATTCTTCCTGGAGTGAGTAATCCCAAATCTGAAAAAAAGACGTTTTAGACGGTTCTTTGGGCTTCTACTAAGGTCGCCTGTAGTTCTGCGAGTCTTCGTCTCCCACTTAAAATTCTTACATATTTGAACACAGCTTGGCGAGACGAATCGAATGGTATATATTATGAGTTCCGATCTCGGTGTAGGTATACTAAAGCGACCCCGTTCTGGGCATTCGGGACCGAAAAAAGATGTATTTTTGCTTTTGAATATCCGAATATTTCCCAGGAACAACCAACCTCTCACTTTCTTCCCGCCCAGAAAACCCAGGGAAAATCCCAATAATAACTTTAAAAAACCTGAAAAAGATTGATGCACAATATCAGTCAATGTATACATTGATTTCCCTTCCCCTCCATTTTGTTGTTGTAAATACAACAATCTCTTAAAATAATTTTAAAAAATATTATTTTAAAAAGATTAAAAAGAGAAAAACCTTCAAATTCATAGGCCATTGCCATTTACTCGCATTTAACATTAAAACTGGTTGGGTAATTTCTTCGTAATATTTACAGTCAAAAGGATATAGCCAAGCATCCATAACAACACAACACTTTAAATAAAATAAATGTTAATTTTTTTGAATTAATCCTCCAGGATCCGTAAAAGAAATTTAATATATAGACACAGAGGCCTTCAAATTATTGTAACAAATTAGTGAAGTTAACAAATATAAACTAGGCCCACAACTAGAATTTGGGGGGGGGGGGGCAAGAGGGGAAAATTTTTCAGAGCCGAATTTTTGGCGCCAAAAGGCAAAGGTAAGCCGAAGGTCCTCTACCCCCTGGCTATGGGCCTGATATAAACACTAAACACAAGCTTTATTACCTCCTTCCCTTCCCTATATTTAAATAAAATAACAAAAATAAATGTATACTTTAAAACCCTTTTCGACAGCACAAGAAGTTAAAGCAGAAGCACCTCCAAAGCTATGCCCAATTGAAATTGCTTTATCCAAATTTAATCTTCCCTTAAATTGTTCCCAATCAAATTCATTTCCACAAACAATTTCTACATTTGAATTACGCAATCCTTCATTTAATTTTTTAAATAATTTTAACATGTTAATTGTTTCCAATGTACGTTGTTCTACCTAAAAATATTTTTTTTTAATTTAAACTAAAAATTAATTAATTAACCTGAGCTATTCTACTCTCATATTCTTGCTCTTCATGGGGGAGTTTTTTCATTTCAATATGTTTTTGAATTAATTCACCAGTGAAAGGGTCTTTATTCAATTCATATGTATAACAAGAAGAACCATCTCTAAAAATTAAAAGAAAATTAAAAATTATATGGGAACAGAAGGGGGCATGGGGGGGGGGGAGGTTAGGAAAGGAATGGAAGTTGATTAATTGGAAAGAGATTTTGTCCAAAGACTTTACCTATGATCCAAAGCAGCAACAACATAACCATGACTGGACAAAGAAGAACAATTAATTGAGTAAAGTTGTCTAGTTCCACTAATTCCATGAGAAAATACAACAACGGGGAATTGTTCTTCAGATTTAGCAAGAGGGACTTGCCAACGGGCTGGGATTCTAAAAATAAGAAAGTTTTGTTTGGTCCTGGTTTCTTTTTATTGAAAAAGACAATACTTTTTAATTTTTCAGTCAAATTTTTTAATAAAATTTCCACACTTTAAATTACTCCAAAAATTATTTTTTCCTTCACAAAAATTATTCAAAAATATTTTCCAAAAATATTATTTTCCCCAAATATTTTCTCCACCTTTTATCGCCAAGTATCCAATCCAAAATTAAATTTAATTTCCAGGAACTCATCCCTTTATAAGCAGCCAATCCCTCAATAACCTTCTCATCAGGCTTCCATTGCATAAATTCATTTAACCTTTCTATTGTGTATTTGTCTGGACTTAAAGCTTCACTAGGGTAATAAATCCGAGCAAAAATTCCTTCACATTTTTCTTTATCATTGTTAGATGAACAACAACACTCCTCTCCAGACAAAATCTTTAAAAAAATTAAATAATTTTTGACCAAATTTCCAAATTAATTAGAAATTATCGAGAGCATTTAAGAGGAAGAAGAGCCTTTACTTTTTCGAAGTAAACTAACAAGACAACCATTAAAATAGTGCCCGGCAAAATCGATTTTGCCGGACCCGGATCCGGATTTGTAACTTGAACCGGACCGAATTTGGGACCCGGACTCCGGAAAAATCCGGCGGGATCCGGTCCGGCGTCGGGCACTAATTCAAAGTCTAAATTGACCAAATTCAAAATACAACAGAAAAAACCATAAGAACAGATGTCTCTTACATCGAGGTATTTATGTAAACTAAAGAGTTTATCCACCAATTTTTAACAATAACAAATATATTTGACCCATTATTTAGCCAAGTTTTTGGATATACATATGTAAATACAATAAATAACTAACGGATTTTAAAACACTTCCTCAATTAAATTCCTCAAAAATTACTACTAAATCCCTCACCATAATATCAGCACAACCAACATCAAACCTTCCATTTCCCAAAAGGGGCAAAACATTTTTTTGTAAAGGTTTTTTATTTTTATTACAACAATTTTTATTCTCTCCCTCTTCCATTTCTTCTTTTAATATTTCGTTTTTATTTAAATTATTTTTGTTGTCAATATTTTCATCACAAGTACTTCCATAAGCGAAATATGATGAAGTAATTGTTCCCATTAATTTATTAAAAAATAATAAATAAAATTAAAAAAAATATTTATTAAAATCTAAAATTATGTAGAATTTGTTATTAAATACAGGGTGCGGCAAATTTAGCGCCGACTTTGTTTTGGCTATAACTTTCTTAATTTTAAAGAAAATTGATAATTCTTTTTTTCCTGGATTCCCAACACTTCAGGAAAATTGATGATATCAAATATTGAAAATTTGGTTAACTGAGAGGAAAGAAAAACGAGTTCGAACAGCTGAAAAATTTAAAAATATTTTTCATGCCAAAGTTTAGTTGATCATAACTTTGTTCAGAATAACCCAATCCGAGTGATTTTGATACCAATCAACTCCACTCGATAAGGAGAATCGAAATAGCTAATAAAATTATTTTTGAAAATTTTAACTAAAAAGTTTATATTTGGAAAATTTATTTTAATTTATCAATCAGAGTGTCATATCTCGGTCCGTTTATGTGATAGACACCTGATTTTAACTTCAATCGAATCAGATTGGAGAGCTGATTCGAATGATATGTAAAATTCTCACATCAAAACAATAGCCTTGAATCCAGGCCAAATTTTATCCAAAAATTTTTGCTCAAAATTTGATAGAAAATTAATCAGACTTGGTTATAAAATTTAAAAATGATTTCGATATCAACAATTTTCCTAAAGTGTTGGGAATCCAGGAAAAAAAGAATTATCAATTTTCGTTTAAAATTAAAAAAGTTATAGCCAAAACAAAGTCGGCGCTAAATTTGCCGCACCCTGTAAATATTTGGAGAAAATTCCAATTAAATTAGGTACTAAAAATGAGAAAATAGTAGGGATATTATAATAAAGAAAATTGGGAAAACTTAGATACAAGGGTTGTGGATAGGGTTGTCGGTTTCAAATTCTTCGGTTAACCGAAATCGAACAGAAAATCTTCGGTTTTTCGGTTTGGTTTGAAACCGACAACCCTAGTTGTGGAAAAAGAGAATTTGGAGGAAATAATACATAAAAGGGGAATATAGTGGGGAAGTATCTCGATTTTTTATCTAAACAAAAAATTTTCTTTTCGGCAAGGTTGAGCATAAATTACCTTAGATAAACTCACTTAAAATAAAATCTTAAAAAAGTTAGAAAAAAAGAAAAAGTTAAGATAAGACAAAAATATTTTTATAATTTTAATTATTTATAGACAATATAATTTTTTTATCAAATATTATCTTTCTCTCATTTAATTTTTCTGCTAATTTTATTCACAACCGTTGCTAGGGGAAATAGAAAAAATAGAAAAGCAATATTTACTTTTTTTGGTACTAAAAATAATTTATGCAAAAAATATATTGAAAAGTTTTTTCAAATAAAAAAAGTAATTTTAAGCATTAAAAGCAAAAATTCTCAAATGATTCATAAAAGAAAATATTTTTACTAAATATCATTGGAGAAAAAATGACAAACAAGCACGTCTTTATAGATTGGAAATTAGAAAAGTCCTCATAAAAAGTCCTCATACCAGGGATCCTGCCGACAAAAAACCAAAATTTACGATTTCGGGAAATCGAGATCCCGACCTTAAAAAACGACGGGAATGCCCGATTTTCGAAAATCGGGACGGCAAGATCCCTGATACATACAATGTACTATCAGCTTTTAACTCATATAACTCAAATATTAAATTCTTTTTTTTCATTAGCTCCCCTCAATATTGCCAAATTACTTAAATAACACCATAATTTGGAATAAAAGGTTAATTTTAGGTATAAACTTTCAAAAAGTAAATCGACCTTGTTGGTTATTTTTATTAAAAAAATAAATTTATTTCTAATCATTTTTGCAGTGTTTTCATTTAAAAAATTAATTTTTGCTCAATTTTTAATTTATTATCTTTTACTATTTAATTTTGGAAAGAAAATAAAAAATTTACCGTTTTATCATTAAAAATTAAAGTAAATAATTTATTAATCAAAATAAAAGTAGAGATTTTTTAATATATAGATTTAACTGATAATAATTTGTGGACGATATGAAATGAGTAAAAAGGAAGGGAAAGAATTGAGAGGATTAAACGATTATATTTAAAACAAAACGATCTAAAAACTTTTTTTTAACTAAAAAATTCAATAAATCACCAACTAAAATGTTTCGGTCTTTTGGATAAATTTGATAGAGAGATGAATAAAATTGAGAAGTATTTGCACTAAAAATAAATTGTAAAGGAGAAAGACGAGAGTAAAAAGTAAAAGGATCAAAGTAGATTATTGTTTTATTGATTTAGGTGGAGGGTTTTTCTCAATAAAAATCAGAAATGAATAAATATCAGTTGGAGGTAAAAATATTTTTTTGACTTTTGGGTAACAAAAAAGAGACGTTTTATTCGATCGCAAACTGAGCGCCAGCCGACCTTGAACATCTATTAATTTATGAAGCTTGATCCAGTACGAATGAATTTTGTATCATTCAAGAGCCATCGATGAGCTCTATTTTTTCTAATAGGATATACATATCAAGTCTGATCATTCATTAAAAAGTTATAACCTGATAAGTTATTTGGCGTTTTTCACAGTTATCGGGTTATAAATTTTTAATTGGTGATCATACTTGATCCATCCAATTGGTAAAAAGATAGTGCTTATCGAGGGCTTCCGAATGTATTGGATCAAGCATCAAAAAGTTATAGCTGTTCAGTCGGCTGGTACTCAGTTTACCTACTTTTTAATTTAAAAAAGTAAATAAATGTTTTTTAAAAGAAACAAAAAATAGTAAAATGTCACTTCATAAAAGCAATCGATGGCATTGAAGAATTTTTGTTTGAGAAAATAATAATAATAATATTTTTTGTCAAAAGCAGCTGCCTGTCACGTGTTTTTCTTTTTTTATTTTAAAAGCTATTTTATAGTATTTAATTTATTTTCTTTACAAATAAAATTATTTTAAATAAAAAGAAAAAAATTATTTAAAATTAATTTAAAGAAAAAGAGAGGGAAATAATTTAATTTTAAATATTTTTTAGAATTAAAGATCACCTAGAAGAAATTGGAAAAAATGGAAAAAAGTTTAAGAAATAAGCGCATGCCTTTAATAGTAAATGACAAATTTAATTTTAAAGAGTCATCTGGAAATAATCAATAAATGTAGAGAAACATGCAAAAAAGTGGGCAAATATTTCGTTAATATTTTTTAAAAAAATTATTTTTTAAACAAAGATACAAAAGATTATTAAAATTTAAGTAATTAATTGTTTAGAAAATCCAGTTTTTGAATTATTCGACATTTAATAAATTTTGGAAATATTCTTTTAATTTTTGAATACAAACTTCATTAAAAAACTTTTTTATGAGTGATCAGACCTGATCCATTTTTATGAGTTATCGAGGGTATAAGAGAAAGCTTATCGAGGGCTTTCGAATGATATAAAATTCATCTGTATTGGATCAAGCATCAAAAAAGTATAGCTTTTAAAATTCGGCTGTTACTCATCAGTTTGCGGTCGATTAACGGAAAAGTACCAAAAAATCTATTAAAAATTTACAAAAAAATACAAAACGGATCTTTACTTTCTTCAAGTATTGGATATTTATTTTTATTTCTGAAGAGTTTTATCCACTTAAATGTCTTTGGGCACTCTATTATTAAATTATTTTTACCAAAATTTTGAATAATATTATTTTTGTATTCACTATTATTTTCTAAATAAATTTATTTAAAATTAAATGCAAATAATAAATTTTTCCTTATTTTATTCATTTCGTTCAATTTTTCTTTTTTATCAAATATTTTATCGAACAAACATCAACGCTCAGTTTTGGGGAATGGGTGGACCAATGCAAATGAATGGAGGAGGATGGGGTGGAGGTGGAGGTAAAAAAAGGAAATTTTTATTAAGGTGGTCACGACCGGTTTTTTAAATCGAAAATTGTTAAAAATTAACTGTTTTTGAGGAAAATTGAAACCAAAAACCGATAATTTCTGAAAATAATTTGTTAGAAATACTCTTCACAAAATAAATCTGTATTCGACTAAAAACCAAAACCGAAAATCTGGTTATGTAATTTGGATTAGTCGAAAACCGAAGGTCAATAGCTGGTTGTGACCACACTGATTTCCATCTGTTGAAGATTTTTTGAAAGGGTTTTCCTTCGATTTTTTTCTTTCAAGATTAATAATTATCACCAAGTATCGTTATTTTTTCAATAAACAGAAGCTAAAAATCTGAAGGACTCTTTATTATTTCAGATAAAAACTTTTGAAATTTTTAGGAGGTTGGGGTCGTCCTTTCTGGGGAGGAATGCCAATGTCATTTAGAGGAGGATGGGGAGGGGTTGGTGGAGGTATGTCACAAATGGGAATGGGACAAATGTGGCCAGGCAATGGAGGGATGTTTGGTGGAAAATAATTGATATTTAGTAATTGTAAAATAAATTATTTACATACTAGGTAAGTTGTAAGATAAAATAACATTATTTAAAATATTTTGAGTTGTTTAATAATTTTAAAATTAAAAATTGTTTTAAAAGATAAAATAATTTTCGTTTTATTAAAAAAAAATTAACAAAGAATATTTTTTAAAATTATTTTTAAATTTGCACTATCAAATTTCTCCTTTCTCAAATGATGTCAAAACACAATCTGCACACCAACAAATTTCCACAAATTTATATATGTACTTCATTATTTAAATATACTAAAATTAATGAATAATACTACATAGTAGGGTTGCCGTTTTCGATTCGAGCCGACGTTCGGTGCATTTTTTCGAGCTTGGTTTTTTTTCGATTCGGTTCGTTTTCGAGCTGAAAAGCCCAGGCTCGCTCGATCTTTCGAGTTTCGGTTCGAGCGAGCTGGCAACCCTACTACACAGAATATGTAGATGCAGACCTGCTCATGGATACGAATACAGATAATATCAAGGTGACTGGGATATCCGTCTGTATCCGCCGTATATACCCGGATACGGATAACGAAATCAGTTTACATGAGCAGGTCTGTTTTGATGTAAAAAAAGATTAAAATAATCAAAGGGAAGGATGTTTTATGTCGGTCCGCAAATGTACTGTCTTGGTTATCCTTTATGTCTGTCAATAAAGTCAGTTATGTGCTGTCACTAAACAAATGAAAGAATCGATAATAACTACGTATAGTCCAAAAAAAATATTTTTTTTGTGTTTTTCATTAAAATAAATTTTTTTTAATATTTTGAGGTTTTTAAACCTCTGTTGCACATTACAAAATATTTTGTATTTAGAGACAAATTAACATAGGCCTCTTAAAGGGTTAAAGGGGAATTAACAACAATTTTTGGAACGTCTTAAACAGAAAAATTTTAAAGATTAATCTTTTAAATATTTTTCTGTTTCAACATACATACAGTGTGTAACAAAACTATAACCCCACCTAAAATTTTTAAATTTCTTAGGTTCTAGTGAATGAAATTTTTTTAAATTTTTACCAAATATAATAAATGTAATTTAAAGCAAAAATTAAAAAAATTTTTATTGAACATTTTTTCAAAAATTTTTTTTCTAACTTTTTATGGAATCTAGGTGTAACATAACTATAACCCCACTTTGAAAAATTTTATTTCTCACATTAGCAACGCTTGAAAAATTTTGAAAAAATTTCTGTAATCATTTCCATCAATTCTATCAATCTACAAATCAATTCTATCAATCTACAAATACTTTCTTCATCGAGATCTCAAAACCCTAAAATCAACGGAAAATAGGGGTACAGTACTTAAAAAAATATTTTAACACCCATAGGCAATATATTAAAAATTTTTTTCAGGCTCGCCGAAAAGCCCACAAAATTTGCTACAAAAAACACTTGGTCCTATCTTTGGGAAAAATCTTCCCGTTGAGATCTCATCGGTTAAATTTAAAAGTTAGAAATAACGACAATTTATGGGGTAATTTGAGTGAATTTATGTATCTGCTCCTTTAACCGATTAGGGCTCAATAGTAAGATTTTTCTCAAGAATGGGACTAGGTGTCTTTTGTAGCAAATTTTGTGGGCTTTCTATCCGGCTAAAGAGAAAAGTTTTATAAAAGCTCTAAGGGTGTTAAAATATTTTTTTAAGTACTGTACCCCTATTTTCCGTTGATTTTAGGGTTTTGAGATCTCGATGAAGAAAGTATTTGTAGACCTCGGACTTTTTGTTTTTCTACTTAATATTGATGGAAATGATTACAGAAATTTTTTCAAAATTTTTCAAGCGTTGCTAATGTGAGAAATAAAATTTTTCAAAGTGGGGTTATAGTTATGTTACACCTAGATTCCATAAAAAGTTAGAAAAAAAATTTTTGAAAAAATGTTCAATAAAAATTTTTTTAATTTTTGCTTTAAATTACATTTATTATATTTGGTAAAAATTTAAAAAATTTTCATTCACTAGAACCTAAGAATTTTAAAAATTTTAGGTGGGGTTATAGTTTTGTTACACACTGTACATACATAAACCTCGATAAAATATTTTTAAAATATAATTTATCATTTATTGAATTATACCTAATTTTTATTTCACAATATTAAATTTCTTTAACTATAGCCTTAACAAAATTAGCCAATTTTTATATTCATAAAATATTAAAATGCAGCTTCAAGATTTGCCTCCAGAAATTTTGGTTTAATTTTTAAAAAATAAATTGAATATTTATTTTTTCAGAAATATATTTTTGATTTTCTGACTTTTAATGAAAAAATTAAAATTGAACGTGTATGTAAAGAATGGAAAGATTTGTGTTGGAATTTTGCTTGGTTGGATTGTAAAAATTTAATATTTGTTTACGAGGATTTACTTTTATTTAAAAATTTTAAAAATACAAAAGAATTAATTAATAAATCAATGGAAGGATTAAGTTTTAAAGAAATTATTTGGACACCACGAAGATTGGATGAACATAAAAAATTACTTTGTAATAATTCATTGGACAAAAGGCGGCCTTCAAGAACTGTTTGTTAATTAGAGTGGTTAATAATTACCGTAAATATCCTAATAGAAGGGGGTTTAATAAATCCTAATAATAATTTTTAAATCAAAAAATGTACAAAGTTTTAACTTTTAGAGATTGGGTGTTGGTATTATCCACATTTTTGATCTGGATAGCTAATAATAAGAATATTTCTCTATAATTATTAAATTAAAAATATTTTAAAATTTCCATAAAATATTTAAATAATTCTTCCATTCCTTCTATTAAATATGTATGTATTTTTTCCTTCATTTAGTTAGGAATATTCAATGCTTTAATTCGACGGTCTGCTCCATATTTAGAATTACTTTGTATTGAAAGAGGAATTAAAGTTTCAACACGTTTAGGCCGTTATTTTCATTATTTGACGCCTTCTCTTCAACATTTTTCTATGGAGGAACCGATTGATGTTTGGCATTTAAATCAAATTGAGGAGTATTTAGCTCCTAATCTTTTATCGTTGGGTTTAGTTCTTAATAAAAAAGTAAATTTTCTAAAAGTTATTTTGTTTATTAGAAGACTTTAAAAATTAAAGGCATTAATAAAATTAAATTAAAATCCAAAAAAAATTTTTTAATTAAATTTTCTTTTAAAAACAGAAAAAAACTCTCGATGCATTTTTGTCGCTAATTTTAAAATGTCAAAAACTTGAATGTCTTCGAATTAATCGTATTAAGAAAATTTTTGAGAGATCTTTAGAAATTAATCAAAAACAGTTTTTACCCTCAACATTACAACAATTATTTATTTTTGATTATTCAGTTGAAAATTTACACGAAATTTCTAAAATTTGTTCAAAACTTTGGTTTTTATTATTTTATAATCAATATAACGATTATGCTGACGAATTAACTGACACAAAAATTTTTAGGTAAAAAGTACTACGTACATATCATGGGTGTTTCGAAAGTGATTTTAAAAACCGAAAGACGGAAGGCGAAACTCGCACACCCCTGATATGTATATCAGGGTTGCCGCCCGAAACCCGATACCCAAAAAGAAAATTTTCCAACCCGAAACCCGTACCCAAAAATTTTTTGTACCCGCGGCAACACTGATGTATATATTTTAATATAATTTTAATTTTTAGTTTATGTTCACCTTTCTTTTTCACAATAAGCAAAAACTATTTAAATTTTCATCCAAATCTATATTTTCTACGTGCATTAGCAGTTGAGTGAGAAATAATATTTGTTCCTCTTTATACTTCTTTTTATTTTAACCCTTCTTTAAATTAAAGTCCAAATACAAGCCCAATTCAAATAAATATTTATTTCAAAGAGGCAATACAATTCAACAAATAAATTATGGGAATAAATAAAGAGGGGAAACACCACTAACAAAATTAAGAATGAACCGAATGAACGACTGAACGAATTTGGGGAGAGAGAATTTTCTTTTATAGGAACATAAATGGGATAAAATGTCATTTATTTATTTTAAATTAAAATTAAAGTCATTTGAGTCTGAGAGTTACCACATCTCCACCTTCTAAGAAGACGAGTCCCTCGGCTTAGCATTCGGCTGCGAAAGGGGGTGGTTCATAGACGGTCTCGATCTGCTTTTATCATAACGTCTGATTCTCTTGAAGACAGAACGATTCGGGGTTCGGTCGCCTAGACCTCGTCCCCTTCGATTTTCATTTCCATGCCAACGGCTTCTAGGAGGTTGATCGCCTAGATCGCGCTCCCTTCGATTTTCATTGCCACTCCAACGACTTCTAGGAGTTTGATCGCCTAGATCACGCTCCCTCCAATTTTCATTGTCATTACCAAGACTTCTAGGAGTTTGGTCGCCTAGACCGCACCTCCTTGAATCATTTCTCATTGAGTTCCTTCCGCTTACTTCATTTCTCGGAACAACTCTTTTCGATTTGACGTTCTGAACGCCTAGTTCAACAATTGGCATTTGGGTTGCCTTCAATGTTTCAATTTCGTTCCTTTTCGAACGTTTGTCTATCAACCGGCTCTCAACCTTACCACCTCTCCCCTCCTCGTATTTAGATAATTCCGTCCTCGGAATTGTTTCGAGTGTTTTTCTTTTAAATTCTCCTTTTCGGTTCAAACATTTTTCAATTCCTTTTATCAATTTTGGCGGTTTCAAGCTTAAATTTTCATTCTTGTCTCTCATCTTTGAAAGCTTTTTCTTTTCATAAATTCTGGAAATTCTCAATTTTCTTCCTTCGAAAGACAATTCATTTAATTCAAAAGCCCTCTTAATTGAAGTCGGGTCAATAAATTCGATGTAGCCTACTCCCTTGCAAAATCCCGTTTGCTTATTTCGAAGTAAACGAACGCCAGTAATTTTTCCACATTTCGAAAAATATGCTCTAACTGATTCGTTTATTGTTTTATAAGGAAGATTTCCTACAAAAATTGACCTTTTCGTGTCAAATTTTCGTTTTTGTTCCATATCAATTCGAATAAAGTTGCTGTTCAATATTCTACTATTTTTATTGGCAGTCTCAGCCTTTTCATCTTTAGACAATTCTTTTATAAAAGCATTACTTTTTTCCTCAAATTCAACTTTCTTTTCATCTTCCTTTAAATCTTCGTCTATTTTATTCTCTCTAATTTTATTCAAATTTTCATTTTCTTTCTTTTTATCACTTCCAGCTTTATCTTCAAATACGTTGAGTTCTTTTTCAGCGGATCCTACATCGTCAAATTCAACGCTTAATGTTTGGATCCGTGTCCTATAAATGACTCTTTCTGCATCGTTGTTTTGGTCTAAACCTTCACTTCCAAAATCAATTAAATCATTATTAGGAATATCCAATAATTTAAATCCTAATTTGCCTAGTGAATTTGTGCCGAAAAGTAGATCATAGCCGAAAGGGGCATCGGTTATGTGAAAACACGTTTTGATTTCTTCCTGGTTTTCACGCTTTATTTCCAACTCAACTATTCCATGGCATTCTAGCTTTTGTCCATTAACATCGGAAATCTTAGTTTTTGCTCTTGAAAATCCAATGTTCTTTAATTCAATTTCCTTGTCTTTAAGCATTTTTAAAAGAAAATTTGAGCTTATTAGCGAAATTTGAGCTCCACCATCTAGCATTCCTTTCGCAGATAGACCTTTTACGTTAACTTTGATTGACATTACTGGGCCTATGGAGTTCTTTATTATCTCCGCTTTTGCTTCATGTTCGGGAATTTTCTTAAGTTCTTCTTTGATTTCCAAAATGTTTATCCCACAAGAGTTGACGTGATTTTCAGGAATTTCGTCATGAATAGTTATGCAACCGTTTTTGAGTTGATTGCTTGACGGTGGGAGTGCTCTAGTTTGGCCATTTCCTCGCCAAGCTGATGTGCTTCTATTTGGCTCGATACTGTTATTTTTAATATCCAGAAATGTTCTATTCGCTCCAGTAGCAGCTGCCACGTTGTCTTTTAACATATTTTGATTATTTCGATTAGAGAAGCAATCACGTGAGAGATGACCTGGTTTTCCACAGTTAAAGCAGGTAATTTCGTTTCGCGAGGTAAAAGTATTACGTTGTGAGAATTGTTGGACAGAAGATTTAGATTGGAAATTAATATGACGAGTTGCTTTTTGCGTCGATTCTGCTCTAGCTGCCAGAGATACGAAACTGTCGAAACTCATTCCGTCTTGTCGAGCTATTTCGAGATTAAGTGCAAGGTTTGAGTCACCGATACTTCTTATCAAATGCTTTATTGAATATTCATCTAATAAATTATTTGTCATCCCTGGGTAAGCTTGTTTGACTAAAGATGCAATTCTATTGGCCAGTGAATCAATATTTTCATTCTCCTGTCTCTTAACTCCAGACATGAGTTCGTCGAAAGCACAAATTTCTTTTGTATCTGTTGTTTCGAGAATACGAAGCATTTCTCGTCGCACTGATGAATAAATAAATGGACAATTTCCTAACGCAGTATTAAAAGCTCTTTCAGCTCTTCCGCTGATTTTAGATTCCAATGCTTTTAATCGCACAACATCTGATATCCCTTCAGTAGCAGAGTCGAATTTTTTGAAAAATGTCTTAATTTGATCGACACCTTCAGGACCTTTCAAATCTGAAATCTTATCTAATGCCCACGACAAAGACATCCTATCGAAGCTGTGCATGAACCCAGCAAAATCAGTTGTGGGTCTTTGGTTAGTTTCACTATTGATTGGTGGCTGCGCCACTTGTGTAACAGACTGTTGGAAATTCTGCTGAGGTTGAGCTTGATTAACAGAGTTCAGTTGAGGTGGAAAATTTTGCGAGTTATTCGTTGGAATTTGCGGATACTGCATAAACTGCTGGGGATACATGGGCATTAACATAGGAACTTGACAATTAGGAAATTGTGTATACATTTGCTGATTTGGGAACTGCTGTGTCATAACAGGCATGTTCTGAATTTGGAATGGAAAACAAACATTCTGTGCCGACTGTGCTGGCGTGGTTTGAGTTTCGATCGTTCTCATAACATTTTCTCCTCTTTCACTTTCATCAAGAATATCGTCCATTCCTAGAGCCTTTGATGAATTACAAAACAAAAATCAATTCAAACAATTTTCAAAATTGTGCCCGCCTAGGGTCTTTTTGTTGAGTCAATTTGTTTGCAGCAATTGAATCGATTGCCTGCCAAGGTCAAACAAAGTTTAAAAATTTCTCTTTCTTGTTTCTTTTTACACCCACCTAGGGTCTTTTGCAGATTTAAAAAAAATCGATTTTTCACCCGCCTAGGGTTTTTGTTGAAGAAAATAAATTAAAGTTTTTCACAAAACTTTCTAAAATTAAAAAAATTTTTTTTTTGAGTCGAAGCTCGCCTAGAGCTGTATATGCTCGCCTAGAGCTGTATATGCTCGCCTAGAGCTTTAAATTCAAAAAATAAAAAAATTTGTTGTTGCTCGCCTAGAGCCTTCAAATAAAAATTCAAAGTCGATCTCGAGACCGTTGAAAAATTTTGGAAAATTTTTCGTCGACAGGAGCGCCACGTGAGAAATAATATTTGTTCCTCTTTATACTTCTTTTTATTTTAACCCTTCTTTAAATTAAAGTCCAAATACAAGCCCAATTCAAATAAATATTTATTTCAAAGAGGCAATACAATTCAACAAATAAATTATGGGAATAAATAAAGAGGGGAAACACCACTAACAAAATTAAGAATGAACCGAATGAACGACTGAACGAATTTGGGGAGAGAGAATTTTCTTTTATAGGAACATAAATGGGATAAAATGTCATTTATTTATTTTAAATTAAAATTAAAGTCATTTGAGTCTGAGAGTTACCACAGTTGATTATTATTCTCCACTTAATAACGTATATTTAAATTAAATTAAAAAAATATTATTTAATTCACTTTCAAGTCAGATTTATTAAAAATAGCCTCTTCTTGTCCAAATTTGGAACATTTAGATTTTTGTTGGGAAAATTATGTTGATGGTTTAGAGGGCCCAGTAGATGCTCGACAATTAGAAGTTCTTTATTTATTCAAAAAACTTTCTTCCCTTTCTATAGAAATTATTATTATTTCGAGGAGTTGTGCAAATGAAGCAATGCCTTTTCACAGAGTTTTGGAAAGATTTTTTTTAATTAAAAATTAATTTTTTAAAGTTATTATGTGATAATGGTAATGCTAGATTTGATGATTTTATTTTTGAATTTTTTATTAAATTAAATTCAATTACTCCTTTAAGGGTAAGAAATAATGTGAATTTGTATTATTTTAATTAAATTGAGAACTTTTTTTATGATTTTAAAATTAGAAAATACCGTATATGCTCTATTAATTACCCCCCTCCAGCGAGAGATTGAACAATAATTACCCTCTCTAACAATTTCCCCCTCCCCTATTTTTTTATATTAATTTTAAAAATATTAAAATCATAAATATCAATAATGAAATATTGTAAGGATCAATATAAAGATATGGAGGGGTTAAAAGATTTGGGAAGATAATGAGGAATTTATGTAGATATTCACGGATTAAGTGAAGTTGATATAGGTAATGAAAATTAAGAAGCTTTAGGTATCAAGGCATTTCCCCCGATTTTATCCTTCTCTCTTTATAAATTTTGGTATTCCCTACATACCTAAAATACATAGTTTACGATAGACTAGAAGCCTTTATATATCCCAAGTTAGAAGCATTGATGTTATGCTACCATTTTGGGTTGCATTATTTTGGAATATATTAAGGGGTTAAAAATAATAACTTCAACATTTTTCCACAATTTTTCTTTCAATTTTTTAGAACTTGGAATTTCGTAATCCACTATCTTTTTATTTGCACAGTGAATATGCATTGAAACTTTTGAAGGATTTAAATGTAAAAAAAATTTATTTAAATTTTATTTTTAAAAATAAATTTATTTTAAAGGCTTTAGAAACATTTACTTGTACTTTGGATAGATTTGATGAATTAAATGAACTTGTTGAAGAAAATGAATTTTTTCAAAAACTTGATAAAATATTAAAAGAAAATGAAAATAAATTAAAAGCTTCTTTCCGATTTTTGGTTTTCTTTTGGCTTTGAAATTTTTAAAATAATTTTTAAGTATCAAAATTATTTAAGAAGACCTGATACTATTTTTGAATGGAGAAAAGGATATTTATTTGAAGTAATTAAAGTTGCTAAACCCGACCCTTTTAAAGATTTTATTTTTGGAAATTCTATTGTTTTGAAGGAAATAATGAATGAAACATTTGGGAAGAAAAAAACGTTTGTAAAAATTATAGAAATTATTTAAAAAAAGATTTTTTAATTTAGGCAAATTCTTTTAAGAAATATGGGGAATGAAGTTAATGAAAGATGTAATTTAGAATTTATGTACTAAATACTTAGTTACTTTAAATTATTAAATATCTCTATGTGATTTTTAATTTTCTAAATTAATTTTTAATAAATACTTTTTACAAATTTAATTATTTCTAATTCCCGTAAATGCTCGGCTCTATTAGAACCCATATCCAATACAAAATCACCCAAGGTAGAAGCCCTCTCAAAAATATACAAAAAATCTCCGTTCTAATGGCTTGATTAATTCGAATACCGTGTAACTGTATTAATTGTTCTCCCTCAAATAATTACCCCACTTCCATTAATTACCCCATCCAGTGATAGATTGAAACAATAATTACCCCCAAACAAATGCCCTAAAACACGTTCAAATTTCAAACCTTGTATAATTACCCTCCCTCGATTAATTACTCCCTTCAGCGGAAGGTCGAACCAATAATTACCTGGGGTAGTTATTAAAGGATATACGGTATTCTAAGTTATAATTCTAGAATTAAAAAAAATTTTTTAAAGATACTTATAACATAACTTTCTTTGGCTCTACTCCAGTTTATGCGTCCAATCGACTTTTATGCGTCCAATGAAAGTTTATGCGTCCAATAAAAAGAAAATTGGATTTTTCTTGGTATTGCACAGTTGGGGTATGGGTCCACAACATTTCTTCATGTTCGGGACCTACGTCCTCTGGGTCTGGGACCATTCCTTGCCCTATCCCTAGAAATTTTTTAAAGTTAGAGCCAATTTTTTAAAATTTCAGAAAAACGATTATAACTTTCAGAAATTTCGAGGGGTCGGGTAAGGAACGGTCCCAGACCCAGTGGACGTAGGTCCCGAACATGAAGAAATGGTTTGGAGCCATACCCCAACTTTGTAATACCAAAAAAATCCAATTTTCTTTTTATTGGACGCATAAACTTTCATTGGACGCATAAAAGTCGATTGGACGCATAAACTGGAGTAGAGCCCTTTCTTTTATTTTAAAAATATTATCTGAAAACAAATATTTTCTAAAATTAGTTTTAAAATTCGCAATATCAAATTTCTCCATTCTTCTCAAGTGATGTCAAAACACAATCAGGCAAACTGACGCGAAGACTATCTCTTGTAATCTAAAAATTCTTTTAATCTTTAACAATTTCAATTTTCCCACTCACTTTCGCAACAAGTTCCCAAGCTTTAGACCCACAACTTCTTTCAACTAAAGGTCTACAACAATCCAAATAATTATTCATTGTAAAACAAAGTTGGCTTTGTTGAGTTTTATCGTTAAATTTTTCTCCATTATTTTCATATTTTTTATTTGTTGCTTTATCCATTTCTTGTCCAGCAACAGACCGACAGTGAATATAATCTGCTCTGTTTTCAACTCGAGAAAAGCAATCTGCATGTTCTTTAAATTGTTGATTTCCTATACCGCACATATAACTAAAATTAGTTTTATATTGTTTTTTCATTTATAGAGTTCTTAAATTTTTATTTTATAATAGTGTGGAATTGTTATGGTTGGAGGAGAGCCAAATTAAGAATTTAAAAAATTTAGTTTCAAATTAAATGTTTATTTTTATTGGGTTTTAACAGGATTCAAGTCATTAATAGGAAGAATGGTCTTTAAAAGTTGTATCTTTATGTAAACAAATAGACCAAGAATTATTTAATTTTCGAACCTCATTTTTAGATATCCCTAAAATTTAGATACCCCTTGAGTTAAGATGTTTTTTTACATAAATTTAGTTAGCCACTTAGTAGAGCTACATAAACGTTACTATTAATTTATGCCTTTAATGCTCTTCATTATAAGGTACGATTTTCTCGTCCTCAAGGAGGTATCTTAAAATGAGGTGAGCTTGTGTAATAATTACCCATAACTAGCTTCTACTGCCCTCACTGACAAACTTTCACATTCCAATGTTGATGTACATTCCTATACAAAAATTAAATTTTAATTAAAGAACAAATTATTACAAGCCTTAAAATCTGCATAAAGTGAACACAATTGTCTAAAAACTTGTGGCCCTTCAGGTAATGAAAAATGTCTTTGATGTTTTCCTTCCTCGTTCTGCTCTAAATTTTGCCTTTCTTGAACAACATTTGCAAAGGCCAACATTGGCTCTAAACATCGAGTAGCTAATTTTTCATTTTTGTTGTTACAATTAGAATATTGTTGTTCTTCTAATGAATTAATTTTGGAAATTATTAAAAATAAATAGTTTAAAATAAATAATGAAGTTTTAATAGGCATTTTTAAAATATTAAATTTATAATTTAAATTTTACATTCTTTTAAATTATTGATATTTTAAAAATTTTTTATTAAATTTGAAAGTAGTATTTTATAAAATAATTTTTAAACTTGGGTATATTAAAAGAGAATACCGTATAACCTGTATTAATTGCCCTCCCTCAAATAATTACCTCACTTCTATTAATTACCCCATCCAGCGATAGATTGAAACAATACTTACCCTGGGTAGTAATTAAAGGATATACTCTAACTCAGAAACTAGCATACTTTTAAAATTGTAAATTAATTTTATGCTTAATAATAGGTCCATAATTTTTAATGAATATAATTAAATTATTGTCTCATTAAACTATCTTATTAATTTTATATAACCATTTTATGTAAAAATGCTTTATTATTGAGGATATTTGCTTTTCCTTTTCTGCCAATAATTATTTTATTTTAAAATAATTGATGGACATTAAAGTTTAAAAGTTTATTTTTTGGCAAATATTAATAGAGGAAAATCGACTTTCATTTACCTCCATAAACTTTTTAAAATAAAAAATTTTTTAAAGGACTTTTTTTCTTTTAAATAAAGGCAATTTTAAGGGTTGGACAAAATTGTTGACTTTTATTTTTTATATTAAAGCTTATTTTATTCATAATGTTGAAGTGTAAGAATAAGTTTATGTCAATACATATATACTAACAACATTCATCAAAAAATGCGTGAACAAAAAATAAAAAGACGGCATTTGTTATTTCCTTTTTCCTCACTAATTTTGGCAAAAAATATTCAATTTAAGTTTGTAAAAATCGAATAAATCTTTGATGAAGAGAAATAATTAGAGCTGTGATTTTTATGCAAATGCATATTTTTTTTGCAAACTTGGCATCATGTATAAAGCAAAAAAAACACTGTTTCAGCTTGTTTTGAAAACTCTAGAGGGGGTTTCTATTTGCATATAATGCATATTTTTGCATATTTCAGAGTTTGCTGCATAATGCATATTTTACTGCATATTTTGAGGATTTTGGGGAAAAAATCCTGCCAAAAAGTGAAAATTTTGTAAAAATTTTGGAAAAAATTTGTAAAATTAAAAAAATTTTTTTTGTTTATTGGGCGAGACCCAAAAATGGCCTACTCCAAAATGTCACACCGCCAAAACGCCACATCTCAAAATGTCCAACGATGTAAAAATACCCAATTTGTTGAACAATACATATAAACTGGGAGTAATCTTAATAAAAATAGGTGTTTGAATGTTTTTGACTAAGAAAATGTAAAATTTCTAGGTATAAATTGTATTTTTATTGCATATTTTCGTGGATATTTTAAGTTTTATGCATATTTAAGTGCATATTTCGGCAATTTTTTATGCATATTATAGTGCATATTTTGCATTTTTTAATGCATAAAATTCACAGCTCTAGAAATAATACATTCACATTTGAGAAGTAAATATGTATTAGGGCTGGATACAAACTGTTAACCGAACCTGAACAGTTAAACAGGTATTTTAGCCAATTAAGTAGAACCGAAAATTGGGGGTAACGGTTAATAACCAGCTGTGTCCAACCTCAATGAATTGCTTCTTTCTCACTAATTTTGGCAAATCTGAATATACTCGAGAGATTTTTACCTACATACCATAAATTCCCTAATAGAAGCACATGCACTTTTATTTTTCGATCCTCCCGTAAGGGTGTGCAACTATTAGAGAATTTACGGTATGTTGTCTTATAAAAATACAAATTTAAAAAACAATCATAATTTTATTTTAACAAATCTAGCTGATGAAAATTACAAAATCAAAGATTGAAAACAAAATTAGTAAGTCTCTAAGGATTTTACAAAAATCTAAATTTAATTAAAAGAAACGTCCAATCACATGAGCCAAATCAAGAATTCTTTTTTCACATTCCAAAATGCGAAAAATTTCGGAAAAATAAGGTCGTTCAGAACGATCAGGTAGAAGAGCGGAAGGAATGATTTTACTAGAAAATTAATTAATTATTTTAATAAAATTTTTTGAATATACGCGAGAGATTCGGGTGGATGGGGAAGTTGTTCTGAAGCTTTAAGAAAAACAGCTTTACGTCTACGTCTAAAAATTAAATTTTAATTACATTTAATTAAAATCATTAACTGTTCAGGCATTCCTTGTTGGGATTCTTTTTTGTTTAAATGTCCAGGCATAAAATAAGGGTCATCCCTTCCAGCCGTTAAAGATAGAAATTCTTCCATACTTGAATAACTAGAAAATATTTAGAATTTAATTTATTTATTAAATTAATATTTTATTAAAATGTGGAGAGAGGATAGTGAGAGAGGTTTATTGTTTAAAAAGAAATCTCTTAAAAATTATCAAAATTTTATGGGAGAAAAGGGAAGAGGGGAGAATTTCCCTTTCAAGCCTTTCTATAATCAAATAAAACTATCCAAGTCTTAAACGAAAAGTTTTTTCACAATTCCAAAATTTACATAATTCTATTTCCAAATTGGTGATGAGTATATATTTGCCATATTAATAGACCAAAAGTCCAAACTTGAGAAGTACAATCAAATTGGTTGTTAATTAACGTCTCTGCTGGCAAATAACTTTAAAAAATAATTTTTATTTAAAAAATTTCTATTTTCTTTTTACCGCCATCCATCACTAAACATAATAGTCCTTTGACTAATAGAATTAGGTAAATTTCTTTGAAAAAGATTTAAATCTCCGGGATCATTTTCTGTCCAAAAATCTGAAAGACGTAAATTCTCCATATTATCTAATAAACAAGAACGAGCAGTTAAACGTTTATGTAAAATCCCTCTATCCATTAAAAAATTTAATCCTTTGGCTGCCTTTGAAAATAAAAAAATTATGTGGCTGATCGATGGATTAAATAAGTTAATAAAGGGAAGGACCAGAAGAGCCAGTCATCTTTTTTAGCTTTTCTGATACCGTTTTTTAAGTTTCTCAATTAGGTAGTTCCTTCCACAAGTGACGTGACAGGTCAAAGGAAAAATTAAGGAAGTAATCTAATTACTCTAAGACGTTCCCTCTAGGGGTGTTCCGCAACGGGAGAGGGGGATTTGAGATGATCCTGAGATTTAAATCTCCAGATCATCTCAATTATCTCAAGACGGGAACAACCCTAGTTCCATTTACAAACTTAAGCAAAAAATAATTAAGTACTTGATATCCCCATTTAATATATTGACGGGAAGGCAAAACATTTTGTAAATCAAATAAACGATCAAAAAGAGATGTTGCTTTAGCAATTTGGTCAAATCTAACAAATATTAAAGGAGAACCATTATACGAGCACGAATGTAAAATAAAAAAGTCGAGAACACGAACCAAGTTTCTGAAATAAATTTTGATCAAAAAAATAATTTTTAAAATAAAATGAACAGAATAAATTTAAAAAACGTTCAAAATCAGCGTTCATATTGGAGTTTTAAATACTATGTACATATATACATATTTAAATTTTTTTAAATTGTCGGAAACCTTGAAGCCCTTTAACTTTTCGAAATGGGGGTCAGGGGAAGAAAAGCAGAAAAACTACAATAGGTTTTCGACCACGCTCTACACGATGGTATAATTTTTATTTGAAAATTTTTGGTTTCAGGTTGAAATGTTCCCTTGTTAACAGTATTTTCAAAAAACCCCTACTCTACCCACCTATGTTTAATTTCAATTAATTTCTCCAAATCCTCCTCCACTTGTTTACTACTCGAAAAGTCATGTCGCAATATTCTCACAAAACCAGGCTCAATTTTATTAGGTTTGACAGAATCTCGAATATTTAAGCACTCTCCATACCCAAAACGTCCAGCAACTAAAAAAATATTTAAAAATAATTTAAATTTATTTTTTTTTACATTTTCTCCTTTTAATTGGTCTAATTAATTGAAATTGATCTCCTTCTCTTGTCTGTATAAAACAAGTATCACGTCCACTGGAAAAAGCTAAAACCAAATCTTCAAGTCGATTAAAGTTTTCATTTAAAAAAGAAAATAAAAGTTGTCCACATTCCTTAAAAGAATTTTGAAATTTTTGGATAAATTTGAAATTATTTTTTTGAATTTTATAAAAATTTTATTTCAAAATTTTTTTGACAAAGAATCAAGTAGAGATCGAGATTTTTGAAAAGCCTGGGCCTGTTAAAGGGTTCGTGATTTGATTTATTGTCCTGGGCCGGATCCTTGGCCTGCAGTCCAGGAAAAACCCAGTAAGGTCAAAAAATGAGTGGGCATGGACTCTGGGTACAAAAAAACCCGGGCCTTGGTCCAGGCCCTAGAATCAAGGCATCACATATTTAACATGTTTTAAATTTACTTGAATAATTTCAATAACAAATTCTTGTATTTTTCCATAAACTTTAACAGACAAAAGTAATTGTAGGTCACGATAATCCTTTAAAAAATAAATTTTTTTGGTAAAAAATATTTAAATACTTGAATAAGAAAATCCCCATTTTTCTCTAATAATTCTTTTGTTTCATCAAAACTTAAACTTTTTGGGCCGTGAAAAAAGGAACAATTCATTAAACTAAATTTAAATGCATCCAATGGTTGCATTGGAAAATCAATTGTTAAAATATCCATAATTTTTGTAAACAGAGTTTGAAAATAAATTAAAAATTAACTGAAAATGAACAAAAAAAATTTTTTATGTTAAAAATTATTAGATAGAAAATCGATGAAGGAAGATTAAAAAAAGAAAATTAAAAAATAATTTTTCCTTAATTCAAATTTATAATTTTGGCCTTCTATTCTTGCGTTATTTTTCTATTTAACTTTATTTAATCTACTAACCCCTATAACTTTTCGAAATGAGGGGCAGGAGAAGAAAAGCATAAAACTACAATAGGTTTTCGACCACGCTCTACACGATGGTATAATTTTTATTTGAAAATTTTTGGTCACAGTTCGAAATGTTCCCTTGTAGGCCAATAAAATAAAAGTGCTTATGTCCCAATACCCATAGAGGAATAAAAATTAAAGAAAACAAACATTTTATTTTATACAACAAAGTCGATTAACATACAAAGTATTTTACAACAAAAATGAGTATTATTTACAATAATTTATATGACACAAGAAAAGGATTCGTCTTATATTCTTCATTATCGCTTCTCAACAAATCATCATTCAACAACTACAAGTACCTCTCCTCTCACTCATCGTCATCTGCTACATTGGCATTTCTAAAAACAAACAGAAAACATTTTTAAATTTTCTTTTACAAAATCTCTTGCCTCATCAGCGACGATTTACTGACAGCTTCGAATGTCGGGTCCACATATTTGGCGTACAAATTATGGGCTCCATATGTTTGTGGCAATGCCAAGTAGAGGAGAAATACAGCTTTCATGGCCCAGTAGAGAGGAAAGTAAAAGTAGATCTGCCAGGCAAACTGATCAGGAACAGAGAAGAAGGCGAACGTTGTCCAATAAACAAGCCATTGCGTGTCGTCATCTGAAAGTTTTTTTGTGATTATTTATTGTAGATTGAGTAGGTTTAGGGGACCTTTCCCGGTCGAATGAATAGCAAGCACCGATTGATATGCCGGATAGGCGAACCCAATCATATTGCAGAGAATGCCAGCAAAGTTTCCAAGGATCAAGTAGAGGATCATGATTGCAAAGCCAATGTAGAAGATCTTGTTTAAAAATAGGGAAATTTGTTAAAAAAAGATTTTCTCTACCTGTTCACGATCTAGGCCAGTGACCGACTCCAATGGAATGAAGAAAGCATCCTTCGAATGCAAAGACTCGAGCAACACTGGGCGAAGATCTCTGAATCCTTGTATCTCACATGGACGGCTGCGAATACGTCGCACTTTGGCCTTCTCATCGGCTGCGGATCGGAGACGGCTCCTTGAAGATGAGCGTGCCGTTGTTGTTGACCTTCCACGTCTTGCCCTAACCGGTGGACTAGCAGCGGCCATGATTGGTTCTGTGTCGGTTGAGTTTGTTTGTCACTTGCGTTGACTGTGAATTGAATATGTGTGGGGTAATTAGGATTAATTTACATGCACTTTTATATCAAGGATCTGGCTTGTTAATTAGACAAACTAGATAGCCGGATATTTAGATTAACCCATGAGGTATTTAACGCATAAATGTTGGTCATCTAGCATCCCAAAACAAAACCATTTCGGTTACAACTCCTCCTATCATGTGAAACTCACGTTCCACAAAACACTTTCTGTATAGGTCAATAACAAAACTATTTATTAGAGCTAACATAGAATCATGCAATAATAAATGATTTCTAAACAAAATATACAAGAAATTAAATTATTTATAAAATTTCTTTGAAATAAATTTTCTAAAAAATATTAACAAATTTTTAAGTATTATTGTTTATAGCTCTTTCTTGCTCCTTTAATTCTGATCTTTTTATGGCGTAGGCATTGATGAAAGCATTAATTATAAATGAACAAAGTCTACTAAAAGCTACAACAGTTTCTTTTCTTTCTTTTGATGATTCAAATTCAATACAAGCAATTAAACCTTTAATAAATAATTTTTTTAATATTTTTTCTTTGGAATATTTTGATTTTTTAAAAAATTTCAAATTAACTTTTTTTAAATAAATTATTTCCCAAAACCGGATCTCATTTATTTTCCATCCATGTTTACGATAATTCTGAACATTCTCATTTTTATCCTTATAACGATTAAAACCCTTAAAGTATTTATAATTACCAAGAAACTGTTGTTGATAAATATCTAAAAAATGAGGTTTCATTCCAAAACGTGCATAACCAGCATGTGTTTCTCCCAATTTTATACAAGAATCTAACATTTTTTGTTCGTCCATATTTAATTCGTAAATTAGCCTTTAAAAAGAAGATTTTTTAAAATTTTATAATGTAAAAATTAACGCTTTTTCTCTCAAAAAAATGTTTAAAAAAATTTTTTTTATTTTATTTTAATTTAATAATTAATAAAAATTACCTTTCATAAAATTTGAATTGTGCTTGGCTATAAAATAATAAAAAATATATTATTTTTTTCATAACAAAAAATTATATTTTTCTTTACCAAATTTTATTAAGTTTTGGCCATTTTCTCAAATCTCTATAGCAATATCTACCACAAGCAATAATTTCATTAAGTTTTGGACTAGCCTCAATACATCTTAACATTGTTTTGTGAAAAATGTCAGGCTTTTTTGTTATTATATGTTGACGCCAACAACGAGCTATTCTACACATATAAAGGAAAAGCAATTAAAAAAGGGAAAATTTAATGGTTAGAAACCGGACTGGGAGGGTCGATAGAGGATATATATCTCGAAAATATTGACCACCGAGATTTAGTATTGGTTCGGCCTCTAGTCCTGATAAAGTTCCAAAAGAGCAAAAAAATACCGTATTTCCTCTAAAATAGCCCCTCCCTCTAAAATAACCCCCTCTAGAGGTTGATCGAAAAAAATAACCCCATGGGGCTATTTTAGAGGAAATATGGTATTTCGAAAATCGAGATTTTGAATCAAATCTAGTCTCGTTTCCCCAAAAATAAATAAATTAAAAAAACTAACAATTCTCTGTCATACATAGTAAGTTGACAATTATTTTCATTATTTAAATTATTAAGATCTGCTAATTTTAAAAAATTAAAAAATGTTTTTTTTTAATTTAAATATTACCGTATGCCTGTTTTGGCACAACCAGAACAAAAGTTTTAACTTTAATAGGATTAACTGCTGCAAGTTTTTGATCAGTTATATTAGTAATAATAGATTCTCCATACATTGTATTCAAACGAGGGCGAATTTTATTTGAGGTACAGCCATTTCCCATTTTTTAAATTTTAATTTTGCTTAAAATACTGAAATTAATTTTTTTCAAATTATTAAAATTAGGAAAAAAAATATTCTATGTTGCAAGTTAGGGTTTTGATAATTAAAAAATGTGAGTAATATGAAAAAAAACAAAAAATATTCTTAAAAGTTTATCACAAAAGAGTGTCCTCACTGAAGAATGAAAATTTAATGGAAAATACGAAAAATTAATAAGGTAAAACAGAAAATGAAAATAAAAAAAGTAAAAATATATAGGTACTTTATTTAATACAAATGAAAAAAAATTTATATCTTAAATTTATGAATGACGAAAATACGGCATTTTTTCTGTTATTTTTTCTTTAAATTAAATAATCACGAGACTCGATAATAAAAGCAATTGAATTAAATGAAAATTATGAAAGGTGTAAACAAGTTTAAGAAAAGGAGTGCCAAATTAGCGGATATAAACTTGCGGACAAAAAATTTTTTATATGTTATATTGCCACCCACACATTTTTTTAAATTTATTGCAAATAAAGTTGACGTTTACCGCCAAATTTACGGTCTAAAGTTTTAAGATTTGTATGTTCGGACTCGAAAAATCAAACTGGGATTAATGCCGCTTTCTATAACCATAACAATAATAGCTAAATATTGTTTAAAACTCCCAACTTAATTTTCAATTTAATAAAAAGTTAAATAATTATGTTTAACAAGTTTTTTTGTCCGCAATACTCTTTTTGCCAAACTAGATAATTTAATTTTTTAATTAAACACCAAAAAACTTTGTTAAAAAAGCATTATCAAATAAAAAAATAAATTAATTTAACCGAAAAAATATTTACATATTTGGTCAATTAAATATTAAATTAATTTAAAAAATAATAAACAAAATTTAAAATAAAAATAAAATAAATCAAAAATAATTGTATGTTTACGAAATTGTTTTTATTTTATTTTCAATAAAAATATTCTAAAAATAGTTTTATTTATTTCTATCATAAAAAATTAAAAATAAATAAAAAAATTATTTTTTTCCGGTACTTAATTTGATTATTTTTATTTTTTATGTAATTAATAAAAATATATAAACTAATCAATTTATATATTTTTATCTAAAAATAAAAATAAAAAAATATATTGCAAACACAAAACACATTTCGAAATTTTTAGTTAAAATATTTCAACTCAAATTAATTATTGTTAATTTTTATTTTATTTTTAAAATGTCTGGGACCTATTTCTCCCCTCCACTGAATCTGCGTACGCAGAATTACATAGAAATAGAATTTCCACAAATTTTCGCAATTTTTTGAAATTTCCACAATTTCCATCACTGAATCTGCGGAGGGTAGAAATATAGGGCCCTAGTCAGTTTTTAATAAAATATTCTATTTTTAAATGTTTTTTTGCTAGCATAAGAAAGAATATTCTTCAAACATTTAGATATTTAACAAGATATATTTTAATTTAAAAATTATTTTTTTTAAATTTAAATAAACATAAATTATCAAAAGAAGGTTAGCCATTTATTGGAATTATATATGTATGTATCCACAGACAATAAAACGAGAAAAAACTAACTTTAAATTCAAAAATTTTGTATTTAAAGGAATTTTATAAAGCTAGAAATGATTGACTTGAGGGATAAAATATTGGAATTATTATTTAAGATAAATAAATTTTAAATTAAATAAAACACGGAAATAATAGACTTATTTTTAATTTTGTATTTAATGAAGTTAAAAGACTTTATGAATTTAAAACTAAATATAAAAATTAAAATTCTTCCTATTTATATAGAATAAATAAATTTTATGCGAATTTGAAAAATTTATTTTTTTACTTTAATTAAATATTATAATAAATAATTTCTAAAAATTTTATTAAAAAACTTCCAAAATAACAAAATTACATAAATTATAACCTTAAATTAAATTTATTTTAAGCCCTAAATTCTTTTTTATATTCTTTTTAAATAAATTTTTTAATTTGTCTTTCTATTAAATTAATTGGCACTTACAAAATTTAAAAAGATCACAAAAAAAGATCACACTTATTCTATTAAATATATTTTTAAATAAATTTAATTTTATGTGTACCAATTAATTTAAAATATTAATTCAATAATTACACCAATTCCAATAATTTTATAAAAATATTTTAAAAGATTTTTTTTTTGAATTTTTCCTTTTTTGCTTAGTAGTAAATATGCTATTTTAATTAGATTTTTCTTGTAAAGATTATTTAGAAAAAACTAAACAGGGAATTGGTACAAAGGTTTGGTTTAGAAAATTAGAAATAATTTAGTAAGTAAAATGTAAGTTTGAAAATGAAAATGATTGTTGTATTTAACTTGGTCTTGGACAAATTAAAATTAACTTATATAATTAATTTTGGACGCTTAATTATGTAGCCAATAATATATTATACTAATTTTATTTTTTTAATAAACTAATTTTATTCATTTGTGAGAAGATAAAAATTAATAAAATATTTGAACAAAAATTTTATTCGGTACATAGACTAATTAATTTATACAAAATTTTATGTAAAGTTATAAAATTAGTGCTAAATAAAGCTCTTCATTAATCTTTGAAATGATTTTCTATATCAAAGCTTTATTTTAGTATAATCCACTACAATATGTGGGGCTAAAAAAGTACTCAATCTTCCGGAAAAATATTTTTAAAATTAGCCCCCATAACCATAACCTCCACTACTTCCTCCACAACTTGAACAGCCACCACTAAAGCTTTTTTGGCCATACCCGCCCATTGATTGTCCATATCCACCCATAGATTGGCCATACCCCCCACTCATTGACTGTCCATATCCACCACTCATTGATTGTCCGTATCCTCCAGTCATTGGACGCCTAAATCCACAAGAGCTGCAGGATGACTGGCCATAACCGCCAGTCATTGATTGGCCATATCCACTACCCATTGACTGACCATAACTTCCGCTTTGTTGGCCAAACCCGCAATTACATCCACTACTTCCATAACTACAATAATAATAATCAAAACTTAATTTTAGAATTTTTAAATTAATTTAAAACAAACCCGCCACTGCCCATACCCATTCTCTTCAACCTTAAAATGAAAAAATTTATCGGTAGAATCAGATAATTCCTCTTTCCACAATAATAACTCTCATGAAACAAAAAAGTTGTTTAGAGGGTATTTACTTAAACAGTTTGTAGCAATCAAATTTTTACTTAAACTCTCCGTATATTACATATGGTTAACATAAACACGTCTTTTGCTAAACATTATTTAGACAATCAAAATAAATTTTTGATTTTTTTTCTGTTCACAATTTTCTTCAATTGCTATCTAATATCTGCGCCCATTTAAAACTTCTTATTTAATTTACCTCTCAGAATCCTCAACTTTAGTATCGCCTTCTTTACTCGGTACATCCTTACAACTTATTGGAACAACAATAAATTGAATAAGAATAAAAACAAAAAGAATTTGAAGACTTCTTTCAGACATTTAAAAAATATTTTTGGGTCAAAAATATTATTAAATAATTAAAATGAATGAAAGAAATGACTGGCAATCGAGATTATTTAATAGGGAAAAAATTTTAGTTTAATAGAAATGAGAGTTTTTCTTTATTTTTTTGTTTCTCAAATTTAATTTATTTTTGTTTCGGCAATTGATCAAACAAAAGTTTGATTAGTTTAATAATAACTGAAAGGGCAGAATTAAACAATAAGAGGTTTTGTCATAATTTAATAAATAAAAAAATGTTTTAGTTAATAAAATATCAATCCGGTTTTTAAATAAAAAATGAACATCATTTATTTAAAAAAATGAAAACTGAGTAACTAAACAATTCAAAAATTTTATGTGAACTAAATGAGGATTGTTGGGTAAAATTCTAGACAAGCAACTATTTTAAATACAAAACACAAACGTCAATTTTGTTTTAGTGCCTTAGGGTTTATGATTAGTCTCTAAAAACGCAGATAACGAAACTGTCCTCAAATGCTAAAGGTGGGAATTTTAGTGGATCAGACAAAGATGATAAGCCCTTAAACTAGTTTTTATACTAACACAAACCTTCCAAACAAACATAAAGCTACAAAAGGGTATAAAAACATCAATTGTTTGACATACTAACTCGACACTTCAAACACGCCTCCAAACAACGTCTACTGTTCGACAACACTTGCGCTACTCCAGCTTCAAATGGGTCGGGAGAAAGCAACGTCCGGTGGAAAGGGGAACAAGAACGTGAGTTTACCTTCTTAATGTGTGTTCTTAAGGTGTTTATATTTCTTATCTATTTCAGAGACCGCGATCCGACAGAGCTCGCAACGACAGAGGCAACGGCAAGAGGAGAGACGACAACGCAGAAGGCGGCCGCAAGCCAAAGAGGGAGGAATACAACACGGAAGGTGCTAGACGCCAGAGCTCTGTACTAAAACGGAATCGTGCTTCGCGTGAACGTATTACTGTTCCTGGTGCTCCTCGGGAGTCTCGTCACATTGGTAGAACAATGGGCAGTCAAACGCAGGAGCGTACTGCTGGATCCCTCATGTCGCAAGCCACCACTGCAGCTCAACGTTGGTTCTATAGTGAGTTTTTAGAATTTGGGGTTCTCACGCTTTTTAAAAAATAAGACACTTTTTACAGCGTTGGTCAGACAAGGCGGTATTTTGAATATTCGCACGAAGTTCGTGAATGACCTTGCTACCTATCAGCTAGCGCGTGCAACGAAAAGGGCTTTTGACGACGAAGCTAACGCTGACTTTAATCGTTATCCTGACGTCACTCTCCACGATCATACTCGAGTTGTCCTAAAAAATGGTCCGGATGGAAGCGACTACGTGCACGCATCTCATGTAAAGGGCGCTGAGTTTTCAATGATTTGCGCGCAAGGACCAGTTGAAAGTTCAATCGACAACTTCTGGACAATGGTTGTGGAGCAAAACTGCGGAGTAAGTTTGCAAAACTAAAATAACTTTCAAAACAAACCCTTCTTTAAACAGGTGATTGTTCAGCTCTGTGAAAACCAAGAGGAGGGCCGTGAGAAGTGTGCTGACTACTTACCAACTGAACCCTCGGAATTCGGGAACGTGTCTGTGAGCGTTAAGGAACCATCACACGTGACTGTGGCCAATCCAAGTGTGCACAGGACGGTACTCGAGGCATCGCTTCCAAACGGGCGAACTGTAGAGGTGTGTTATTTAACAGAAAATTTCGGGTGACGAACGAAAAATCAAAAGTTTTTTAGGTCGTTCACTTGCTCTACGACGGTTGGCCAGACCGTGATGTGCCTCTCTCGCCAGCTGCCTTCCGCCAACTTCGTGGGACAGTACACAAACTTGCAATGGCCCGTAAATGCACTGTGCTCATCCACTGCAGTGCAGGGATTGGTCAGTTTTTGTTGCAGTTTTTGACAATTTGTCATTCTCTTTTGCAGGAAGAACCGGCACTTATGCAGCCATCGAGATGGCGTATCGGGACCTGATTGCCAACGACCGTGAGATACAAATGTCGACAATACTCCAAAGACTGCGTGACCAACGTGCACTTGCCGTCCAAACTGATTTGCAGGTAAGTCCCGAAAACTTCCTTTCTCTCAATTAAAAAATAAATTTCCCCCTTATAATTTAGTATGTCTTCCTTCATCGTGCGATCATCGACATGGCATTGGACAAAGGCCGATTAACTCGGGCAGACAAAGCTGCTGGTGTCGACCAATTCATTAGGGAGTACGAGGAACTGATACAGAGAAAGCGAAAGGCACGCAAAGAATTGGAGAGGAAGCACAGAAGGAGACAAGGATGAGAAGGAAATGTGATTGATATAAATTGTTGATATTGTATCTTTCCCAGATTGTTGGCTAAACTGATATTATATATTGTTGACTTCCCTCATATTTGTTCTATTGTTTGATTATCTTATTCATATTCTTATATTTGTTTGTAAATTATTTTAGAAAAATAAATGCTTGTCAGAAGAATTTTTCAGTTTTTAAAGGTTAGTGGGGAAAATTTTTTAATAAATAAGCAAAAATTTTCTAATTAATATTTTTTCAAACTTCCGTTTTTTGTCAATTTTTAATAATACTCTAAAACAATTACAAAATAGGGCAATAGAAAAAATAAGCGATTAATGATTAAACCAGTAAAATAAAAACCAATTAAGCTAAATTAGTTCCACCTTTTATTTTCCCCCTTTTTTAAGCTTCACTTTTTCAAGCTAAAACTTCCGGTTATTCTTCTTGTTGTGTCTCCGACAATTTAAAATTTAACAATAACACTTTTTTAATTATTTGAATAGGACAGCGTGAGAATTTTGCATTTGAATAATATTTTATTTTTTATTTTTATTTTTCTAGAGATAAATATTTGTGTTAAAAAATAGAGGTCAAGCATCAAATAAAGGAAATAAATTTTTATTATTTTAATTTTGGTATTTTAGAATAATTTAGAAATTAGAAGGGTTAGGCTATAATGAATATATTTCTATAGAACATTCTCTTCCAATCTCTTTAATTCTGACAACATCAATCTTCAAATCCTGCTGATGAAAATTAAAGAAAAACAAATTCATTTTCACATTCTCATGTATAAAACAGTTCTAGAACACCGAAAGCAAAAAATTGTCATCTTACCAGGGCTGTCCAGAAGTAGAAAAAATTGTTCGCAGCCGCAATCCGCAGTCCGCAAGAACCAGAAAACCACGCAATTTACGCAATCCACAATTGCGGACAGCCCTGCTCCTTACTCCTTTAATTAATACATTATTTCACTTTAAACCACCAATTAATTCAAATAAAAAATAATTCTTTTTAAAAATCATTAAAATAGTGAAGTTTTAATGACGAGAATTTTCAAGAAAAAGCGGGGGCCTTAAGATATAAAAAAATAAAAGGAAAGTGATAATAAAGGGAAGGGCTAAATAAATTAAAAAGAATTTCCTCCTCATCTATTTACTAATTATATATTTCTCTCCCTTTTTTTAATTTTATTTTTTTATTTCTAAAATTAGAAACAGAAAAGCTTTTTCTTTACTTTAAAAAACTTTTTACTTCTGCGCGTGTATTTGGCATAAATTTCTTAAAAAGAAGAGGAGGGGACTTGTAGTAGTTGCCTGTCTTTTCCAGGAAATTCTTTAAATATTTCCTCATTTTAAGTATTTTCTGTCGTTTCTTTTTAAAAATATTTTTTTGATTAATTATATATATTTAAATAATTTAGAGATTCTAATTATTTATTTTTTTGGGAATAATTTGTTTCTAATAAAATTTTAAGTTAAATAAAAATTCTTAAATCTCAGAGACTTTTTTTGGTTAACCTTTATTATTTTTCTTTGTACTATTTTAAACAGGCCTATTTAATTAATAATAATATTTGGAACAATGTAAAGGATATAGCTATTTAATTCCTAAGGCTTTGCAGTAGGCGACGTGGTGTAATGTGTAACATCAGTCAGACGTAGTTTAACTCACAATCAGTCCTGTCTAATCAAGATGCTGGTTCGCTCCCAGCCGCCGAAAAACCTTTTGCACTAGCTAAAGGAGAGAAATAGCTATAGCCCTGCTGCTTCACTACAATCAAATAAATTTTTAAAAAAACATTAGGAATATGCTTCTTAGTTATCCATTAAATATTAAAATTTTAAAATAAAATTCATAAACATAGAAAACCTCCAAAAAATATTTTTATTTTTTTTCTAAAAATTGTAGAAATAATAATTTTTTAACCTTCATTTCCCTCCCACTCACTTATTTACTATTTTTTCATTCCATCAAATTCTCAACAAGTTTTAAAGTAGTTAAAGGGTGTTTACACAAATTCAAAAACATTTTAGTTGCCGTTAAACAATTTTGTAGACGGAAAGGCTTTTTAAAGAAAAGTGTGGAATGCCACAATAGAAAAGTACCTTTAAGCACTTTTCTCCCCTTTTCCTCTAGTGTTTTTTTTATTTTGCCTCCGCAACTTCAAATTTGAAAGCTTAAAATTTTTTTTAACAAATTTTTGTTTTAAAATTATTTTTTTGAAATAATTATGGTAAATAATTAAATTTTAATAGAACGGCTTCTAGACATTTTAAAATAATTATAAAGTAAATTGGAATTAGTAGAAATCCATAAATAACACTAAATAATAATTTTAAAATAAATTCTATATTTACTGAATTAATGTATATTTCAGACCTGTGCATGGACACGGATTTTCGTATCCATATCCGGATATTTACGGCGGATACAGGCGGATATCCGCAGGCATTTTGAACTCATCTGTATCCATATCCGTATCCATGCACAGGTCTGGTATATTTAATATTTTAAAATTCAAAACTTAAAAGAATCTATTTCCTTTAAATTGATTTATTTTTAATTTGTCTCTGGCCTTTTAAATATTTTTCACACTTGGCTTAATTTTCATCATTTTTAACAAAAATACAATTCTGAATTAGATTAGCTAATTAATTAATTCAAACTTAATTGTTAATTGTTAATTGTCAATAGTTAATTATGTTGATTATAAGTATGTAGTTCAGGTCAAAGATTAAAAAACCTAATTTCTAAATCCATTATTCTCCCCCAACTTTCCTTTTAAATCTTTTTCCTTTCTTCAAAAAATAATTAAAATTTTAAATTTTAAAATTAAATAAAAAATGTATAGACAAAAATAAAATTATATTAAAAAATATTACTTTTACGTAAATATAAAATAAAATTTAATTTTAAAATAAAAATTTAAATTTAAAATAAAAACATAAAGAACTTTTTTTTCTCTTCCTTTTTTTCTTCTTTTAATTTTACTAATTTAATTTAAGAAAAGATTTTTATTTTATTTTCTATTTTAAGAAAATAAATAAAAAGGAAAGAAAAATTTGACCAAAAATTTTCGTTATACATTTATTTTAAATTTTTAAATATATTTTAAGAATATTTAAAAAATTAATTTATGGCCAATGGAGCCGCCTTACTTATTACAAAAGAAAACTTTTAGGTTCTTACAAAATTAACAATTTAATTCTCAGTTTTATGTAAATTCCCATCTATAATTCTTTTATTTTTTAAAATATCAAAAGTTCAAAGATTGAATAATTTAATAAAATTAAAGAAAAATAATTGAAAGAAAAATTATTTTTTTAAATAATTAATTTTTGTTTATTTTTAATTTATAAATAAATTTTCAAAAAAATCATAAAAAATAAAATTTTTGTTCATTGCCATTTAAATAACAATAAAATTATTTTTAAAGAAAAATTAACATTTTTGCAACAAAAATAAATCTTTTATTGTAAATTAAATTTAATGCGTGAGTATTTAAACAAAACACAAAAATTGAAAATTAATTTTCTTATTTTCTCATTTTTTAATTTTAGAAATTTATTTTTAATTTTTATTTATTTTCAAATAATAGAAATTGTGTTTTGAAAGATTTTTTTAAAATATTTTCTCCCTTTTATTTAAAAATAAAAAGAAATAATTAATGCTCATTGAAATTAATAAGAGAAAATATTTTATAAACATTCAACAATATAAAGTAGAACATTCAACAAATATTATATTGAAGCTTCAAGCTTTAATTTAAAACATTCAACAATATAAGGCAGTATTTGGAAATTTAAACAAAATTATTTATTTTTTCGTAAACAGTACACGGACGAATTTTGACGCAAACTTCCAAACACTGACTACAAGCCAGAAAGGTTCCTCCATAAAATTTGAATTAATAGATCCACACTCTTCAAACTTTTGGGAGTCAACAATAACACAAATTTTTGTGTTGATTTGTGATAGGAAATAACTGGGAGACATAAAAAAACATCTCTTAATCGAGAAAGGATTTTATCTACCTAAATAAAAAATTTTATCTAATATTTTTAAAATTCTTTAAAAAACATGTCATTTTCAATATTTCATTTACCTAACTAAAAAACTATTTTTCTTTTAACCAACAAAAAATAAATTTCTAAAAGCACCCAAACTACATAAAATTTATTTTAACAAAATTGTTTTTTCCTTTTTTTATTTTTTAATGTTCTTTTAACCCCCACACAATTAATTAATGTTTTTTTTTTGTTTAAAACTTTTTTCTTTAAAAATTATTTATTTTTATTTATTTTTTTTTAATTTGCCTCTAGCCTTTTAAATATTTTTTCACACTTGGCTTGATCTTCACCATTTTTAACAAAAATAGGAAAAATATTTAAGGGCAAATATATTCTTCATTTTAAAGATGGCAGAAGAGACAAGTACCTACCTAAATATAAAATTTATTTTACATAAATTCCCATAAATTCCCTCTCAACATCCGTTAAATGTGGAACAGGGAAATAAAAATTTTTTTTGCTATTTGACAATTTTAATAATTTTTCAAAAAAATTTATGCTTACATTAATTCCCTTCTTTACATTTTTATATTCCAAAAAAAAATTTTGTCAAAAAATTTATTGTTGCCCCCCATTTCCTCTAACCATTTTTGCCAAAAAAATTTTAAATATTTTTTTTCTTCTTTTTTCCTTTTCCTCCCTTCGTCACCCCATTTTTACTTATTTTTAAAAATACTTTAAAAGTCACTTCAACAAGTAAAAATTGCCAGCCGATTGCCTCAAGTCAAAAAAGGGGAATAAACCCAAGACCTGAGGCAGTCATTATTGATGCTTATTTACTCTAATATTTATTCCCCCCTTTCTTTTCTTTGAATAATAAATTTTAAAGACTTTTCTTTACCTTTTTATTTATTCAAGAATTTTAAGTTTCGAATTGTAAAATTTATTAGAAAAGTTACACAATTTTTGCCGTACCAAAGTTCATGCAAAATTAAGGTTATAAAATTAAAAGTAAATGAATGGCACATTTTTTGAAGTAATCCTATTAATGTGCCTATTATTTAGAGAATACCTTACTTCAAACGACTTTATTATAGAAAGATAACAAAATCTTCAATTCTCTAAGATATCTGACAACTAAAGCTTTCCTCAAAAATATTATGTAAATCGTTTCGGGACGAGTGACTGAAGCTCGTACCAAAATTCTTATTCGTACCTTTGTACAAGTAGTGGAAATTTTGAGACATACTAGTAGGAGTTATAGGATCCAATAATTTATAATAGTTTAAGGATATAACATACATACCTACCTATATGGAATTTATTAAAAAAGTGAACTGTGTTTTTACTTAAATGTCCCGACGGCATTCGAATGATGTTTTGACTGTCGCTTTTCAAAATTAGCTTCTCTTATCATAAAAATAACTTTTTCTAGGCAATTTTATTTTCTTTTAAAATTAATTAAAATAACTTCACTCCTACACTTTTTATTCTTTTAATTTGTTTATACCAGCTTTTTTTCTTCTTCCTTATTTTTTTTCTTCCTGTTTTTCTCCATTTTTCCCCCAAAATATGTTTTAAGATTTAATAAAAAAACAGAATTTTTTATAAAAAAAAGATTTTTAGAGATTTTTGTTGCTCTTTAAATTAAAAATTACCTCTTCTCTCTTTTTTGTCATTTACACACATTTTTATGTACATTTATTATTCAACTAGTTAGTTAATGAGGAGAGGAGAGATTGAGGGAGAAAGCTGGTAAAAAGTAGAAAATAAAAGGGGTTATAATTGTTAAAAAAGCATTGTGGAGAGGGGATAACATGGATGAATGAATAAAATAAATTATTTTTTTTTTGTTTAGGTCTGAAAAATATTAATTTTTTATATTAATTTTTTGCCATTTTATATAAAAGACTTTAATGAATTTTTTCTCATTTTCCTGTTTTTATTGATGAAATTTTTTTCATTTTTCCTTTACGATTAATGAGCAATTTTAATGAACATTTTAAAATAATTAATTAAAAACGTGACTGTAGCTTATTATATTTTAGAAAATTTAAAAATGAGCAATTTAACAAAAGTTTAAAACAAATTTTTTTAATTTTTAAGTAAAAAAGGGGAAATAGTGGCATTATTAATTTAATCGCCTTTCTTAACTCGGAAATCGTGGGTAAAAACACCTGGTTTTTGTTAATTACCGTATATCCTTTAATAACTACCCCGGGTAATTATTATTTCGACCTTCCGCTAGAGGGAGTAATTAATCGAGGGAGGGTAATTATACGATGTTTGAAATTTGAACATGGTTTAGAGCATTTGTATGGGGGTAATTATTGTTTCAATCTATCGCTGGATGGGGTAATTAATGGAAGTGGGGTAATTATTTGAGGGAGGGCAATTAATAAAGGTTAGGTATACGGTATTGCCAGATATTAAACAACTTGGAGAGGTAAAAAGTGTGGTAAAAAGTAAACACTCTTTATCACCCCCTTGGAGAGATAATGAGTACCCTTCCAAATCAGTCCCCATTGCTCTAGAAAACCCTCAAATATTCCAATCTTTTCTTTTTCTATTTATTTGAAGTTTACTCCTTAATAAATTGCCAATACATATATAAATAGCTTTAACTAATTTCTTCCAAAAGAAATATAAATTATTTTTCTCATTCCTTTAAAAAACTTTTTTTATCCTTTTTTTCCTTGTTCATCTTCCAATAACAAAATCTCTGCATTTTTAATAAATTATTTGTTTGTTTGGTTAACCTGCATTTATTTTCTAAGAAATAATTTCCAAGAAAATAAAACACTAAAAATACTAATTCATCACTTTCTTTTTTTCCTTCCTCCTTCTTTACTTTTTAGTAGCCAATAAAAGATTTGTGTCAAAACTACTAATTCCGTTCTAAAACAGAAAAAATAAATTTAAAATATTTAATTGTTTAAAATGTTTTTTCGATATTTTAATCTTTTAAATTTTTTTGAAAAGTTTTTGATGTTCAAAATATATAGTTGTTAAAGTGGTGTTTGGAATTTTGAAATTTACTTGTACTTCGTACACAGGTACGAGTCGAATTTTTGTGCGAGCTTCCAAACACTGGTTGTTAATAGAGATTGAAACGAGATTAGACCTCGAATAAAAGTTTCGGTTAAGAGATGGCTATTTATCGAGATTTTGATTTCCGTCCTACTAGTCAGGTTTTTAATTTTCAAGCGATCCTAAAATCTTTTAATTTTAAATTTTGAGGATTTTGGAGGATAACTAAATTCCAAAATTTAATTTTTGGAATTTTAAATAATAAAATAAATTTGCAAACATAGTTTAAAAATAATTTTTGATATTTCTTGAAAGTTTTCTTTTTGTTTTATTTTTTAACAATAAAAAATCAAAAACTAATCTTTTTATGAGGTTTTTTTATAAAAATAATCGTGTAATTTTACGTATATTTAATATAAAAAATAAATAAACTATATAATAATTTACTAAATATTAAATAGACTTTGAGGCTTAATAGTGTTGCCATTTTGTGTTTATAACACAAAAGTTTACTGTTTTTATCTTAAAAATGATGATATACCTATATATTTTAATTTAAAAATAGATAGACTCAACAATTTTTTAATATTCCCAAAATTTAAAATTAATTTCAATTTTGCTTTTATCAACCTTAACCAGATTTTTTATCCCTATTTATGTTCACAAAGTTTTTCCTATTTTTTCATTAAATAATTAATAAATGGCTAGACTAAAAATTTATTTTTTGACTTTTTATCCCAAAAAATTTGTTTCGTTTACTAAAATAATAAAAAGCCAAAAAAATTAAAAAAAAAAGAAAAAATTTCCAACCTTTAAACTTTAATTTTTGTTAATATTTATTTACTCTACTTTTCTTTTAAACACTTTTTTAAAATAATAAAACAAAAGAAAAAAAATATTAAATGTTTAGAAGCTAACATTTAAAAAAAAAGAGAGAAAGAGGGATCATTTAACAAAGTTATTATTATAAAAGAAAATTTAATAACAAAAGAAAATGGAAGTTTTTTGTTAAATTTTTTTCATTGATTTTGACGTTTTTGACGTCTAAAAATTTTTAGAAAAAATTTAAAGATTTATTTATTTAATTAAAAATAAATTTATAATTTAAACATTATACCCCTCAAGATAGAAAAATTCCTTCAAAATTTCCTCAAGTTTGAGATAACTTTCCAGACCTTCCCAGTTAACAAATATTCGATAAATCTCAAAATATTCGAATTTAAAATATAAATTAAAATAAAATTTTTTTTGTTTAATGTCGTTCGTACAAATTTTATTTTAAATTCTTTAAAATCACGGAAAACTCAAAAAAATTTAAATAATTAATAAAAATTAATTTAATTTTTAATTTATTTTATTTATATTTTAGCTAAAATTAAAAATTTTTTGGGCCTTATTCGCCCTATATTGATCACTTAACTATTATTAAACAACAAAATAATTTCTAATCGCAAAAACGGGTCTCAGAGGAAATTCCCCTAATTGGGGGCTTGTACAGCCTCCAATGAATATTTTAATTAAAACAAATTATTCTTTAAATATTAATTCTTCTGAAGAAATTTTAATAAGCCTTCAATCTCAAATAACAACAAAATCTATAGAATGGAGGCATCCCCTCTTAGCTTTGATTTTAATGGTAATTTTATTTATTTTTGTTTTTAAAACTATTAAAAAACGTTGTTTGAATATCACTCCTCCAATGATAATCACTTCTCCAACAAAATAAAAAAAAATATCTGCTTCTGCTTTTCCTTTCTCCATTTACCCCCTCCCTAAGCATTTTAATCCCTGTCAGATTTTAGTTGGTTATTTAGCTATCACAAATCATCATTGGTATATTAAAATTTCAAAAATATCTCGATTAGATCGCCTGATTCTGTTTGTGATCCTTATATATTACCGTCCAACCCTAATTTATTAAAAACATTTTAGTTATATCCTCGAGAACAATAAACTCCCATTATTCTACGAGCATTTTCACGGGGGCCTGAAAACTAAAATAAAATTCTTTTTGTTTTTTAAATAATTTTTTTCTAAAGTTATTTTGTATGGCAACAGTATTTGGCAATTCTTTAGTTGTATTAGCTGTTTTCACTAAACGTTATTTGAGAAATCCAACAGGTAAATACAAAATAAATTATATTAAAAAATAAATTATTTTTAGGTTATTTAATTGTTTCTCTAGCTGTTGCAGATTTGATTGTTGGTAAGCTAATAAATTTTCTAAAAAAATTTTTTTATTCAAGAAAATATTTTTATTATTTCCTCTATTTTTAGCAAAAAAATAATAAAAAATTATTTTTGCAATTTTAATTCACCAAAAATTAATTTTTAACAAATAAACAATAAACAATAAATTTTTGTAAATATTTTTAATTTTTTTTATTTTTCAGGCCTTGTTGTTATGCCATTAAATTCATTATTCGAAATGTCAAGGCATGTTTGGATGCTTGGTAAGTGAAAACAAAAAATAAAAGTTTATTTTTAAAAAACAAAAGAAAATTCTAAAAAAGTGTTTCTTTCTCTATTAACATAAATTAAAAAATAAATTTGTTTTTTAAAAAAGAAAAGAATTTTTGTTTAATTGTGAATGACATTTTGCGGGGAATATTAAAAGTACAAAAATTTTTTTAAATATTTAAGAGAAAATTCGAAAAAAGGCAAAAGTATGTGTGGAAATTTAAAATTTTAATAAATATTTAATTTAACCGAACTTGAAATTCGTTAAATATCAGATTTTCTATAAAATATTATTTTTGATTTGAAGAGAATAAAGTAATATCATGTTTTTTTCATTAAAAGCCCTAAATAAATAATTTTGATAATAATTTGAGTACCATATATTTTATCAAATAATATAGAAAAAAATTATTTTTTAAATAATTTAAATTAAATATAATTATAAAGGCTTAACAACTTGTGATATTTGGCATGCATTAGATATATTAGCTTCTACAAGTTCAATATGGAATTTGTGTGTAATAAGTTTAGATAGATATATGGCTGGAATTGATCCTATAGGTTAATTAATTAAATAAATTTAAATATTTTTCATAAAATATGTGTAAATGGTTATTGAGTTAAAAGAAAGGAAACAATGTATTTTTGATTAAAAACAATTTTCTGTTTTTATTTTTAGGCTTATACCTTGTTAATCTCTTTAATTTGTATATTATTTTTGATACGGTTTAAAGCCCCTAATTTAAGGGGCTTTTGTTATATGCTGAAATTTTTCATCAATTTTAATTATTCCTCTAAATTGAAATTAAACTTTATTATAGAATTTTCACAAATTAAAGCCTACCAAAGGTAGATCAGTTTTCCGATTCTACCACAATTTTCTGTCTTATTACTTAACATAATTTTAAAAATATTATTCAATAATTAATTACTTTTCCAATAAAGGTTATCGTGACCGTGTTTCCAAACGTCGAATTGTTTATTGTATTTTATTTGTTTGGATGGTCTCTGCATGTAAATAATTTTAAAAAATTTTAACAAAAATAGTTTTTGAAATATTTTAAAGGTATTTCATTTCCTGCTATTTATTGGTGGAGAACTTCCTCCCCCCATCTCTATACTGATCAAGTAAAATTGTTTTTAAAGATTTTTTTCAAAATTATTTAATTAGAAAAAATGCCTTTTTACTGATGATGCCTATTATGTTATATTTTCGTCGCTAATTTCTTTCTACATTCCTCTTGTATTAATTCTTTTTGCTTATGGACGTGTTTATTGTATTGCTACAACACATTCAAAGTCTATGAAAAGTGGAGAAAAAAGGGTAGGGGGATTTTTTAAGGATTTTTTTAAATTTAGGAGTTATTAAATTAGTTTCGGCACATCTCTATTCCTTTTCATTATTTCGATCGTATCCTATACTTCCACAAGGAATTGTCTTTAAATCTAGTATATTTGGAGAAAAAATATCAAAAATTTTGGGGAGACTTGAATTTTCTTAAATATACTAATATAAAAATATCTCAAAACAAAAATTACCAAAAAAAATTTTCAGATCTTGTTGAAACGTAAAAAAACTCGAAATTCTGGAAAATCAGTAAAATCAAGTCCAGAAGGCGAAGGAGATTCTCCACGAAACAATTCTGGATGCTCGGATACAATGAGAATCCATTTTGGGCAAAAAAGGAATACTGTAGTTGCTACAAACAAACTTCCTTTAGTTGCTGTTTCCGATGATGTTGGGGATGGTTTTTGTGGGGGAGATAGTGAATCGACAACAGAAATACGTTGTAAATTAATTTTAAATGGAATGAATTCATTAAAAGCGGCACAATATGGAATTGGGCATAGAAAATGTTCCAGTAATTCTTTAATGTTACATGCTGCTAATATTGCTAATCAAAATGCAAATTATTGCAGGTGTGTTTTTTTACAAAATTCCCATAAAATTTGTCACCATAGGACGAGGAATTAAATATCTATTTGGGGGAGAGTATTACTCTGACATCGTCAAGGTCTAAATTTTTAGGCATTAAGAGAGGGTATAATTCGAAAAAGAGTTGGGTTGGAAATGACGAAGGTGTCGGAAATCGAAACTGTCGGAAACCGGAAATCAACTTAAATTTTTGGAAGTCGGAAATAGGAAAAACTTCTTCTTCGAAAGAGAGGATATTTCTCTTGTACATATATGTATTGAGAATTCCCTGAGACAAAAAAGCGCCTTCAATTTATTCGAATACCTTAGCTTATTTAAAAATATTTTAAAATAAAAAAAAACATTTAAAGAGGGTCAAATCCAATGATGAAAAACTCAAGAACAGCGTCTTTCTCAATAATTGGAGATAATAAAACATTTAATAAATCTGAATGTCCAACAACTCCATTACAAAAGAAAAGAAGCCCTACCCAATTAACTAATTATTCAATGTCTATTTCTACTCCAAAATCTTCAATTGCTTCTTGGTTTAATTGTGGTGGGGAGGTAAATAATTAATTAATTTAATTATTAAAATTGAATATTTATTTTTAAAGAGTCCAGATCATCGACAACATTTGTTAGAATTGTGCCATAATGGACAGGTGATTATTCAATTATAATTAAATATATATAGTGAGAAGAAAACTAGAGATTCCAGTAGTCTGTAAATTTAAATAAAATTTTATCTTGACAACACTTACCCTATAATCGAAATCTGAGTTAATTGCCCTCTCACAGATAATTATTCGCTCCCTAATAATTTATCTCCTACCCAGTGATTCCCCTACTATCGAGACATTCAAGCAATAATTATACAAAGATTTTACGAGGCAAATTAATTATTTCAAATTATTTTGCAGGATGTTGAACGTCTTTTACATAATCCATTAATTAAAAAATCAAATGGTAGTCCCCTACCTAATAATAATCAAAATCATCAAAGAAAAAGAATTGGAATGAGAGAGAAAAGTAGGCAAATGATTAAACAATTAAATGAACAAAGAGCAGCTAGAACATTAAGTATTGTTGTTGGAGTATTTATTTTATGTTGGACACCCTTCTTTTTATTTTCTCCAATTATTGCCTTATGTGGAGATAAAAAGGTAAAGAAAAGAATATTTTTAAATAGTAGTTTTATTTCCTATTGGCGATTTTTTTTCCTATTGGTGATCTTGAAAACGATGATCCTGAAAAATTGGTATTCCTGAAACGAACATATAGATTAACATTCTTTTGAAAAAGCTCAAGTTTATCTGTGACCATTTCCTTCTAGATTTTTTTACAAATATAAGAATATGTAGTAGAATTAATTTTTGGATAAAACTTGACCTTCGCTTCTTATTGTTCTGTCTTTTTGGCTCAAAATCCCATTTTTAAAACGTTTCCCCAATTTTGCAAAATTTTTGATTATCCATTATAAATAAAATTCAAAATAATCCCTTTAAACTTTTTTAATTAAATTAATTCTCTTAAAAATTTTTTTAATCTTTAGTGCTTTGAAAACCGTGATGCTGTCTTCTCTATAATTACTTGGGCTGGCCATTTAAATTCAATGTTAAATCCATTAATTTATTCAAGATTTTCACGAGACTTCCGAAAAGCATTTAAACAAATTTTAACTTGTGAAAGAGAAAGGCCGACAAAAAAGGCTATAAAGTAAGAAGAGGGTTTAAATTATTAAAATAAAAAATTTTTTTAAATTTTCTAGAAGCCCTTTAAATATTGTACTTGCACAATTAAATAGTATGGCAATGATTGCTCCCCCTCCAATTGATAGTAATACTAAAACAGTAAATGAACAACAAAATGCTAAATATACAAACAATTCTTTATCAGTTGATTCTGATAATGATAATCAAAAATTAAATAATTTAGATAATAGATAGTAGTTATTAATTAATTTATATAAACTCTCATTATTAGAGACTTTTTGGAATAGTCGAAAAAAGGAAGAAAATATGAGAGATGTTGTTAGGTACTCACATGAAAAGATTTTTTAGAAGCTCTGGGGCTTTAATTTTTTTATTTTCCTTTTAAAATTAAGAAGCCAAAATTGAAAATAATTTTTGCATAAAAATCCATACAGGAATTAAAAAAATTATTTTGGGAGTTGAGTACTTGTAAAAAGCCTTTTTGATTAACAACTCAATTTAAGCAACACCTTTGTTACTACTAATGAGAGTTCGCATGTATTTTTAAAAATTTAATTCTCTTCTTCACCTTTTTTAAATTTATTTAAAAATTTAAAGAAATTATTTATCCAAAAATGACATCAAAATTAGGAAAAGGAGGAAGTCAGAACTTTTTTAGAAAAAAACATTTTTACTATTTATGCAAAAAACAAAATTGCCAAAACAAAATTTATTATATTCAAATTTTATTAGAACGAAAAAACGGGAAATGATGTAAATTTTGATAAAAAAAACGTGAAGAAATTTAAAAAATTTTGAAACAAATCCTTTAAGTTGAGGGCTTTATTTCAAACATAAATTAATTATTTTCTATTTTCCGCTATTTCTTTGTTATTTACCTCAATTTTTCACTAAATATATTTTTAGATTTAAATAAATCATTAAATAAAATATTAATTAATTATTCTCTTAAAAATTTTTTAAAATTAATTTTAAAATAAATATATAAATATTTTTCTTTAAATTTACAATAAAATTTCTAAATTTTAGCAAATATTGCTACATTCATTACTAATATTCAACAATTCTATAAAAATATAATTATTTGTTGTTGTCAATATATTCTTTGAATTATTTTTATTTAATTTTAAAATTAAAGAAATATCCATTTTTGTTTTATTTTTGGTTGGTTTCTGATCCAATCCAAAGAACCAAACATAACTTTTGAAAAAATTGAAAAATTAATTTTTTAATTAATCTAAAACTTACGAATGTTTTCCTCTTAGCCAGGGTCTGCCAGTAAAGCATTTTTGTTTTTCATTGTTGAAAATGAGTGGTAAAATCTTTAAAATTTTATTTACTCGAAGAGTATGAAAAATTATCTAAAGATATTTTTAAAATTTTTCTCTCCTCTTCCTCTTATATTTAATGACCCCATATTCCAAATTTTAGGATTTGGAATAAGTGGTTCATTAAGCCACTTAATAAATAACTCTTCTTAGGCAATTTAGTTTTAATATTCGCAATATTATTCGACCCAGTGTCCAATTATTCCAATTTCGATAGCCTTTGGCTAACATAAATTCATAAATTTAAATGTCAACAATTAAATTTAAATAAAAAAAATGCCTACATTCATTTGACATTGCCCTCCTTCCTCTAAAAGGCAAAGAAAGACTTTTAGTCTCCCAACTTTTTCCTTTGTTTTGGCATGATAATAAAATTGAGTACATTCATTCTCGTCCATGATTAGTGGTTTTGAACGGATATATTTTACGTTTTTAGTTAATAGTGGAAAGTATTTGCTAGTTTTATTAAATGTTTTTGTAGTAGTTTCTTCTCCAATGCCAAAATAGCCATATTTATCTTTAAAAATATTTAGTTAAACTGATCATATATGAATCCAATTCGAGAATTTTTAAAACATTTATTTTGCTTTACTACCCATGATCTATTATAGGGTAGCATCCCGTCCCCCGAAAACGAATTTTTAGGCAAAAACCCCGACCCGAACCCCAAAGGCTCTACCTTGGCAAACCCCGATCCCCGACGATCCCACCCCCGAAATGCTCGGGGTGCTACCTAATTTATTCTATTGGCAGCTTTGATAGTTTGTCGATATTAGGGATATTGCTGTACCTTCCAGAAATTCGAGAAAATATTTCAGAATATTCGTGTTTATACATAGGATTTGCATTTATCAAAATTCATAAAAAATCCTTTTAAATACCTTTATTTATTGTTAAATTTTCTCTTTCCTTCTCGCAAATTTCTTTACAACTTTTTTCATTTTCAAAATAATTATTAGAATTTAGTTTACTAACACATCCATTATACCAAAAAGGCCGACAAACATTGTAATTCTGATCAAAAAAGAATGAAATTTTCCAAGGAAATTTTCCACAATTTTTTGTCAAATTTAAATCAAAAACTTCAAAACAGGCCTTCATTTTTTCTTCATTTATTTTTAATTTTTTCTCAACATGTAAATGTTCTCTTATTTTGTGATTATTTTCTTTTAAACATTTATCTTCTTTTATCCATTTTAATTGTTTAGCTTTCTTCTTTTTGTCAACATAATCTGATTTATTTAAATTTTGTTTAATTCTGTGAGGGTGTTGAGGATACTGAAATTGTATTCTATATAGTTAAAAATTAGTAAAATATTCTACTTATGAGAGGTATTTTTGATTTCATTTTCCTATAATAATTAAGAAACTGCATTTTTGTATATTATTTTTTTGTTATTTTAAAGCGTTGATCAAAAATTTTCTTATCATTATTCATTTTTATTTTAAAGGAAATGGTACTAATAAATTAATTTACTTTGTTTGTCCTTTTTTCACAAGTTTTTTGGCATTCAATTAAATTATTAAATAAATTTCTAGGCCTCTTAAAATAATTATTTAAATCCTTCAAATAATTATTTTCAACTCCATTCATTATTTCCTCCCTAAAACAGCTTGCATCCATCCAAAATGATCGACATCTTAAAATATTCGAGTCAAAAAAGTATCTTTGTTTCCAAATTCCTATTGCACAGGGCCGTCTTAGGGAGTGATCAAATGGTTCTAAACAATGTTGTGATGCTTCTTGGGAAGATTGAGCTTCAAAATTATTTTTAAAATTTTGAGAATTTTTAAAAATCTAACTCGAAATCTTATTCGTTTGTAGATTATTATCATTCCAGTTGTTCATTCCTTCCTCCCTCCCATCTAAAAATTGTCTTTGCCCTTCCAACTTTAAATAATTGCCGCAAAAAGATTCGCAGCTCAAAAATTGGTGAAAATGAAAATTTTTACAATTACTCATTTAATTACTTGTTGGTCTAGAAAAAAGTTTTGAGCATCTGCTAATTGACAACCACCATACCAAAATAGGCGACAACGTTCTGAATTTATGTTAAAATACCAGCGAGCTTGCAGATTATTTTCATTTCCATTTATAAAACATTGGCGCTCATATCGACGATCAAATGGTTGTGCACAGATTTCTAGAAAGTTTGAGAAGAAATTTTGGTTTTGTAATTATCAAAGTTTTATTTCAGTAAGTTGTATATAAAATCATATCCCTCTCTTTCTTAAACTCTCTTAAATTCCCAATCAGATTGAAAATTTTCTTATTTCTGTCCTTATTTCTATCGAGTATTATTTATTTTTCGAATCTCAATTATAAAAATCATAAATCGGAAAGAATATTTTTCTTTCAAATTATACATATTTTAAAATAAAATTTGATTTTAATTAAAATAAATACTTTGGTCTTTTGTACAATTTAAGCCGCTACCGGCATATCCAGGTTTACATTCAAATAATTTTTTAAATACTTCATGATTATTATTTATATTTTTGCCTTGAAATTAATTAATTATTTTATTCTCTAAAATTAAATTTTTAACGATTTTGAATAGAAAGTTTTGCAATTATTTTTGTTTTTCGGTGTTTATGTTGTTTAAGCGAACAACGTTTTCGACATTTGCGTTTATTGAGAAAGCGATTTCGATTTCCTCCACAACCACTATGAAAAAATATTTTTTAGTTGTTAAAAAATTTCTTTTTAATTTTATAAAAGAATAGCCTAAAAGAATGGTGTAACTCTCAAAAAAATTAATTATTAAGCTTCACAGAACTTTATTTTAAATAAATTTTAATTTAGAAAGTTTTTTAAAAAAAACGTCTTTATAAGCGTATTCTTCTTTTAGAGATAACCGACAATTAATTAATACTTAAAGGGCAGCCAGACCAATTTTAGGGAATATTAAGCTATTAAGCATTAATTACGTGTAAAAGAACTTTAGACATTGTCCACTTTTCACATCCCAATAAAATCTAGGTAATTTTCTAGAGCAATTTCCATAATTTAGAGGTTGCTAAAAATACATATTTAATTTTTATTAAATTTTTGTTTAAAGAACACCTTGCAAATAGCAATTTTATTTATTGTACTAAAAAGTTGTTGTGGATGGATGTCAGGTTTTATTTCAATTGGGTGAAAAGAAAAAGTTTCATTTGCAAGAATAAAGTAATTAATTACGAAAGAATATAAATTTAATAAAATAATGAAATTAATAAACATTCACCTAAATATATTATTTATCTACAACAGAAAATATTTTAATGGTTTAATTTAAATTTTTAAAATTGTTATTAAAAAATATTAGAAAGTATTTTCCAATATTTTGTATATATTCCCCCCTGTAGCCCGGAGTCTGATCTATCAGAATAACATCATTTCACTTCTTTAAAAAATTCACTTCTTTAAATCTGATCTATCAGAACTTTCACAGTGTCTTTTTAAAGGGTATCCACAAGCTTTTTTCTGTTTTAAGAATGTTGTTTCCTTGGAAAATTTATTTTTGTAAAAAAACAATTTTTTTAAATGAAATGACCTAGTAATTAAACAAAAATAAATTTTAGATCTTTATAAATTAATTATTTTAACGAAATATTTAAATAAATTATTTTGTTGTTTTATTTTCTTTTAAAAATAAAATAAATATTCTTCTTTATATAAACTCTTGTTTTCTTCAATTGGGATAAGTTTGTTCAAAAAAGTTCTAGAATGGAAGGCTATTTAATTCCCTTTAGGGAATTAAAAACAATTTTTGCTTCAATAAGACTCGGCGGGATACAAAAACAGAAAAAACATAAAAACATATAAAAATACTTCCACGTTTAAATTTAAAGTACAATTTACAAAAAAAGACGATAAATTAGTTTCTAGAGAATATTCAAAATAATATTTGGAAGACTTTTATTTAGAACATGAAAACAAAATGGAAAAATAATTTTATAATTATCCACAAAATCAAAAAGTGATAGCGATAATTTACAAAAATTTTAATTTTATATTCCTTTAACTTGGTCTATGACTTGGCTTTTATGGCTTTTATGAATGGTTCTAACTTAATTATATTTTTAATTGGAATAATTTAAATTACATTTATTTAAAAATAGGATTAGGTATATTGACTTTAAAATCAAAACTAAAAAATTTAAAAATTTTTCTGCATTGTAGGCTGAGATGAAAATTTTGAAATGGGGTTTTAATTATAATTTCCGATATTAGGCTAAAATTCTTCATTAGATATTTTTAAAGATTTTATTTATCAAATCTCAGTTATTTTTACAATTTTATTTAAATAGCTAAATTTATAAATTATTATATAAAAATGTTGAATAAAGAAATGTTGAATAAATATTCTGAAGTCTTAATTCTCGAAGTCGTGGAATTCCCCAGAAAACTTGAGGAATTTCCGATTTTTGGAAATCGGAAATTTTGTCAGTGCAATCCCTGATACAAACGTTAATTTTATTTATAATTATTTTACCTTACATTTAGTTTATAAGTAATAAAAATAAAATATTGAATTTATGGACCATTCTTGGAAAGATTTTATTTTTTAAACTTTCTCATTTTAAGACAATCATATGGATATATTTCGCGAAGTGCTGATGAAATTCCAAAATAAATTTTGATCTTATTTAAATTCTAAATTTTTGAAATTCTTTTTAAAATAACTTTGTTTTTATATAACTTTTTTTAAAAATTACTTGCTTTAAATCTATTAATTAAAATGTTTTTTAAATAAAATTTAACTAATTAGCATTTTTAATGTATATTTTCTGATTTTCACAATAATTTTAAAATTATTTTGAGTTAAAATTTTAAATTAATATTTCTAATTTTAGATTAATTTTGAAACAATGTAAATAAATTATAGTTTCTATTCATAGACTCCATTTATGGCATAGACTTCATTTTCATATAGAGTCGAGAATTAAATTTCTAATTTAAATAATTTTTTAAAAGACGTGATTCTCTTAAAATAAATGTAATGAGCATTTTTTGTTTCTCTTCAATATTCTTTTTCAAAATAATTCTTTTCCTTATTAGTAATTTCTTCCGTTGCCTTCTAAATTTAATATTTTTATGTCCCTATATTTAAGAATCAACTATTATTTCAAAAAATAATTTCTATTCTGGACAAATTATTTCTGAACTTGGCCCCAATTTTGAAGCCAAAATATTACCTTAGTGTAAACAATATAGTTTCACACATACACACATATGCTATTTATTTTTTGCTTTTTCTAACAAATAACATTTTATTTAAATTAAAGGTTTTATTTATTTTATTCTTTATTTATTATTTTCTGATATTCTATCTTTTAAATTTATAGTTATTATAAATTTTATTTTTTTAATTGTTCACGCAACAAGGTTTCCATGGCTCCTAAATTTCTTTTAAGAGTCGCACAAAAGTCAGAGCTGACGTTTGAATTGGGTATTATAGAAGCCTTTTGAGGAAAGGCCAAAGAAAGAGGAACAGAACGGCCTCACTCTTTAAGGCTAAAAACACCTTAAGGCACAAAATTTTTTAATCTATATACCTAACTATTTTTCTCTCACAAATATTGTCTATTATATGTATGTTCTCCGCATTAAAGCTAAAAGCCGAATTATAATTACGGACAGATCCATACGGATTAGAAATTAAGGACTTGTTGTATCTTTCAAATAAAATCTTTTGTTTAGCTTCAGGAAGGCTGTACTAGTTACTGGTCGATCTAGTTTCTATTAAATTATTATTTAAATATCACCTCACAACAATTTCCCTTAACTATCCACCATTGTAATCCTTAAATTTCAACCAGAAAATGTCTACTAACTAAAAAATAATAATAAAAGTCAATTTCGTCAATTATTTTACTAAAAAGTCAACAAAAATCAGAACACAAAATTAATTTATATATTTTCATTATTCTTTTAGTACGCCCACTCATTTGCCCTTAACAACTACCTACTTGAGAATAAATTACATAGACAGCTGCAAAAAAACAGAAAATAATGTATTTGTGCGTGTGTATTTTTTTAACAGCTTTTCACTTTTAAACAAAATATTTTTTGTCTTTACTTAAATATATTCTCATTAAATATTCAAAAAAATTAAATGGCACCAAAAGGAAGTAATAATAATATAGCTTCTCTTATTCCACTTAAAATTATACCTGGACAAAATTTAACAACTTCAACATTTGAACCACAAAAACCTCAAAAGTATTTTTTTAAATTTAGAAATTAAAATTTGCAAAAAAATATTTGAGAAATTTTAATTTAATTTTTTGGAATAAAAATGCCTGAAATTAGCTGTAATTCTGATATTTTTTTAAATTAAAATTAAATTAATTTCTATAGAATATTCCAAAAATAAAATAATTATTTTTATTATCTATTTTGTTTAAATTTATAACTAAAAATAATTATTAAATATTTTTTTTTATTTTTTTTATTTCTATCTCAAAATATTCTGCAACCTTTTCTTAAATTATTTTTTATAAATAAATATTTAATTTGTTCTGCAAACATAACATTTAGCTGCTAAAATCTTTAATAAAATATTTAATATTTCTTTGTTTCAATTTTCTATATTTGGAAAACTTTCCCGTAAACAGATAAGAATAATAAAATTATTTCCTTTACCATTCAAATAAAAATTAATAGTTTTTAAAAATAAATATGTAGATAAACAAAATAAAATAAAATAAAAAAAAAATATTTGCATTATTATATAGTTGGGGTTAGGCATTTTTCGTCATTCAGATCCAGAAAAAGTCCTGATCTCTGGAAATTCTCTGTTCATATTGAATCCAAATATTTATAAGTCTCCAAATATTTACTAACAGTTAAGTCCAGGCTAACCTGGCCTAAATCTACCTATTCAAATTTTTTCCAAATTTACTTTAATATCTTGTTTGTTCCGTGTCCACAATCCAGCGCTTTTTTGATTTATGGGAGAGATTTTGCGCGATGGGAAGGGGAGCAAATACCTTTTTATGAATTATTTAAAAATAATTAAAAAATATTATTTTATATCAAATAATTTTTTAAGAAATTTAAAACAACAAAAACAACAAAAAATGATACTTCCCAAAACAGAAGGAAAACACAAAATTTTAACAAAAAAATTGACTGATGTATTAGATAACCGTCCCTTAAATAAAACTTTTACTATAGCCAAAAGTTCGAATAATATAAATAATGAAGATGATAAATTTAACAGAAAAAGAAGTAACAGTTTTGATTCTGATTTTGTTGACTTTGGAAAAGGTGGCTGGTTTTTATTTGTTTTTAAATTAAAAAATTTGTTCTAAAATTAGATTTATTTTTTTTATTAAATATTTTTATTTGATTGACTTGTTTTGGCAAATAAAAACAGCATTTACAATTAAATTTAATAAATAAATAAATTGAGTAAATAAATAAACGTCATTTTATTTTTTCAATTTTTAATAATTTTTAATTTAATGCCATTAAAAAATTAAATTTAAATTTTAGGTGGAACATTAAGAATAAGAGTAGAAAAAACTTGTTTTGCAATGGATTGGGGAAGTAAAGAATTATTAAAAGGAAGAAAATCAGGGAATAATATTAGTCCAAATAATTCAAAACAAAATAAAGAAAAATCTGAAAGAAGAGAATTAAATAAAAATAAAGATTCGAATACTCCAAAATTGCCATCTTTGGAAGGATTTTTGCCCGGAAGGACTTGCTGTCAATTACAATTTTGTAGATTTTCTAATTTGGAATTGCTTAAATACAAGAGGAATTTAATGAATTAATTTTTGTATTTTTAATGCCTCAAAATATATTTTTTAATTAAATATTTGAACAATACTCACCTCAATTCTTTTAAAATTTTGTAAATAAATTTGCTTAAAATTGTTTTTAACTTTAAAAAATTCGAAAAGAACTCGAATGAGGGGTACAGCATTTAAACAGGCATAGCAAGGAGTATGGCTTAGTTTAAAGCAAAATAAGAATGAGGTTCGTCGCTTTAATGAAAGTGACTTATCTTTTACATCTTACGTTTATATTTGACCTTATCTTTTTCGAATTTGTCATACGTTCACTCTGCTTCAGATATCTTAAAGCCGAAAATAACAAATCTAGGGTTTATTTTTCAGAACAAAAATAAAAAATTTTTTATTTAACCAATTAAGAGAATTCAAGATGTAGATTAAATTAAAAAATTTTTTTACAACAATAAATCTAAAATAACAATAAATCTAAATATTTTAAAATTAAAAATTATTTTTCCCTGTTCAATTTTGTATATTAAAAATTAAAAAACTTAAAGTTAAAAAGCTTTATTACTTTATTTAGAACATCTATTCAACTTTATTTTTCTTTTTATTTTATAAATTTCTTTAAATCCTTCTTTTATTTAAAAATTGGATTACGCAAATTTAGGATTTCCTCAGTTCGTTCGTTTTTAAAAAATAAACACAGACTTATTTTCAAAATAAAAATATTTTTACATTTTTTATCAATAAAAAATGTATTTATTTGTATTTATTATAATTTTAATTTTAAAATTATTTTTTTATTAAAAATTGTTCTTGTTAGTAGAGTAAGTCGAGTACCGAGTAATTGGGAAAAAACCGAGCTCGAGTAATCCGAGTTTGAAAAACCCGAGTTCGAGCTCGAGCTCAACTTTTTAGGCCGAGTTCGAGTTCGAGTAGTCGAGTAATCGAGTAATTTTTATAAAACAGTATTTTAAAATAATTTCAATAAAAACAATACTTTTACTAAAAACTATTCATAATCAGTGCCGTGTTTTGGGCATTTGTTGGCAGTAATGCGTTAGATCTTCATCCAAATCCCAGTTATTTTCGTTAATCCGTCTATATCCCTCTTAATCCGCAGAAATTCCATGATATGCACACGATCCATGTTATACATCAATGGATAATATTATTTCGGGGATTTGTGTAGATTAAGGGGATATCGAGTGATAAGAGGAATGAGATGGAGATCAAGGGATTAAGCGGGATTTGAACCGATTATAGTGAGATTTGGGTTATTAGGAGCAAAATCTTGGAAATTCGGGAGATTAATTGGGATATCGGATTAGATATATTGTCGAAAAGTGATCATGAGATCCGTTGCTCTATCCCTCTCTTTTCGCGCCATTGGCTTAAATTTTGAGAATTTCTCAAGGTTAAGTAGGGACACCAATTTTCAGAAGGCCAGATCCCTTGAAATATCCGGATATTACTAAAACCCACTTAACTTGATTGAATCTTCCGATATACACAAATCTTCCTTTTTCAGCGCCGCAGCCGAAAATTTCGAGAATTTTGGAAGGCCAGAGAGCAAAATTTCTTTTTTCTAGCGCCGCAGGCAAAAATTTTGAGAAATTTGGAAGACCAACACACTAAATTTCTTGGCTTTTCAGCGCCTCAGGCGAAAATTTTGAGAATTTTGGAAGATCCTTAAGCTAAAAATCTTCCTTTTTGCGCCGCAGATGGGGGCATAAAAATACTCGGTTTTAACCGAGTACGTCGAGTAGGAAGTTTCCGAGCTCGAGTAATCCGAGTATTATGATCCCGAGTTCCGAGTCGAGTAATTACGCAAAAAACCCGAGCGGTCGAGTCGAGTAACTTGAACTCGCTCGAACTCGACTTACTCTACTTGTTAGTCTAACAAAAATTAATAAAAATTTATCACAATTAATTAAGAATTTTATATAAATTTATTTTGACTTTTTTAAATAAAAATTCTTTTGTTTTGAATCAGTTTTTGTTTATAATTTTTTATTTTCTTTTTTTTTAAATTTTCAAAAAATATTTCCAACAGAGAATTATTAAAAAAACTTTATGAATTAAAAAAATTATTTACCATTTTTTCAACAAGAGTGATTATTTCTTAATATAGTATAGTATTTTTTTTGTAATTTTTGAAACAAAAAATACAATTTTAAAAATTTACCTAAAATATATTTTAACTTACTACTTCAAGATTATTGCAAAAAATTGATTTATTTAAAAAAAATTAATAAAACTATCAATTATTCCTTTACTTTCACACATAATTATTAAGTAATTATTTTACCGATAATTTAATTTAACTTTATTATAATTTAATTATTATTCTTTTTTGATTTTTAATTAATTTTTGATTTGTATTTTTATTTACTAATTATCTTTCAAAAATTATTTTAATTTAAAATATGTATTATCACAGAAAATAATTTCATGTCTTTAAAGGTTATTTTGTTTCAAATCCTAGTTTTAATATATCTCCATTGAGGCTATCAGATGTTAAAAATTATATTACAAATCTGACTTAAAAAGTAAAAAATCTTTTAATTAATGTCCATAAAAATATCCATTATAATCTAAAAATTAGTAGTTTTTTATGTCAATATTACTCGCTGTCATCAAATATTCTTAAAAGATTTTTTGGAGAACATAATAATTCAATTTATTTTTAAGCAAAGGACATAAAAGTAAAAAAAAATGTTAGGGAATGGTCGAAAAGTTGGGAGAGGTCCATCATTGAAGAGATAAAATTATTTTTTTTTATTTTTAATGGAAAAAGGAGAGGAAGGCAAAAGTGGCATTTTCCTCTCATTCAATCATATTATTATTATTTTTATGTAAATGTGACAGACCGCTGGCTATTTTTTAAAAGTTTTTTTGCATGTTCTCTACATTGAGTATTGAAATGTTAGAAAATAAATATTTATTTTAGGATAGATTCGAACTAATTTTAAATTGAAAAAATTTTAACAAAAATATTTCAGTAGAAAATAGCTAAAAAATGCTATATAGCCATGTAACTTTATTAATGCTAAGAGTTATGGATGTTGTTACTAAAACATCCGTTCAGCAATCTGCAAGAATGCTTGTTGCGGAAATTCCGGGTGATATTCAGGTATTAAATTTTGAACTTTTAAAATTATATTAATATAATGGAGATTATTTGATTGTTAATAAAGTTAATAAAATTAAAATTAAATAAAAATATTTAAATTAAAACAGATTGGTGCTCTTTTCCCAATGCATCGTCAAATAGCTGGTGCTGAGGGGTGTGGGGCTATTTGGGAACAATATGGTTATTTGACAAAAATATGTATATATTCATCGTTATTAATTATAAAGGAATTCAACGTGCTGAAGTAGCAATACTTACAATCCAAGAATTAAATAAAATACTTCCATTCCGGCTTGGAATAAGTATTCGAGACTCTTGTTGGACAGAAAGAATAGCAATGGAACAAGTTTCATTTAAAATATATCCTCTCAAATACCTAATTATTTTATCAAAAAAAAAGACAATAGCATTTTTGAGAGAGGGTGTTACTCAATGTTCTTGTTGTCAAACAGCTGGATGTCAAAAGAAGGCAAACCCTGTTGTTGCTATTGTTGGCCCTGCAAAGTCTTCAACTACCATAGCTGTACAGAACCTTCTTCAAGTCTTTCGAATACCCCAAATTGGATACGCCGCTACCACTACAGATTTAAGTGATAAAGAACAGTTTGGATATTATCTTAGGTATTATTTAAAGACAAGCATGCGTAAATATAAATAAATTTTTATTTCAATATTTTGCTAAAAATATCGCAATTTCTTATTCTTAAATAGGTAATATAAACTTTACAGAGTTGTGCCTTCCGACGCCTGGCAAGCTATGGCTATCAGCCAACTTTTAATGCATTTCGGGTGGACTTATATTGCTGTTGTTTATAGCGCTGGTAATTTAAAATATAAAATTAAGAATATTTCGTTTGTAGGAAATTATGGCGAGAAGGGATTTGAAGCAATGGAGCGCCTTACACACGCCCCGGGTATTGATGTTTGTATAGCACATGCACAAAAAGTAAAAACTATGGGAGAGAATGAAGAATTTGAGAATGTACTTCTTGTATTGAATGAATTAAATCCTCGTCCTAAAGTGGTTAGGAATTGCCAAAAAATTATTATAAAAAATAACATTATTTAACTAAAGGTTGTTTGTTTTTGTGAGGGAAGAAGTTTAAATAAATTATTCCAAGCTCAAAAAGCATTAAGAATGGGCAAACGCTCATCAATAACTACTTATAACAATACAACATTTGATAAAGGGATAAAACGCATTGAGGCTTTTCAATGGATTGGAAGTGATGGATGGGCGGATAGGTGTTATATTTTATTTTATTTTTTTTATATTTTTTAACTTTAGATTTAACTTAAATTAATAAATTCAATTTTTATTTCCAAATTTTTATTACAGACTAGATGTAGTTGAAGGCGTTGAAACTGAGGCTGCCGGAAGCTTTTCTTTCCGTATTCATTCCCCTCGAGTCGAAAAATTCGAGCCATATTATTATTCACTAGAGCCGGCCAATCAAAGTATAAAGAATCCCTGGTTTAGAGAATTTTGGCAACAAAAATTTAAATGTCTTTTAACCGTTCCTAAGGATGATACTTTTTCCGAACTTTGTGATGTTAGTTCTCAGAATTTATCTGTTGGCTATGAACAGGACCCAAAACTTAGTCAGGTGAAGAATAATTTTAGATTCTTCTACAAAATTAAAATTTTATTTAACAATTGTGTTAATTTATACTAACTAAATAAACAAGCTTGTCAGTAAATTCTACCGACATTCAAAAATACTCAAAAACAAATCTCAACTTCTCTAAAATCCAAAAAATAGTGAAACGATAAATTAAATAAAATTAAAATAAAATACAACATATAGAGTAAATATATGTGATGGAAAGCAATTGAAAATACCTTTGTTAAATAATAATTTAATTTACTAGTATCAAATCTTTTTATTAAATTTAAAATACAAATCAACATTTTAAATCAGCTTTATTTTTTCAGGTTATGAATGCTATCCGAGTAGTTGGGTAAGCCCAAAAAAAATATTTTTTTTCCAAAATTTCTCCATTGCAAAAACTTTAAAATATTAAAGATATGCCTTGAGAGATATGTATAACGATAAATGTCAATCAACAATTTTAAAACAAAATAAATTAAAAACGAATATTAACATTTCCTTTCCCTCATCTAATGCTGCATTATTCAATGCTCATTTTGGTTTACCTTGTCCAGAAATGGAAACAATTAATGGAACTTTATTATTTAGGTATTTAATTTAATAAAAATATTTTTAATTTAAAATAAAGATATATGATGAATGTTAGTTTTGAAGATGAATTTCAACAGGAAATATCGTTTGATGTGAGTGGGGATCCTCCTGCTTGGTTTGTAATTTTATTAGAAATTTGGGTGGATAATGAATGATTTTGGCATTCATGTTGAATAGTTTTTGGGCGTACAGATCATGACAATAAGTAAAGATCAAGCCACTTTATGCTTGATATAGATCTATTGTAACTCAATAATATCGTCCCTCCTCTCCTGTTCTTGGAATTACATATAATATTTCACTCATATTTCCCATCTTACATTAAAAAGATTTTTTTGTTAAAGGTATGATATTCTCAATTATGTTGGTTATGATGGTTTTCGAAAGGCTGGAGATTGGAAAAAAGGTAAAGCATAAATGTATTTTAATAATTAATAACAAAATATTTTTTTAATTTCTAGGAGTTGCTGGGACTTTCAAAGAAGAAATGGGTGCTGGAATTAAGAGTTCTGTTGCACATAAATTAAAAATGAAAAATAGAGAATTAATGTTTTATGACAAAACATCAAAAATGCCTGAGTTTGTTTGAAAAATTTTTAAAATTATTTTTTTTTAAATTATTTTTGTTCAGGTCAGTATGTAGTAAACCTTGTAGGTTTGGACAGAGAAGAAGGTAAAGAATAATTTATTTATTAAAATGCTAGAAATTAAAATATTTTAGAAATAATATAGAAATTTAATAATTAATCTAATCGAAAAGAGATTTAGTAATGAAAAGTTAATTGCCAATATTAAACAGAAATTTGTAAAACCTCCAAAAACAACAAGTAATTTTATATAAAAATTAAAGACAAACAACAGCTTGTTGCTGGATTTGCGAATCTTGTGCTGAAGGCGAAATTGTTAGAAATAATTTATGTCAAAAATGTCCTTTCGGGGAATGGCCTGATTCCGAAAATAGAACAAGTAATGACGAATATATTTTAATTAAATTTAATTTAAAACAGTTTGTCTTCGTTTGCAACACGAATATCTGGAAATAACGGCTTCAATTGCCCCAATGATTGCTATTGCTTTTGCTACTTTAGGAATTATTTGTGCATCCTTAGTTATTTTATTGTTTCTCTTACATAATTCCACACCTGTTGTTAAAGTAAATAATTTTTAAATTTAGAAAAAAATATTATTATCTGGATAATAATTAATTAACCCACTATTACTACTTAAATACAGTTTTAAAATATAGCACAGGAATTTTTCATGACTTTCTCCTCCATAAATTTCAGAAGTTTTAGTAATTATTTCTGAAGTTATGGTCAAGGAATTTGAAATATAATCAAGTTTTTACTCGAAAATTTGACAACATTTTTGGGCATAATTTTGAGAATACGGAATAAAAATTTTTGAAATCCTTAGTGGGGTTGCATAACATTGTTTTACTGATATCCATACAAGATTTTAGGATTTTAGGTTCTTTGACCAATTTATCAGAACACACGAAAAACTCACAGAAACTTTCCCATTTTTCACTATAAAATAAATAAATTTTATCTTAATTTTAAAGGCAACAACAAGAGAACTTTCTTATATAATTCTTGGAGGAATTGTTGCTGGGTATTTATGTAGTTTTGCATTATTAGCTAGGCCATCATTTATTGCCTGTTTCTTTTCTCGAACACTTCCACCTATAGCTTTTGCTAGTATTTATTCAGCACTTTTTACAAAAACAAATAGAATTGCAAGAATTTTGGCTGGAAGTAAAAAAAGAATTTTAACTAAAAAGCCAAGATTTTTGAGTACTTTTAGTCAAGTAATTAATTATTTTATTAAAATTTTAATTTTTATATAAAATTAAAAAGGTTTTAATTACTTGGACATTAGTTGGTATTCAATGCATTATTGTTGCTATTGGACTTGTAAAGGAATTCCCTAAAGCTAGTTTTGATGAAAATTTTGCTCCTGTATGTTTTTCTTATTTTGAGGGGGGAGGAAATATAGAAAATTCTTATTAAAGAAAATTTTAGATTTAAAGACGGTATGAGACGAAGCTTAGATTGTGTAGTAAATCTAATATAGGCAACGCATATTCATAAGGATCTAGTCCTTCGGCAAACTTTTAGGTTTTATATCAGGCCGCTCGTACTGCGGATTCCAGACAGGCGAATTTTTTAAATTTAATTGAAGGTTTGCGATGCGAAAGCTCTGATTTATATCATGTAGGAAATAAATTTAAATAATTAAGAGAAGAATGGTTCTTACTTGTGCAATTTCCACAATGGCATTTATGGCTCCTTTTGTTTGGAATTTTATTCTCGTATTCTAAAAATATTAAAAAATATTTTTTTTATTTTTTTATGTTTTATTCTGCACATTATATGCTTTCAAAACAAGAAACTTACCCGAAAATTTTAATGAAGCAAAATTTATAGGATTTACCATGTATGTCAATTAATTAAAATATTTTTTCTAAAGTTCTAAATATTTATTTGAAGGTATTGTACTTTAGTAACTTGGTGTGCATTTGTTGTGCTTTACGTTAACTCTCTTAATAAAGTTATTTTTTTAATTTTGAAATTAATTTGAACTAGAATTTTTTTGAGTTTTTACCAATTTTGCAGTGTCGGGCTTAACTATATTTACATTTAAAATTCTCAAAAATTTTTTTATCAAAAATAAAACTCCCCTCTTTAAGTGCCTAAAATTTATTAAAAATATAATTTTTAATGGATTTTTAAATTTAAAATAATTTTACACAATTTTTATTTTTCCTTTCAGGCACTCACTGCCAGCTTCACATTTTCTCTATCAGCTTCAATAGCTTTATCTTTACTTTTCTTCCCCAAATGTTTTATAATTTTATTAAGACCAGAAAAAAATGTTAGATCATCATATACAACAACAAAACTTATTCGTTGTCATTTTGGTAATGCTCCAAGTACTTTTACTGACAGCAAACATGGAATTTCCTTTCTCTCAAAAACGAGAAATAGTTCACAGTCATTATCAATTGGGGCAGGTTCCTGTCCAACAAGAACAGCTTCTTTACATGTTGTTAATCAGAATAGTATTATTAGTGGTGGAGGAGGTGGAGGAGGGGGAGGAATTTCAAATTTATCTGGAAGTTATTCTATTGGAAATCAGGCAACAAAAATTTTTTAGTTTTATAAAAATGGAATATATTTAATTGAATCAAATTAAGTAGGGCTAATAGTTCTGAAAAATTCCGCAGATATCCAGAACATAATCGTAGAACCGAATCGGAAGATTCTTAGTTTTTTGATCGGTTCCGAACCGACAACGCTATTAAGAGGAACAGCTAACCAATTATAAAAAACCCAAATATTTTTGGCGTTTCTATATATAAATAATAAAATTAGGCAAATAATAAATTAATTCTTAAAATAAATTAAAAATAAATTCTCTTTGAAAATATTGCCCTTTGATCAATTCAGAACATTGCCCTTTTTTTATCGAATTCCGCTTTATCTATTTTTCCTGTACGTTAATTTATCACATGCTCGCATGTGATTTTGTTTGCATGTGATTTTTATATTTATTAAAAATCACATGGATTTGCGTGTGTGATCAATCACACATACATCGCATGTGATTAATCATATCTACAACGTGTCGAAACAAAAACGGAACGGACAACACGGTCAGAAAAACACGGACTTACAAAATACTTTAATCTTGTTGAGATTCTTAGAAAATTTAGATTCTAAGTTAGGTAAATAATAAATTAATTTTTTAAATATTTAAAGATTATTTATTAATTGAACAGCTTTCTGATAATAAATCATCTACATGTCCTCAACATTTACTTCATCACAGTCCACGAAGAGTAAATATGCAAACTCAAACGGAAGTTTCCTCAATAGCTTTCTCCAATCAAACAACTGGTTTTGGTAACCGCATTACTCGAACATTTTCTGTTATTGGAGGCGTTGCCGGAAGTAGTGGTGGAAGTGAAGAAAGGGGATTAAAAGGATCTCCTGTTGGGAAAAAAGAAAATAGTAAATTAAGTATTGGAAGTAAAGTTGAGCGGTTTGGAAGAAGTGGGGACATAAGGGAAAGGAAAAATAGGAGAAAGACGTTGGATGACGATGTTTTGCAATTAATTGAGTCTTGTCGAAGATACCAAGCAAGTTTATTTAGTATATTCGTTAATTCAAGATCACATTCTAAGGATGAACGTATATTAATCAATCCTACAACTATCGGAAATTTATTATTAGAAGAAGCGCCAGAAGATGTTTTGAATGAACCAGAAGGAAGGGGTGAAATAGTCTCGGAAATGTTGGCTGGTACTATTCGTGGATTGGCACAGACCGTATCTAGAACAGCAACGAGTGGAATAAAGGTGTTCTACTCGAAAAATATTTAATTCATTTACTTAATTGATAATAAATTCTATAGTCCGAAGAATTGAAAGGAACAACATATTCGCTCAAGCAAAAGCTTGAAAGAGAAGAAGATTCCCCAAGTTCTCCTGAATTAGCACCTGTTTCCTCATTCCCAACCCGTTCATCAATTCGTTCTGCTGGTGGAAGAGGTGTTAATGAAATGCATGTTGATTTTGCTTCTGTAATTGAAAGTGATAAACAAATAAAAAAACAAAAAAATCGTTCGGAAGAAGTTGAAGAACAAAAAATACTAGATGAAACAGGAATGGGAGAGGACAGCTTTGAAAACGTATATCTTTTCCATTTTTCAGATTATATATAATAATCTTAGACGATAACATTTTTTAGGCATTTAATACTTTGATTTTGTTAAAATTCTTAGGATAAACATGTTAAAAAGAAATTAAGCAATAAAGTCATAATTCAAAAATATAGAAAGTCTTTTAACTTTTCCAAGTTTCAGTTCACTATACAATAAATAAAATTCAAAAAAGTTGACATAATTTTTTAACTTTAAAAAAATTTTATTAACAAATACTTTTAAATAAAAATAATTTAGTTACTGCGCAGCAAAGGCTTCAATCCGGTGCAATTTAGCAACCCTACACAACTATAATAAAAAATGTGATCTCGATTCGATATTTTTGATAATTTTCTTAAAAAAATATTTTGTTTTTAAGTTTTAATAAAAGTTTTTTCCTAACAGAAAAATTATTATTAAATAAATAAATACATAATTAAATATAATAAACATAAATTAAAAATAAATTCTCTTTGAAAATATTGCCCTTTTTTATCGAATTTCGCTTTATCTATTTTTCCTGTACGTTATTTTATCACATGCTCCCATGTGATTTTGATTGCATGTGATTTTTATATTTATTAAAAATCACATGGATTTGCGCGTGTGATCAATCACACATAAACGCATGTGATTAAGCATATCTATACAACAGAGGTGCTTGTGATTGTCAATTGTCAAAAAATGATATTGGAGTCTATATTTCAGAATTTATTATATTTGAGTCTCTCATTTTCTATTATTTTTATCTTTTAATTATCGTTATCATGTTTCTAACAAAAACATAATTATAGGTATGTTAGAAATCCAAATTTTTAAATATTCACTATTATTTTATTAAAAATAAATATTTCTATAATTAAACTGCATTCATTCATTCACAATAAATCTCCGCCACTTTTAAATAAAGTTCAGCGGGATCTGGATCGGGCGGAATTACACTGGTTTTTTGAATCCCGAACGGTTTCTACCAATCCCGATCTGTTTAGGGTTTACATTTATGTAAGGTTTGTATTTAACGGGTACCCGTAAATGGAAATGTCCACTATCCAGAAAAATTCGGTTTGGTTATCTGTTCAAGATATCCGAATATATCTACGAATCGACCACATTATAGTAATTATTACAAGGGCAAATAAAGAATTCTGACATTTTTTAGAAGTTTTAAGATTTTTAGCTAAATGGAAAATTTTAATGTTTACCTTCATTTTCAATTCAGCTTTTATTTGACTCTTGTCTTATTATAAAATCCCCGAGTAATTTAAATTTTTTAAACATTATTTATTTGTTTAATAAATTGAAAGTAATTATAAAAAATTATTATTTTAAAAAGTGAATACCGGTTTTTTGAATCCGAACGATCCCGCTGAACTGTAGTTTAGCGGGATCGCAAATAACAGTTCAGCGGGACAGTTCAGCGGATCCCGATCCCGATTTTGTTGACCACTAGCAAAAATAAATTCCGATCACATTTCTCCGACGGTTGAAGAAGATGAAGCTGATTTTTCTAATTTTTCTAATTCAGATGATTTTGAATATGTATAATTAATTTATGTTTGTTTATTTTTTAAAATTGTTGGATGGATTTATTCTTGCCATACATGAATCTGATACTGATTTTTCAATCTCGGGGTCATCATTCCAAAATGCCGACCCGATTCTTTGTTGGAAACCCGATAAGGATTTAAAAGATTTTTTAACTAAATAAAAGTTTTTTAATTAAAAAATTATCTAAGGAATTTTTTAGATATTCTTATTTATTTAGACATCTTCTCTACATTCTCAATCAAGTGATATTCTCAATGCCCTCCTCGCTCTCGACAAAATTTAATAACGTTTTAAATTTTTTCCCGCCCATACTTATTATACGCCCATAATCAAAGAATTTATAAAGCCCCGATTTACTGTTAAATGCTCATTTAAATATTTAAATTTTTTTATAAATTTTACATTATTAATAAAATATAATAAATAATTTTATTTTTATAATAATATTTAGTAATAAATATCTAAAATATTTAAAATCAGAAATTCTAAAATAAAAAACTTATCAAAAAACTGTAAAGGTGAACCTCAAAAAACCTCAAAATTTTTATTTGTTAATAATTTTAGAAAATTTAAGTTACTGCACAAATCACTCAAAATTATTTTTCTGGTGATACTCAAACTGTTTTTGCGCGTAAAATATAATTTTTAAAAACGTTTACTGCCCATTTAACTCACTGCCCAAATCACTCACTGCCCATTTAACTCATTGCCCAACATAATTACAAGGACATCGATATTTTTTATGCATATCTACCTATTTAATTTATTTAGTAACTACTTCCAATTTCTGTTTTTAGATGAAACGGAAGAAATCATTCCTGATATTTTTTCTGTTTTATTTGTTTACTTCTCTGATACAAAATGGAAATTCAAAAAATTCAAAAACAGGTTCAAGCCGAAAAAGTTCTGGGCGAATTACAAGAATTAGCTCAATGTCTGGAGAATCGAAGCAAAATTATGAACATGTTGAATATAAAACCGACAAAATTGTTGCTGAGGAATATGTTCAGAAATTGGTTGGGCCTAACCAATATTTCTTACCTGAAACGATTGATGCTGCTATATTCTGCTATGAAGAGATAAATAAAGATATGTCGAAAAAAGAAAACCCCAAAAAAACTAAAGAAACAGTTGGAAAAGCTAGTGAAACCCCAAAAGATTTAAAAGGATGTAAGTTTATTACATCAAAAGATAGCACTGTAGCAAAAATGTTTGAATATTTTTATTTAAAAATTGATAAAGTTGGGGTTAGAGAGCAACTTGAGCAAGTGCCTTTGCCTGCCGATAAATGTAATATAGGCTTCCCATTACCGAAAAATATTTTTGGGAAAGCATTTCTGCTTGATTCAGCGTTGACTTTTTCTGAAGACGACTTGGAAGAATTGGTACATGGTGAGGAGAAAATGGTTTATGTTAAACCAGAAAATGGGAAAGAGGAGAAAGAAATTGAAGATGAAGAAAAAGAAGAAAATAAAGAAGATGAAGAAGATGATGATGATGAGGGGAGTGTTCGTATGACTATTGTTATGTTGTTAGATATTATTTACGGAGGAAAGAAAAATGTAGGCGGTAAAGATATATTTTTGGATTTGAATAAAATACCAGAAATGGAATATAAATATGAGGTAGGGAAGAGACGACGAATGAAAAAAATTGCTAAAAGAATCTTCCAAAAAAGTGCGAAATTATTGAGAAAAGCTGTCGAAAAAGCACAGAAAAAAGTGAAAGCAGAAGAAAAACGATTTAGTTTTAATCGAATAAATTTTTTTACAAAACGAAAAGAATCGCGTGTGAATTCATTGCCAAAAGAAGAGGAACTAAAAGAGGAAAAAGAAAAATCACTAATTTTGTCGAAAAAAGATGAAAAGAGTTCAGAAGAATCTTCAATAAATTTGTCCAAAGGACCCTTGGGAAGGAGTGTTACATTTAATTTTGGTACATCGAATGCTGAGGAAACTGAAGGAAAACATAAAAGAAATCATTCAGAAGGTGATCATAGTCAAATTATTCAAATGCAGCAAGATGAGTTAAAGGTCGTTTTTAAAAATTTCTTCTTAGTTTCAAAAACAATGCAATTTAAATTTACCTATTTTATTGTTTTCCGAACAAAAGTATGGTAAACGGCATTCCATTGTTTTAAAATTAGCCTAAATTTCTTCTCGACTCCCCAAAATTTCCTAATGGACTTGATTTAAAAAAATTAAAATAAAAAATAAGTATCACCTATTTAGTTCCAAGATGAAGATTTTGATGAAGATTTTGTTAGTAAAAATATTAATGATATTCAAAAAATGGAAGAAGCTGGAAATCTAAAGTTGAATGATCAATTAAAAGCTGAGATCGATGAAAAAGTTAATTCGATTAGTAAATCGATGATCGAACAATTAGATAAATTAGAGACTTTAGAAGAAAAAGAAGAAAAAATTAAAGAATGGAATGAAATGCTGGATAATTGGGAGGAAAAAGCAAGAAAAATGTTTTATGAGAAAATTGAGGTAGAAAAAGATGAGGAAAGTCATAAAAAGTTGACTGAACAAAAAGTTCATCCATTCAAATTTCTTCAGGTAAAAAAAGTTAAACCTTAAATCTTAATCAACCAATAATCCATTTCATTTGTGGATAAAACAGATAATCTAGTATTTTTAAAATGAAGTATATTTACATGATTAATTTCTATTTAAATAAGATACAGATGAACTTCTACAAATATTTACATTAATAAATTTTTATCATTTTAAATAAACTTATCTTCCAACATAAATCTGATTATTCATGACCTGGAAAAGCTTTGAAAAGGACCTCCCAATTAATCTCCTCTCTCTGAAGGACCTCCTAATTAATTAATCATCACTTGGTTGCATGAGGCTATATGGGATTATTGGGGGGGGGGGGGGAATTATTAAAATTATTTCTAGTTTTAAGCAATATTTACCTAGGTTTATTTTGTTATTATGCTGGGTAATTCTTCGGTTGTCGCCCCCCCTTTTTTATGTTCTATCTTTTTTTCATTTCCTATGAAATTTCTATGGATTTTTATATACATTCGAAAGAGCTCTTCGAGCTGAGTCGAACGGTACTAAATTTATCAAAATCCGACTTAAATAAACATAGTTATGAGCAATTGTTTTAATCCCTTTCAACATCACAAAAAGCATGTCCACAGGGGATTTAGCCTCATAATTTTGTTCAAAATCGCCAAATCTAACCTATCTTCGTATCAATCTACCCAGCTCGGATAGCTCTTTCGAATGATATATAATAAATCATATGTCAAGAAAAAAAGCTCAAAATGGTCAGGGAAACATAAAAAAGGGGGGGCGACAACCGAAGAATTACCTTATGCTGACTATATATGAATTCCAGAGTGCTGTTATCTTTTAAGCTTTTGAATTTATGTTTCTAATATTGCTTTGGGATGATTGCCCGCACTATATCTTAAATTTTTACACAAAAATATTTTTGTTTTGATTTTAATTTAATTTAGGAAATAAATTTTGGTGTAAGTATTAAACCATCAAACAAACGTTTCAAAAATATAAGTGGGGAAGAATATGAAGAAATGATAGAATTTTTTAAAAACCCCAAGGAATTTATTATTTTGCAAGAAGAAATTAATGCAGAAAAAGCAGAAGAAAATAATGGGAAAAAAGTAAGTGAAAATAAATGGAAAAGAAAATTAAATGGAAGAATCATGAGATTTATATTCCGAGAAATGACTGAAATTGAAAAGAAATTGAAAAAGGAGAGGAAAATAAAGGGAAATGAAGAAAAAGATGAAGAAAAAGAATTAAATAATTATTTAAATGATTTGCTAAATGAAGAGTTTAAATGGCTAAATTTGGGAATTAAAAATAAGATTTGGGAATGGTTTTTGAAATTCACAAAATGGGGAAAGAAAAAAGTTGAGAAAAATAGAAAATTTGATTTAAATGTTTTTAAAGCTCTTAAAAAAGATTTGTTGGCAATTGATGATGGGATTAAAAATTGTTATAATTTAAAAGATCCTCTGCTAAAAGTATTACAATATGAGGATATAAATGATCCTATACATCAAGAATTTCGTGGAAGGTTTTTAGTTTATTTATTTTTTATAACTTTATGTGTATAAAATTAATTAAAATATAAAATGAAAGCAATAAAATCCCAAATAAAGAATTTAAAAAATATTTTGATTACAAGTATCGAACAGACATTTTGCTGTAAATGCAAAACTATTGATAATACATAATCCCATGATTTTATATATTTTTCAAATTTTTAAGAATTGGCGCACAAATACTCGGATCAGTTTACAACGCTAAACAATTAACTATGGATGTTTTGAAAGGAATGTTATTAAGCATAGGTGGTGCTGGTGCGATTGCAGCAATTTTAGACCTTGTTGTTTGGCCTTCAGTTATTTTACTAATTTTTTCATTGTCTGGAAACATTGTAGCTGCTCATATTGTTGGAATAATCCTCTATTCACTGACACCACTAGTAGCTGAAACATTTGATTCGCTTGTGATTAAACGTCTTTTAATCTCTCTTGATGGAGGCAAATTTTTCCCTTCTACGCTGGACAAATTTCTTGATGATTTGAAGGGTGCTTTCAAAGCGGGTATAATTGCTTCTGCTGGTTCTTTAATGAACAACACATTAGCAATGGAGCAGGTTGCGAAAGGATTGGGGATGGCAGCGATAGGACCAAATTTGCCTACGAATATAGTTTGTTTTTAAAACATTTTTTTAAAACAAATCTTTCTTTAATGATAATCAAAGTCACACATATCCATAGAAAATTTTTAGAAATATCAGTTCTTTTAAAGTTATTGTCAAGGATATACAGTAAGGTGCAAAAGTTTATGCGGCGGCACATTGCAGGCAGATAAATCGATATATCTCTGGAGGAAAAGGGATCTAAATTAAATCGACTATATTTTAATTAAGTATAGGTTATCTGTTTATAATATCCATTAAAAAAATTCATGTCATCATGTCATTCAAAATTTATTCACGTAATAACTTATTTACCTCCCATTTTGGGGGAGCAAAAGTTTATGCGGCATATAGAAAAAAAATTTTTTTGGTTCTAAAACAAAACGAAAAAAATTACAAAAAATTTTATAAACATTTTCATTGATATTGAATGGAGAAAGGGCAAAAACGAAGTCTTTACTGTACCCCGATTTTACTGTACCCCGATCTTTACTGTACCCCGATTATCACTGTACCCCGATTTTACGTTGATTTTTAAGATTTTGGATCTTGATGAAAAAATTATTTATTGAACTCATTCTTTTTGTTTTTCCATTCAGTATCAATGAAAATGCCTATAAAAATTTTTTAAACTTTTTTCGACTTGTTTTAGAACCAAAAAAATTTTTTTCCTTTAAGACGCATAAACTTTTGCTCCACCAAAATTTAAGGTAGATAGGTTTCAAGCTTATAATTTTTGAATAAAATGTATATCGGAATTTTTTTTATAAATTTTAGTAATACATTACCTACCCTTAATTAATATATAATTGATTTAATTTAGGTCCCTTTTCTTTCAGAGATATATAGATTTCTCTGCTTGCAATGTGCCGCCGCATAAACTTTTGCACCTTACTGTAACCGATAAATTTGTCTAATTAGTCGTTATAAAATATTCAATATATACCAAAATTTAATTGGTATATGCAGAATAATTTCTAAAATTTATATAGGTTGCTGCATCTACATCTGGCGCAATGGTACCTTTAGAATTCCATGAATGGCGTGACCTTCAACGTGCCGCACTTTACAAATTATATGACCAAAAATTTTTGCCAAAACCAAATGGTGATACACTCGTTGTTGAATGGAGAGAAAAATCAAAAAAGAAAAGGGAAAAATTTTGGCATAAAATTACTTTTCGCCTCTTTGCTCCAAAAAAGCCAGAGACATCTCCGGTTATTACAATTGAAGAGAGAAACCTAGCTTTCCGTGAACATATTAAAGAAAAGATTGAAGCATCAATGGATATCCAGAAAAAATCTTCAATGGCACTTAATTCAATGGGAATTGGTTCCTTATTAAGTCAAATTGTTTTGGTTGCTTTCTTTTTCCCAGCAATGTTTGGAATGCCAGCTGTGGTGCTGAAGATTGCCTTAATTATAATTAATACGCCAACAGAGATTATTTCATTAGCTTCTACCATAGTTGCGTCGAATAGTCTTGGAAATGAATATATTGAAAAATGGTGGAGTACAGACACAATGAAAAATAAACAAATGGTAGGATAATTAATTAGTATTTAAATGTTTTTTGAAAATACTACAAAAGCTCTATGTACCGTATTTACTCAATAATTACACTGGGTAATTATTGTTCCAATCATTAGCATATACTAAACCACGTTTCAGTGCTTTGTTTCATGAGATAAGCAAAAAAAACACTAAATTTTTTATCATTTATGGAATCCTAAGACAATTTTAGAATTCCAGCATTATAATGTAAATTAACTTCATTCTATGTACTAATTGTAAGCAATAAGTATGAGAAGGAGCTAAATATTTTTGCTCGTTTATTGGCCTCGTATACATATTATTTTTTGATTGTATCCGTACTTATTTGTCGGTCTCGATTTTTTAAAATTCTTAGTTCTTGACATTTAATTAATATTGAGAGGAAGTAAAACAGTGAATTTTTTAACAGAGTCAAAATATCAAAAATAAATATTTAGTGACTAGTTTAAAAAATAAATTTTTATTAAAGGTTCGTCTTATAATTGACAGAACAATAAAACAAATGGAACATCCAAATAAAGAATTTCAAGAAATTACAAAAAAAGAAGTTTATAAAATATATCATCCAAAAGGACAAATTTTGTATAGATACGGCAAAATAATAACTAAATTTATGATTGTTACCTTTAAATTTATGACAAAACCGTCATTATTTAAACAAATTAACATAAGTAAATTAGCCCTTCCTTTCTTTAAAGAAGAGAAATATCGTGAAGATTTAACTTTCAATATATCCTTTTTGGAGGAACCTTTGAAAGAATTGCTAAAAATGCCAGGAATTGATGAAGAAAAATTTAAAGGATTTGTAAATGAAATTTGTGAGTTTATACAGGGATTCAAATTATGAGAAGACTAAAAGATATACCGTATTTCCTCTAATTGAATGCCCATTTAGTAGAATACCCCTTTAGAGGACGATTGAAAAATAGAATGCCCGGCCATTCTATTAGATGAAATACGGCGTATTTATTTCAAAAATCATTTTTGGATTTTAATTAAACCCTTAATTAAATTAAGTAATTTAAAATATTTTAAGCACCTTTTCATGAAAAACATAAAATGACATTGACAGAAAGTCATCATTTTATTAGTATATTAATCGATTGGGAAAATGTTAAAAATGTGGAAACTAAAGGAAAATTGAAAGAAATACTAAGCGATGAAAAATATTTTAAATATTTCGAACGAAATGTGAAAAATAATAAAAATATCAACTTTGGTGTTCTTGCAATTTTAAATAAAGTTTGTTGTTATTTTGAAATAATTATTTTAGAAATTATTTTTAGATTGGAAACTCTAAAGACGATATAAATTTAAATTTACCTAAACTCGAAAAAGCTTTAAGAAATTTTGAAACAAATATAAAATACAAAAGTAAATTAATTGAATGTAGTTTATATGCAAAAATTTTACATTTTACTGCTTTGGAGATTGATAATGAAGATGAAGTTGATGGAAGAAAAATTGATGGAAGAATTGAAACTTCGATTGATAATCATTTAAAAAAAGAAGAAGATACGAAAAGAGAGAAAAGTTTTTTTAGAAGAAAAACCGACACTATTTTCAGAAATAAAAAACAAAATTTGAAAAAAATAGATATGAAATATAAATTACGAAAATTATTTTTAGAAAAATTACAAAAAAGATTAGAACAATCAAAACAAAGAGATGGTTTGTTTAAAGGAGTTTTTTTGTTAAATTTTTGATAAAATTTTTTTGGCAGTCTTACTTATAAATATATGCTAAGCTAAATTCATAAATATTCGAATTAATTTGAAAAATCAAAAGCATTTTTTTTATCAATGCTGCTTTAAAATATTTTTAATTTTCAGTGAATTTGGATATTGAAGGAAGTGCCCCAGATTTTTTGACTAAAGTAATTAATGATTTCAAAACTCAATGTAAATTTGGAGAATCAACAAAAAATACCCTTCAATCTATCGTCCATCAACTAAATTTTTTTAAAAAAGAAAATAAAGAGGACATTATAAAATCCTTAAATGAAAAAATAACAAAACAAAAAGGAAAAGTAGAAAAACATTTTGAAGAAAATTTGAAAAAAGAAATAAATAAACGCTTAACAGAAGATGAAGAATTTAAAAGAAAATTAAAAGAAAGGACTTTAGATTTATTTAATAAAAGATTAAATTTAAAAAAATATTTGAAGAGAATGGCTAAACGAACAAGGAAATTTATAAAATATTTGAAAAAAATTAAAAATGAATTGGATAATGAAAATATACTTTTGAAGGATTTGAAAAAGTTAAAAAAGTTTAAAAAATTAGATAAAATGGAGAGAATGTTGGAAGAATTGAAAAAAGAAGTATGTTTATCAGAGATGGGTCGGAATTCCGATTTCCGGCGTTTTCTTCCTTCCGATTTCCAAAAAAAATTTTTATTTCCGAGTTCCGACTTTTGAGCCAGTTCCGATTTCCGGCTCTTCCGATTTCCGACACCTCTGACTGTTCCGACACACCTCTGATGTTTATACGCTTAAATATTTAATTATTTTTTTTATTAATAATAAAATTATAATTTAGGTGAAAGAAGAAGACGAAGCCTATCGTGATCGCTTTATTTCAAAATTCGAATTTCTTGATAAAAACTGGAAAGAATTTGTGAAATCAAATAAAAAATTAACAAAATTGGCGGAAGATGGCCATTTATTTATTGGCTATTGTTTGGCAAAACGTTTCCAATTTATTTTTAACAATGAGGGACAGGCAAAAACTAAATTTTATGAGGAAACAAATTCCCATTTATTTAACTATGCAAGTGAAATTAATCAAATTTTGGGAAACAAAAGAGTAGATTTGGAGTAAGTTTAAGTTGTACAAAATAAAATTTTAATGTATTGGATCCGCTTTTTGGGATTTTTTGTGAAAATAAATAATTCCAAATAAGAATATTTAATCTAAATACAGAGATGCGAGAAATTAAATAAATATATTTTAAAAATTATAAATTTAATTTTTATTCATTTTAAGATTTTATAAAAAACAAGCAAATAATTTCAAAGAAAAAATTCTAAGCAAATGTGAAATTCAAGAAGAAGATTTGGAAGAAATTGTATCTAATATTTGTGAGATTGACAGAGATAATGTAAAATTTGAACACCCAGAAGAGTGGAATTTACAAATTTGTAATTAATTTAATAAAATTACCTTTATAAAAATATAAAATTAATTAATTAATAATATGGTAGGAGATTACGTAAAGTTAGGATAATCTTTGAATGAAAATTTGTTATAAGTGGGATTATTATAAGTGGGATTATTAAAAAGAAACCGAGAAAATCCATAAAAATAGGGCGAAATCATACTTTTTGAACATGAAGTACTGCTCAAACTTTGAGAGTTTAAACTGCCCTTTCATGCTAAAAATGAGTACAATAACCAAAAATACTTTAATATAAATTTATTTTCCCCTCACAAAGCCAAAACAATTCTTGATGGCGATTTCCACCTCGCCGATATGAAATTCATTGGTGTTGAAGAAAGTGATTTAGAGCATTTGAATTTGGGAAGTGGAGAATGGTTTGATTTAAAAAAAGGAGCATGTAAGAAAAAAATATAATTATTTTAAATATTATATTTAAATTTTAAGTGGATCTATTCAATTTAAATAAATTAACATTTACCGAAGCACATTTAATTATTTCTTCTTTACATGAAATATTAAAGAAGAATAAAACAACAATAAAAAAAGAAGAATTAGAAAAGCATTTAAAAAATGTTAAAACAATTTATTGGAAAGCAAAATTGGAAATTGAAAAGGTTGGTAGTTATTGGGAATGGAGTTTTTCTTTTAAGAAAACAGGAACTTTTCCCAAGTAAAACTGATCTAAATTTACATGGTTTTAGTATCACTATTTTCTTTTAATTAAAGAAAACCGATTACGTAAATTCTGATTATCGTTTAAAAATAAATCTTTGAAATATTATTTTAAAAAAGATTTAAAAATTAATTTTACTATTAAAGTCAAAACAAATTAAAAACAATCAGCAAAAATTAATTGTCAAAAAAGAATTGACTCGAATTGAAACTTCAATTGAATTTAAAGAAAAATTAAATGAATGTTTAGTGTCCATTTATGTATTGAAATTTTTTGTTTTACAAAAAAATAATCGAGAAAATGATTTATTAGACGAGGAAAAAGGAGAGAAGGAGGAGGAGGAAGAAATTCCAGAAAATATTCAAAATAATTTAAAAATTAATGAAAAATTCTTTTTAAATTTTGAAAATAAATGTGAAAATATAGAAAAAATTAAAGGAATTTGGAATTCAAAAAAAGATTCGGAAATTTTAATCAAAAAAATAAATGATTATGAAAAAAAATTAAAAGAAAAAATTAAAAAATTGAAAAAGGAAAACAAATTAATTGATATTTTAAAGAAAAATAAAAAAGAAAATGAAATTAATTTGGTTTAATTACCCAAGTTTGAGAAATATTTAAAATGGCACAATCTAAAGAAATTAAAGAAATTCTTGCTAAACTTCAAACTATTCAACAACAAATTAATAAATTAGACGACAAGGTTGAAACATTAAATACAGCAGATATTATTGAAAAATTGGAAAATATATCAACGACTATAGAAACAACAGCAATCAAAGCTGTTGAGGATAAAGAAAGACAACGTAGTCTTGTCCTTATAGGATTAAAAGAATCAACAGCAGTTCGGCCAACAGAGCGTGCGAAAGCTGACGAGGAGGAGGTTTTACGCGTTCTGGACGCGCTGGACGTCCAGACATTGCCATTGGCAGTGTATAGAATGGGAAATCCAGCCAAAGCAGGTCCAAATGGTCGTTTAATTAAAGTGATACTTCCCAGTACATCTTTTCAGCGAATTTGTTTGGCTCAGTGGAAAAAGAAACGTCTTGAGATTCGATCCATGGAAAAATGGACCAAATTACTAATAAGACCTTCACTAACTGCTGAACAACTACGCTTAGACAAGGAAGAGAGAGACAAACGCAGAATCGATTGGCAAGAAAGAAATAAGAATAATACTGCTGGAGACAACGTTACAAGACGTACAAAAAACTATTAGGTAATTTTGAGATCAAATTATACTATTTTAATTCAAGAAGTGTTACAAACAAAATTGACACTCTTAAATTCCTAATGCAAAAAAATTCCTTTGAAATAATATTGATAACTGAGAGCTGGCTAAATCATAAAACTTTAGACTCATCCATAATAGAAAACTCAAAATATTCATTAATACGTAACGATAGAATTAATTCTAAAAAAGGCGGCGGGGTTTTAGCAGTTATTTCAAATTCTATTCCCTTTAATGAAATTAAAACCTGCAAAAATTCTCACTATGAAATACTATGTTTTGACATATATTCACCTTTTACTTCCCAGAAACATAGATTTATATTAGTTTATCTCCCACCACCTGTAAACAAAATACAACAAAATTGCCTTGTTGAAAAATTACAACAATTAACCAGTATTGATTATACATACTCTATCATTGGTGATTTCAATATTCCTTATATACCCTGGGGTAGCGAAAATTTAATAGAAATTAAAAATGATAATATTTTACTAGAATTTATAAAATACTCTCAACTAGAACAAATTATAAAATTTCCTACACGCCAAAACAATTTTTTAGATTTAATATTTACTAATTCACTTTCCTCCTATAAATCCATAAATATGACTGAACCAATACAATCAAACATATACCAGTCCGATCATAATGGAATAGAAGTCATTTTCAATTTCATAAAAACCAAAAATCTTAATCAAAATTATAAAGATTATATAAACTGTAACTATAATATCATAAACAACTATCTAAATTCAATAAACTGGAATTTATGTTTTGCAAATTGCATAGACATAAATCACCTGTATTCCACCTTCCAAAAAATAATTTCTGAAACTATAGAAAATTTGATACCAACAAAATCTAGAAACAGTAAAAATTTATTACCAAAACACATACAATCATTAATTGAATACCGTCGTAAACTATTTAAGGATAAAAGTTTACACTCAACAGAAAAATTTAAAATTGCATCATTAAAAATAGATAAAGAAATACAGAAATACTTTAGAAATCGTGAAAATAAACGATTAAAAAATATTCGAACTAAATATACTCATATTACAAACCTTTTAAAGACAAAAAATACACAAATTCCAATACTCTTGGACAATAATAAACTTCCTCTAATATCAGCTAAATCTAAAGCTAATCTCTTTTCAAACTATTTTTCACAAATTCTCTCTCCATCCAATCAAAAATCTCTAATCCACAAACCTTCTCTCACTCCAAAATCTTCTTCAAATAAAAATAACCTCATTAACACACACACAAACAAACCATATTTAAACTTTATACAATCATTTCAAGAAGATATATTCTTTATATTAAAATCGTTAACAAATAAATCAAATATATCGACAGATATGATTCCTGAGATATTTTTAAAAAATTGCTCACAATCACTTGCTTACCCTATCTACTACATATTTAACTATATTACAATGAGCGCAAACTTACCCGATATCTGGAAACAGTCCATAATTATACCCATTCCGAAAAATAAAAATTCATCCTGTCCTTCAGACTACCGGCCAATATCTCTATTATGTCCAATCTCAAAAGTCTTCGAAAGATTATTATACAATCAATTAATTAATTTTATAGAAAAATATGAAATTATCCCTAACGTCCAACATGGATTTCGAAAAGGGAAATCAGTAACCACACAACTTTTAGAAACATTCAACGACTTTTCGATTGCTTTGGAAAATAAACAATTTATTGATGTCATATATTTTGATTTTAGTAAAGCCTTCGACACAGTTCCACATGATAAACTTATAAATAAATTACACAAAATTGGAATAAGGGGATCTTTTTTACAATTGCTAAAAAATTACCTCACTAATAGAAAATTTACTGTGATGATCCAAGATTATAAAACTGATTTAATGGATATAAATAGAGGCGTCCCACAGGGGTCAATACTAGGGCCATTATTTTTCCTTATATACATATCAGATCTACCCAGTTTCTGTGAAACAAAGGACGTAAAGATAAAATTGTTTGCAGACGATCTTAAAGCATACTCATTCTCTAAAAACACTAAAGACTTTGAAATTAACCTACAAGAGTTTATCAAAAAACTAGAAAAATATGCTGAGGAAAATTCACTCAAACTTTCAGCCGAAAAAACATCTCTTTTACACATAGGGCCTAAAAACCCTTTGCACACATACACACTCAATAATCAAAAGATAAAAACAGTCTCAAATCAAGATTCTATAAGAGACCTTGGCGTTTATTTTTCACACGATTTAAAATGGGAAAAGCACATCAAAATTATAACTAACAAAGCAAATCAAACAGCATTTACAATAATAAGAAATCTAAAAACTAATGATCCTAAAATATTACTCGAACTATATAAAATATACGTATTACCCATAATAGAATTTGCATCGCCCGTTTTCAATCCATATCTTAAAAAGGATATCGAACACCTTGAACAAATACAAAAAACTTATTTACGTATTATATACAATAGGTCAAATCCACGCACACCAATTCCAGAATATCAAGACCTTCTACAAATTTTTAAGGTAGACTCGCTACAAATTAGAAGACTCAAAACTGACTTTAAATTTTTCCACAAAATTTTACATGGTGAAGTAAAAATCGATCAAAAAGAAACATTTAAAATTACAAAAACTAATACAAGGGGAGACGAATATAAATTTTTTATTCCGGCAAGATCAAATCAAATCAGCCATAATTCCTTTTTTGTTAGGACAGCGCGGCTATACTCTCAGTTACCAATATCAATACGTAAATCAAATTCCAAAATATTCAAAACACTTCTTGATCAAATAGATCTCAACACATATTTATCACGCCCCACACCCGTAACATAATACAATCACATATATTTGTTGTACCAATTATTGACATATATTTGTTTTAGTTTAATTTTCAACTTGACTTAATTTATTTTTTCAATCCATATATGTATTTTCAAATTTGTAATGTCGCCCAAGAGGCAAATAAATAAATAAATAAATAAATAAATTGATAATTATGAGAAAATTGTAAAAGGAGATAAAGAATTGGATAAAGGAAAAGAGAAAGAAATTGGTGAAAGTAGCCAACGAAGAAAGGAAATTGAATTGGTTAGTTAATTAAAATTCTTGAATATTTTTGTTTAAAGCAAAAACAAAAATTTAGAAAAATTTATTCTTAAATTTTCAAAATATTTTTTAAATTTGAATAATTAATTTAAATATTTCCAAATAAAGGAAAGTGGCAGCAACGGAGCAATAAATATTTCAAGTTTATCAGCAATTCTTTATTGTTTAACAAATAAATTTTTGGAAATGTTTAATGAAGATGGAGTTGTTAATATGGATATTTTATTACAAAATATTTCAAATACAAATTTGATAGAATATGGAATGGAAATGAATGAAAAATTGGGAAAGAAAAGAGTTGATAAAATGTACTACTTTGTTTTTAATTAGAAATTAAAACTTTATGATGGGATTCGATATTACGGGGCGGAGATCTATTTTACGGGGAATGGGGGTTGAGGGGAATTCGTGTTAGAGGAACAGGAAGAAGCCTCCCTTCCCACCGGGAAATGAAATTCCGCAGGAACGATTCCTCCTCTCATACATACTTTATAAATAATTTAGAATTTTTATTATTACTATTAAAATATTTAACCAAAAATCTTTTAAAAAAAGTAATTTCTAGGGGATTCTTAGATTTTTAGTATTTTGTTTTAATTATCATATATAAAATTTATTAAAATTTCAAAAGGTATTATGAACATGTTCTCAAAATTTATTTAAATAATTTGAACTTGAAAAATAAAGAGGAGGATTTTGAAAAGAATTTTAAAAATAATTTAAACAATTATTGTTATATTGATAAGAAAATTTTGGAATTTGAGAGACCTGAGGAGTGGGCAGTTAATTATTGTAAGTAGTAATGCATTTATAATTTAAAATAAAAATATTTTTAATTAAAAAAGATGATGAAATTGGAATGCAAAAAGACGGTTTTCGGTTGGAATATTTAGAAGTGATTGGGATTGATAAAATTACTAGCAAACGAAAAGAAGAAATTTTTGAGGAAATTTGTAAGTAAAATCTTTAAATAAATAAGTTTTTGAGTAAATAAATTCATTTTTAATATAATTAAGTACACAATTCCAAACTTCACAAAGTCACATTCACTGAAGCAAATAAATTACTTGAATCGGAAATTAAAAGTAAAATTTTAACGGAAACAGGATTACAATATCCAAATGAAATTCAATCTGGAATGGAAATAAATATAAATCAACAAGAAAGCCGACCAAACAATTATTCTGAAATTGTTAAATTTGAATTAAACAAAGTAAGGTTTTAATTCAAATATGGGAAATATTTATACTAGGGAGTAATGCCTGGAAATTTCGATTTTGCTCGTACTCGTCGCTTTTTCGATTCATTCTCGCAATTGCTCGTACTTACTAAGCACTAGTAATAATTTTAGTACGAGCCAAATTCATAATATTTTCACTAATATTAAGAACAGTTATAATTTTATGAAAAACATTAAATATAATAAAAATAAATTTCAGATCAAGGAAATATTTAAAAAACAAAAAGAAGAGAAGGAAATGGATAAAATTAAAAGATTAACAAAAGACTTGAGATATATTAATTCTGAATACTTCCAACAATTTGAATGGAAGATTAAATTAAAAACAGAATGTCAAAAATGTTCAGATTTTATTTTAATTGAAAAAATATTTGGATTTGAAAAAACCAATCTTGATTTAAATGAAAAGGAGAAATGTAAATTTGTAATTGAATATTCAGAAAATGATTTAGTAAAGGATTTAAAATTAAATAAAAATTCAGAAGAAGCCAAACAAATTGAGGAAATATTTAAATTATTAAAATTAGTTAAATCACTTTTAACTGAGCAACATAAAAATTTAAATAAATTGTTTGAGAATTTAAATAAAGCAATTAATTTAATTGACAATACAAATCCAATGATTGCTTATTTTAATGAATTAAAGGAAATTGAGGAAAATGCAAAGTTTAGGGCTGCACGTATTTTACAGTTTTGGAAAGGGCCTAGAAAAGTAATTTTTGATGAAAAAGAAATTAAACGACAAGACGAGATTGTTGAAGAAATGGAGAAATTAATTGAAGACGAAGAGAATATTAAAGAATTTGATGAACGATTGAAAAATAAATTTGATTTTTTGGTGAAAAATTGGGAAAAAATATTTTTATCCATTAAAGTACAAAATGAAGGAATTTTTGAAGAAGAAGAAAAAAATATTTTTTACAAGCAAATAGTGCCTGAAAGTGGGGAAATTAAAAAGAAATTTGAAAAGTCTGGTCCTCTTTTTGTTGGATATTGTTTAACTAAAAGAATTGAAAATTCATTCAATAAAGATGGAACTGTGAAATTTTCTCAATTTTTGAGTAATGGTGTTGGACAGGAATATGGATGGGAATTGAAAGAAGTTTTGGGGCAAAAACGCATTGATATTGGGTAAATTAATTAATAAAATTTTATTAAATATACAGTGGAATGCTTGTAAAAGGATACCTCGAAGATATTTCAAAAAATCGCTATCTCGATTATCGAGATTTTTGTTCAATCTGGTCTTTACTTCTAACACGTTTCCTCAATTACAAGTCACATTTGTTTTTGTGGATTCCTTTATATATTTATTTTTAATACTAAATGTTTTCTATTTGTTAAATTAAACTTTTATTATTTTTAGACATTACGAGAATATACAAAAACAAATTAAAGAAAAATTAGAAAATGTGTGTGAGGAAATTTTCAAAAATAAATGTGAATTATTTTTGGAACATGAATTACAATATTGGCATTCTTTTTGTTCTATTGATACAGAACATTTACGTTTTGAACATTTTGAAGAAATGAATGTTGTTACTAATGGTTATCAAAACAAAAAAGAAGATGAAAACAAAGATTCTTTTGAGGAAATAACTTTTGATGAATTTGGAGATGATAGTAAATTCGAAGGAGAAATTGAAGAATTGAAATATTGAGAAGAGAAAAAGAGTAAAAGAAGAATGTACAAATTACTATTGGTAGTTGGGAAAAAATTTTTCTAAAGTAAAATTTAAGAAAATGTAAGAAAAAATTCATCCGTTTAATTGGATGCTGAAATCGTTAACCGTAAGCATCCCTTTTTAAATTTATTTATTTGGTATTATTTTTAATTTTATTTAAAATTCCTCATTTATTGGTAAAGGTTGTCGCTAAAAAAAGATTTTTAAAATTATTTAAATGTTCACCTGTATTTATTTTAATAGTTCAAAACCGGGGTTCAAACCAAAAATTTTCCAATTCTTTTTGCCAAATCTGTACCGAACATTATAAAAATCAAACGAAAATGTAACCAAAGTTGATTTATAACCCTCTCCGTCAAAATAAATCGCAAATCCATAGCCGACTTGTAAAGATTCAACAAAGTTGGGTGTCCTTTTAATGCGGTTTTGAACTATCTACAATATATTATCCATAAAATACTCGTTTTTTAAAATTATATTCGTAAAGATTTGTAAGATATAATTGAATTGAATTCTAAAACAAAAGGCATTTAAATATATTTTAGTTATTAAAATGTAAAATTGAGGTTATTCAATTCAATTATAACATAAAAATTTTTGTTATGTTCACAGAAAAGTGCCGAGTAAAATAGAACAATTTTGATACATTCAAATACTTTTTTTTTAAAATTTATTCAAGATCGAAAAAACACGGCACTATTCATAACATTTTTTAAATATATGTATATTCATGTTTGGACAATATATTTTAGATAAACTCCTCGGCTTTCGCGAAATTATACTTGTCTATGCATGGATATATATACATTATATACATACACATATATTCACAAGCTGTAGTTATTTTATGCAAATTTGTAGTCGCATAAAATTTTTAAATTCTTTTAATAATTTTTGTGTTGAGTTTATAAAGATTAATTCTTTCGATTAATCTGCGATTTGGCCATCCATCTTCCAAAATACCTTATTCTCTTTGGTAAACCGAAATTTGAGGAACCATAATGTATAAAAATAAAAATTTTGATAAACCTCCATTTTACTTATAATTAAAAAATCGACAATTTAAATTCACAGGCTTAAAAAGAAACGGGCTTAGACGTCTAAACATGAATCGGGCCAGAATGATTTTTGAAAAATTCAAAAATCATAAACGAAAATCAAAAGAAAGCCTTTAGTGCTTAGATAGCTTTTATAGTAGGAATTGGGTAAATGTCCAGCTCGCATTCTACCTTCTGCAAATGCTGTCCGCAAAGGCATTCCGTAAAAAGCATTTTTGCAGCATTCTCCTCCTTTTCTTCTCTCCCCTCATTTTCTTTAAGTTTCCAACTGATTGGTTGACAGCTTGGCGTAATTTTTTGTGGCGTTATTCGTGAAAAAGATTTAATTTACAAATAATTAAATAAAGATTTACAAAAATATAAATTAGCGATAAAGTGATAAAAAAAACTCCGCGGCAAATTGTTTGTAAAAATTTTGAGAAAATTGGTGACCTATAATCCAGACTTTCTTCTGTATTAATATGTACGGTTATTCTGGATATTTTGTGGTATTCGCGGATATTACATATCCGTATCTATGAACATGTCTGGTTTTTAATATTACATCAAGTACACCCAGCCTAGTTAAAGATTTCCCTGATTTACATCTCCATCGCTAATTTATATTTTTGTAAATTTTTATTTAATTATTTGTAAATTAAATCTTTTTCACGAATAACGCCACAAAAAATTACGCCAAGCTGTCAACCAATCAGTTGGAAACTTAAAGAAAATGAGGGGAGAGAAGAAAAGAAGGAGAATGCTGCAAAAATGCTTTTTACAGAATGCCTTTGCGGACAGCATTTGCAGAAGGTAGAATGCAAGCTGGACATTTACCTAGGAATTGTTTTTAGATGTTAAGTTATTTGGAATCCAATCTGAATAAATAATTCGAGGGCCCATGATTCTTAGGTTTGATATTCCCTAAAAGTTATAATCGCTAACAAATAAATGCGAAAAACAAAAAATGTTGTAATTGTTTGTTGTAATTAGACTTAATATTTCCAATTGAAAAAAGATTAGAAGCTAATCAAGATACATTTCGCTATGATTTACTATTTTTATTCTGAAGTCAGATATATTTCGAAACGAAAATACTTGAAATTAACATGAATTTACATGAGATTTAAAAATAGAAAATAATTTTAAAAAATTTTTGTTTTATATTTCTTGGTAAAAAATTTGTTTTAATAATTTACCATCAATACTAAATAATATTTATTTCTAGTAGTTTCATAAATATTTTTATAAAATTGTCAACTCATAGTTTTTTTAAAATTATATTCAATTTAAATTATATTTTTTGTTCAGACAAAAAGATCACCAAAATAAATTAGAACCAAAATAATCCAGTTGATATGTTATTTTATATACAAATTTAATTCAATTATTTAGACAGGTTTTTTTAAATTTTATTTATCTATTTTTAATTTATGTTTATAAGTATAAAACATAAGACTTTACATTTTTTCTTTATTTTACGACAATTTTTTGATTAAATTTTACAAAATACAAACTATAAAATTTTCATTAAAAGTTAATCAATTAGACAAACAGATAAATTATTAACAAAAAGAATTTAGAAAATATTTTATTTTATAGAGCAGTGATACTGCATCTTTTTTAGAATTTGAGTGTTTTAAATAAAAAATATTATTTATAAGTTTTTTCTCGAAAATTGGGTATTCCCGACGTTTCTCTGCTCGGCAATGCAAATTCCCAAAATCGAGAATTTATTTTTTATGTTGATAGGAATCATAAAGTAACATAATGCGTATGAGTAAAATATTATTAAAATAATATTTAGAATTCTAGCTGTAATAGCAATATTAATTAAAATATTTTAAATAAAAATTATTATTATTTCAAGTTTAAAAAATAAGTAATAACAACAAATGATTTCTCTATTTTTTATTTTATTTAATTTTTTCGTTTGTTTTATATTATTTTACAATTTTTACTTTAAAAGGCGTAATTTACCTCCTGGTAAGTTAATTAAATAATTTTTATTAATTTTCAAAAAAACATTTTTTTCTGGTCCAACCCCTCTTCCTTTAATTGGCAATTTATTAAGTTTTAACAAAGAAATGCCAGAAAAATGTTTTTTACGTTGGAGGCATAAATATGGAAATATATTTACAATTTGGTTAGGGGAACAACCAACTGTTTGTGTAGCTGAATATAATAAAATAATAGAAACATTTCAAAAAGATGGAGAAACATATTCTGGACGTTTTAGATTTGAGGACTTTAATAAACTTGTTAAAGGTAATTATTTGAGATTTTTAATTGAGAAGGAAATATTTAAAAAAAGCTGCGGACACAACTTGTGTCTGAAAGTAATATATGTACTAATAATTATTATTAGGAATAAGTTGTGGTTTAGTAATGACTGATGGAGAACTTTGGCGAGGGCAGAGACGTTTTGCTTTGCAAATATTTAGAGATTTTGGACTTGGAAAGAATTTAATGCAAGATAAAGTTATTATTAAAATATAAAATTGAGGAATTAGTTAGCATAAATTTCAAAAACGTCATAAGAATGGAATTTATAAGACTAACAATAAGGCTAAATTTGTACCAATGACAATTTTACAGTTTTCATTTTTCTGGATAACTTTAGTCACCAAAAATTTTCTGCAAATTCTAACTCTCCAACGTCTCTAATAAATTATTTATTTAGATTTTGAGTGAATTAGAATTATTATTTGGGAGAATAGAAGAAGAAATAAAACAAGAAAATGATGTTGATTTTGGTGAAAATATTGATATAAGTGTTGGTTCTATTATTAACAATTTTCTTTTTGGATATAGATTTGATAATGTAAAGTTTTTGGAATTTTTTGTTAACATAAAAATTAATTTTTAGGAGAGGCTAGGAGAATTTCGTCAACTTAAAAAATTGATGGATAGCACGCTAGATATACAATTTCATCCAATTATTGTTTTAATACAATCATGGCCATCCCTACGACATTTACCTTTTTTTAATTCGTATTTTAAATATTTCAAAGAAATAAATAATCAATTTTTTGATTTTCACGAAAAACAAATTAACGAACATTTAAATTCAATTATTTCACCGCCAACAGATTTCGTAGAAGCTTTTTTGTTAGAAAAACAGCAGAGAGATTCAATTGGAGCGCCTCATTATTTTACGTAATTTTTGAATTTTTGAGAGAGAGGCTCTGCTAATTTAAAATAATTAAAAAAAATAGAATTGAGCAATTGGTAGCCGTTGTTGGCGATCTTTGGTTTGCCGGTCAGGAAACAACGAGTACCACATTAAATTGGGGAATTGCTTTTTTAATTAATTATCCAAATGTTCAAAACAAAGTACAGGCAGAATTAGACTCAATTATTGGAGATTTTGATAGAATTATTACAACGGCAGATAGGCCATCATTGCCATATTTAAATGCTTTAATTAATGTTAATTTTAATATGTAGTTTTTAGGGTATAGGAAGAAATAGGAAGATAGTAGGAAGTAGGAATAGAAGTATGAAAAAATGGGGACTATTGAAAATCAGAATATCTATTCGGAAATTTAAACTAGCATAAAATTGGAAATTTTAAAGAATTTTCGGAAGCTCGACCATTGTTAACATTAAATTTTGCAACATTACAAATTTCCTTATTGTAACATTGTATTAACCTCATATTTAACAGTAATAAGCATTAATTAAACTTTTATTTGTTACAGGAAGTCCAACGAATGTCAAATTTACTTCCTTTAAATTTACCCCACACATTGACCAAGGATGTTAAAATTGATGGATATTATTTTCCAAAAGATACAATCATTATTCCACAAATTTCAGCTATTTTGGCAGATGGGGAAATTTTTGAAAAGCCTGAAGAATTTAATCCGGAACGTTTTTTAGATGAAAATGGAAAATTAAAAAAAGTTGATGAATTAATTCCCTTTTCGATTGGAAAAAGGTTTTTTCTTTAAAAAATTTTTTGTTCACCTAAAACCTTTAAATTTAGGCAATGTTTGGGAGAATCACTTGCAAGAATGGAATTGTTCTTATTTTTAGGAAATTTATTAAATAAATATAAATTTATGCCTGGAAATGATGGAATTCCTTCATTAAAGCGCATTAATGGGGGAACAGCTAGATGTATTAAATATAAATGCCGGATTATAAAACGAGAATAATATTGTTATATTTATAATTTGTTTTATACATCAAAGAAATTTTGATTAACATACCTAATCATTATAGTTTTTAAAAATTTGGCAGGTCATTGGGGGCCGACTAAATTATCGTGAGACTATTAAAGTTTTATAGATATTTAAAAATTATTTAAAAAATATATGCCGAATATAATTAATAAAATAAAAATTTTTGCCAATTTTGGCGCAATTTCTCCATTAGTTTTTGTAACATTTATTGTTTTGTTTGCATAAATTCCTCCAAGTTGTTGTACATCCAAATCATTAAGTAAAAACTTTCGACCGTCAAAATTGTTACAAAATTTTGATTGACAACAACGAGTACCTAAATTAATTGAATAAATAAATTAATTAGATACATGTTCTAGAAAATATTCCATATCCACTTTCCATGCATCCAGGCCGACACCGTTCTGTGCAGTCTCGGCGCATATCAGTAAAAAAACCATTTAAGGAAGTAACGCTCGTCTAAATTATTTTAGTAAATTATTAGGCTCTCGAAAATAAACGCAGTGGAGGTTGGGATTAGTACTACATAACCCTTGGTCTTGTATTGTGTTTTAGCTTACTCAGCTACGTTTGATTTCAGGTGAATACTTTTTTCTGGTGGAAAAGTTTTTGTACTACTTACTGCGCTTTTTCTCTTACTTAGCTTACTCTCGGCAAACATTATCTATTAAAAATGCTTTTTTAAACTCGAAAAGGAACTCGAAAAAGTTTAAAACTTTTTATAGAAAACCTCAAAATTAATTCATTTTAAAAATTTATTTTTTCTCTTTCATAATTTCACTTTTATGTAATAGAGATATTCCACTTATTTTTTATTAAGAAATTGGGTACAGCCGGTTAGCCTTCCCGGAAATTAATAAATTTGGCTGCGGTCACGACTGCCTTATATTTATTTATTTTTTCATTGAGGAGCCTCTCAATTTCAATTTTGGTTATTTTTAATTTATTTAAGCAATTCCTCCTTTATTTGCCTTCAATTGAGCAATTTATTCATTTTTGGATATGAATTTCTCTTTGGCTACAATTACCCAATTTATTTTATTTATTTCCGAATTTGCATAATATCTGTTCTTGAAAAAGAGGAAAAGGCGTGAAAATAAATGCGCGAAGCACTACCTTCTAGATTAAAAATCTTCTAAACAACCCGATTTATTTTTGAGTTCGTTGCGCAAGGGATAATACTTTCTTAAATAATATTTGCCAGAGTGTTTTATGTATTTAATCAAAGAAACAACTTTGTATTCCTGTTAATTTTTCTTAAGTTTTATTATAAAAAATAATAAATAGAATTTAGATACTCTATAAAAATTTTTGATTTTATTTCAAAATTTTCTGTCATATCTATTAATAATTTTAATCTATTTATAAGCCAAATATTAGATTATACTTTTTAAAAATATCGTAAAAAATATATTCTATTAGTACATACATATTTTTATTTTTTTTTCGTTTCCTTCTCCTACCGTTTCTCAACAAATATCATTTCCCCATTCCATCATTATTTTTTATTTAAAAAACTCCAAAAATCCTTAACATCTTTAAGTAGTATTTATCCATTCAATCACATTTTGGAGTTGATGTGTGGGCTAACAACAGGCTTGGACAACTTTTAGTAGTTTATTCTTTTACTATTTTATTTTTCCTTTTCCTAAGGGAATTGTCATCATTGCGGGAAAATTTGGTGTTTTATAGGAGAGAATAATGTAAATATTTAACAAAATGTTTTTTTGTTTAAATAAAAAATTTGTTTGACGTTTCTTCTTGAATCAAGTAGACAATTTTGTTAAATTTTTTTAAAACATTTAAAATAATGGATTATTTAAATATTTAAGTACAGAAAAAATCCTTTTCTTAAACTAAAAAAACTATTCGAAATTTATTGAAAATTGGACCAATTTAAATTTAATAAAACTATTGAATAATTAATTTACAATTCATTAAAACCTATTGAAATATAAAAAACTGGAGGAGCACGCTCAGTCATGATAAAAATTCAGTTATAAAAATAATAACTTTCCGAAAAAGCTCATCGAAACGAATTGAATTATATCAAATCCAAAGAAATTTATAACTTAATTGAATAAAATTTTAAAAAATTAACGGTGATTGTTACCCGAAATATAAATCTGTTTCCAAAATTTTAGTGTTTGGAATAATTTTGTCTTCAAAAGATTATAAAAATTCAAAAAAAAATTAAAAACTTTATTTATATATTCCCTCCCTATCTCTTCCTTATACCTACCTACTTATTTCAACTCAATCCCTTAGAGACCGATCCGTTAAATGTTTTAACCAATAATCTGCCAAATTTTACCCTTTTATTATTCCCCAATTTTCCCTCATTTAGGACTTTTTACATATCCATTTAAATATATAAAAAAAGAAATATAGGGGAGAAGGCGTTTCTCATTTTTCTTAGTTTATCTTTCCTATTGGATTACTATATATTTGAATAAAAACAATAGAGGATAATTTTTAAATATTTTAAAAATTTAATTCTTTAGAAAAAAATTTTAAGTCGTAAAATAGTATTTTAAAATTCTACATATTTAAAAATTAAAAAATAAATTTGAAATCTTTCAAAAAATCTGACCAGCATTTAAATAAAATTATATACACCTCAATAAAATGTTTTAAAGAATAGACATATCAATAAGTTTCGATTCTACCTCGATTCCCCCTACTTAGCCCTTCAATTTTAAATCAGATTTCTAACCTCAAGAAATCTTAAAATCTTTATTAAAATTAAGTAATATTTAGAAAAGATTAAATGATTTATATATTGCTTTTCCCCAAAAATCTAAAAATTTTAGGCGAATTACTCCTCGGTCATTGTTAGTTTAAACAACCTTAAATATTAATCCTTTTACTACAAATTTTGGGAAGCAAAGAATTGTGTCGACATTTATTTTTAAGTAATCAAAGGCCACTTTTAAATATTTATGTATTATTAATTTCCATGAATATTTTGCCCATTTGTTTTTTAAGGATTAATTTTGTAAACAATCGAGTTGTTTATTATTAAGCAAAAAATAGGTATATAAATATTAAGAAAGTTATTCTTATATTTTTTTATTTAAGAAACAGTTTCATTTATTACATATTTACTTAAAACTAAATTTAATTTTCTAATTTAATTTAATAGTCATATAGACCAATTTGGTAGATAAACTGTTTTCATTTATCTATTTTTATTCTGTTTTTAATAAAAATTTAAATAAAAAATCTCCCAGTTAAATTCGAGCTTCTCAATTTTAACCAAATTACCCATTCTATTAATTAGCTAATAATTCCCCCCACTTCACTCCTAACATTAAAATCTATCTACCAGGGATGGATAATTTTTAATTTTGAAAAAGCTGAAGACGGAAGCAAATAAAATTCCATCCTTCTATCTGCTATCAACAATTTTTTAAATTTTTAATAGAAATCTTTAACAAAAAGATATGGATATTCAATCAGATTCAATCCAACCATCAGAACAATTAACCAAGGACCAAACAGAAGAAGAACAACAAAATACTTCAATAGCTGCCACAATATTACAAATGGCTGCAAATAATGTTTTCAATTTAGCAATGCCTTCAATGGAAAATTTAACAAATTCAATGATTAATCCCGTATTTTTGGCTATGCTTTCAGCATTAAATAGTTAATAATATTTTTATTCAATTTTTAAAAATTAATTTTAGATTCTGATAACAATATTTCTCTTCCTTCTTTTATTCAAAATAATGAGGAAGAAGAAACTAATTTATTGTCCTCACTAAACATTCCTACAGTAAATGAAACAGAAAATTGTGCAACAACCTCTTCCCCTACAAAAATTGAAGAAACCAACAAAGATAACGACAAAAAAAGCCCTAGCAATTCACCCAAACAAGATTTACAAATTTTCAATAATTCGAGTTCAAATTCTCCTAAACTTGACTTTTCTTGTTTATCTGAACAAGTATGTCTTTTTATAGAAATTAAATAGTTCATTCTCGACATAATTACAATTATTTACTCTTTAATTTTTCCACCAAAATTTTTTTAATTTTCTTTTCTAGTTTCAAAACCAACAACAAGAACAACCATCAGCATCTACTTCATTTTTTTGTTCGCCTCAATTACAATTTCTTCAATTATTCCAAGCAAACCAACTTTCCCTCCAAAATGATCTAAACAACCCCGAAATTTCAGAAGCCCCTATAATTGAAGAAAATCAACAAATTAATTTAAATTCGAGTTGTTTTGGAAATAAAATTAAAAGTTTAAATAAAATTTTCTAAGAAAAGAGAACAGCCGGAATTGATCCCAATTTTTGTGGAACAAAGCGAAGAAGGACTAGAACAAACTTTTCGAATTGGCAATTAAATGAGTTAGAAAATGCTTTTGAATCTGGACATTATCCTGATGTGAGAGGGATTTTAACTTTGAAATTGTAAAGAGTAAAATTAGGGGTTGTCTTTATAATACATAGAAAAATTAAATAGAATCACGTTTTAGATAATTTAGTTATGAAAATATAATCTGTGGCATTTCACTATTTAAAAATCTAGCAAGTAATTAAATCTTTAAGAGCATAATTGTGTTTTTAGCCTAACTACACCTTCCATTAATGATATATTTTGTCTTTCAGGTATTTATGCGTGAGGCATTAGCCCTTCGTTTGGATTTGCTCGAATCAAGAGTTCAAGTCAGTTATTTTAAATTTAATTAAAAAATTTAATTTATAATTTAATTAATCATAATCGATTAAATCTTTAAAAAATACCAAAAAAATTTCCCACCATTTTTCCCTTGGCAATTGGGGGGAATGAATGATGATGGGCACAAATTCATTGCAAATTCATTTTGACGCTTCCACCCTCCCCCCATCCCTCCTTCCAAAAAAATATATTAATAGATTCCTTGGATGAGGAGGGCATCGCGCCAATAAAAATAAAAAGGGAAGGGAAGGGGGGAATTAAATAATATATTATATTATAACCACCACAAAAAACCTTCCCCCCAAAATTTTGCCTTTTTAATGGCTTTTTGAGGGTGAAAATGTTAAATAGCTAAAAGATGAAAAGATAAGAAAATTTGGAAGAAATTTAAGAATTAAATAAATGAAATGAGCCTTTAAAAAGTCTCAAAATAATAGAAAAAGAATTCATTTAAAAATAATAAAAGACCGAAAAGAGGACAATAAATAAATTTATTTTTGGGTATAATAAAGACGAGAATAATTTAAATAGAATAATTTAGAAGGATTTTTATTTAATTTTATAGTGTTTGTAAATAAACACTAAATATCAAAAATATAAAATACCAGTTTTCGGGTCAGTTAAATACTGGGGAAAATCGAATAATTAATTATTTAATTAAAATCTCATAATTAAGTTTAGTTAAAATCTTGATTTTTCTGACTTTTAAAATTAATTTAAAACGAGAATTCGATTTAAGAAAATTAATAAAGACTTAAAAATAAATTTTAAAAAATTTAAAAAATTTTAAAAATTCAACATTAGCCTTATCAATTAAAATATTGTATATTTTTAGGTTTGGTTCCAAAACAGAAGGCAAGTTATAATTTTATTTTTAATTTTATTTCATTGTCAAGTAAAGCAAAAAAAATTAAAATAATATTTAAATATTATTTTAATTTTTGAATATAAAATTTTTTTGTTAAGGGCAAAATGGCGTAAAAAGGAGAATAATAATTGTTCAAGCAGCAGCCAATTTGGCTCTCCTAGAAAAGATGAATTTAAAGAAAATACTTCTGATAATATTGGAGAAGATAAATTAGAAAATTTTGAAGAAAATGAAGGGAAAGACGAAGAAAATCAAAATAACAACGAAGTAGGGGAATCTTCTACAAATTCTTTCACTAAACAAGCTGCTAAAAGCTCAACATTTTCTGTTGAATCATTGTTGGCTGCTTCTAGGCAAGAAAAAAATTTTTTTTCAAATTAGACCCTTTACTATATTTTGAAGAGACTTCCTTATATTATCTTCCCCTAAAAGTCAAAAATATCCTCTGTAAATTAGTCACTCTTCCAGAGTGATTTACGCAATTATTTGTCCAGATAAAGGATTATTATTCACAAAAAATTATATTTACTTTTACAGAGTGCCACGGGGCCGTCGACCCAACACAAAATATCCACGTGTACAGGCTTGTAAAAGTATCGCCCCATATATGTTTCCTCTATTTCCTATTACGCAACCGTCTGGACAGACAATTAGACAACCGGGGACAGAACAACAGTGAAAAACAAAAATTTAAAAAAGAAAAGATTAAAAATATATATTAAAATATTTGGATTATTTTTATTTTAATATTTACTATATATTTTATAATATTTATGTCTCTTTTTGGGAAATTATTTACCCCTACGCAGTTTATCTCATTATATTTTTAATAAATAAAACAGTTCATTTAATTCTATTTTCTTGATCATTCTTTTATTATTTAAATAAAAACTTATTCTTAATAAACATAAGGTAACAGAGGTTAACTTAGTCTTGTGTCTCGTATCTCGTGAAATCTCGTGTTTTAGAGGTGTCGTATCTCGTGTCTCGCATCTCGTATTTTGCCACGAGACAAGAGATATTTCCAATCTATTTAAAAAAATGTCAAAAGGTTTGGACTACATATTCTAAGAAAGAAGCCGGAGTGGCTTTCTGTAAAAATTGTAAAATTCTCAAAATTTTCGCCTGCGACCTCACTTTCTAACCTCACTTTCTTCTAAATTTAGAATTAAATGTTTTGCCTATAAAAAATTCAGAAATCTTTTATATGTAGGTATAATTCTACAATTATTAAAATAATCATATGTATATTATCATTGTTTCAGAATTGCTATTATTTTCAGAATTTCTGTAAAAAATTCAAAGAACTAATAAAACAAAAAAATGTCATTCTAATGAAAAAAATACTTCCTACGGAAAAGGATTAATGTAATATAAATCACTTCAGAAATATTTTTTTCAATTAAGAATGATAACATTAATTTACGTAAATAAATATATTTATTTAAATATAATCCATTTTATTAATAATTATTAAAAGAAATTGTCCTTTAAAAAGGCGGAAATATTTTTAACAAATGGGAACGGAAACGGAATTTGGAAAATATTAATAAAGCAAAGAATATATTTATGTAATCATTTTCTTAAAAATATTTTTGCTTTATAAATTTAATAAAAAATTGTTTTTATAAATTTTTCTTTTTAATTAATTTTTAAATAATTTTAGAGAATTTAAGAAATTAAACAGTTCTTAAAGTTACTCAATTATTCCTTTATTTTCGAATTTATGCGGGTTTTGCTAAGTTTTTGTCATTTTTGCCCCCTTTTCCTCACATTTATTTTTTCAACCTTATTTGTAGAAAAAATTTTTGCCAAAAACAAAAAAATAAATTGAAATTCGGTATTTTCTCCTTTAGAATCTTCCAAAAGCTCGAAACCTATTTAGGAACATTTTATTAATTTAGAGAGCTTTATTTAATTTACCTATATTTTTAAAAATTAAAAAATTAACCCACCGAACAAAAATGTTCTGCTGGGGTACATATTCTTCTAAATTGGCTTTTGTTAACAAAAAGCTGATAGCTTAAACATCTAAAATTATTCTAATTATTTAAGAAGTTTAAAACGTTTTTTTAAATATTTTTTGAAATTATTAGCTAATAAATTTTATTTTATACAGACTAAAAATTGTTTTATAAATTAAAACATACTCAGGATGTTGATCCAATCGACTGAGAATGTCCCGTTCCCTAAATATGTTAATTTTGTTGATAGTTAGAATCAATTAAATTTTAGTTAAGAAAGTACTAAAATTAATTTTGTAAGAATAAAGTAGCTGAACTAATATCAAAAAATTAAAAAAAGAGGGATTGGATCACTACTAAAATTCGTTCAAAACTTCCTATTTGCTTCTTAGATATGTAGGTAGTTTGGTATAAAATAATAACATTTCCCCTTTACTAAAATCCTTTTTTAAGGTCAAACACTTTTTACTCAAAGTTTTCTCAAAAACCTGCCAAAATAAAAGATTTTTTTCATTTAATTTTTCTAATCTTTGTTTAACTAAAATATAATTTTAATTTAATTTTACTTTTTAAATCTTTTTTTAAACATCCGTTAAATAATTAAATTATTTTTGGCAATCCAGGAGAATTGGGGTCCCTGCGGGAAAAAATCTTAAAAATAAGAAAAATGATTTTTCTAGGGTAAAAAAGTACACTGATTACGAATCTGAACTCAGATTTTGAAAAAGTCGAATCCGAACCCGAATATAGGTCCTCGAATATCGAAAACCCATAGGGGGGACCAAACTGATTTGGGGTGAAAAATTCGAATATGCAAATTATAACTCATTCGAAAGAGCTCTTCAAGCTGAGTCGAATGACACCAAAATTACCGTGATTGAACAAGATCGGACGAAGTTATAACACAAAAAAACAAACAACGTAGGCCTATGTTTTTTGTATCATAACTTCGCCTGATCTTGATCAATTGCGATGATTTTGATGTCATTCGACTCAGCTCGTCTAGCTCTTTCGAATGAGATATTATTTGACCAATTTACGCTCTGTTTATTTTTTCGAAATTTTTCCCAAAATGTCAAATATCCGAATTTCGGGTTCGGGATTCGACTTTTCCAAAATCCGAGTTCAGATTCGTAATCAGCATATTTTTTTACACTAGAAAAATCCTTTTTCTTATTTTTAGGATTTTTTTCCGCAGGGACCCCAATTCTCCTGGATTGCCTTATTTTTAACTTAATTTTTATTTATTTTATTAACACTTATTTTAATTTTAAAAAACTCATTAAATTAATTAAATTAAATCATTTTTGATTTAATTTTATAAAAAATAGTTGGTGTAGTTCATTCTCAATATTAAAATTTTATTTTATTTCCTTCTTAAATTTTATTTTTTTCCATTTTATTTTACTTTTTAATTATTAATTTTAAGTAATTCTTGTCTATTTAATATTATTTAATTTATTTAAAAATATTTTTTGAGCAAAAATAAAAAAATATTTTTAAAAAATATTGCAGAAAAAACAATTTTTTTCTTTAAATTTTGCAAAATAAAAAAATTCCTAAAATGATTTCTTTTATTTCCATACCTGTTAGAATGTCGACAAAAGAAACATTCGTTTGGATAATTTGTTAAATTGTTATTTATTTGTGTAGTTATATTTGGAAATAACTTTAATAATAATAATGTTGCAAATAACAGACATGATAAACTAACAATCATTTTTTTGAAAAAAAATTCTGCAAAATAAAATTTTTCTTTATTTTTTTCTAAAAAGCCAATTTTTCCTAAAATTATTTAACACCTTTTGTTTTACTATACTACTTACATATCTTTGTTCTCATTCAATAAGCTCGAAGAGCTATTTTTTAAAATTAGGGTTGCCGTTTTCGAGTTGGGCCGACGTTCGAGTCATTTTTTGGGCCTTATTTTTATCGGAGAGACCCAACAGAGTCTTTTTCGGGCCAAAATTCAAGGCCCGACTCAATCTTTCGGACCGGACCGGACCCTAATTAAATATAAACAATTAAAGTAAAATCTCGATTATACGTAAGAATCGTGGATGAGAAAGGAGAAAGTGTGCGAAGAAGTGGGGTTTACTTAAAATTGGAGGCATGCTTGAAAAAAAAGCTTCCTTAAAGCTTCTGCCTCTTAATGGTCAATTAAAAATTGTGCGTATAATAGGGAGTTTATGTAAATTTGGCTGGACGTCAATCGAGAGCTGACTGTAAACTAAAAAAAGCAAAAAACTATGAATGAAATATTAAATTATATATTTTTAAACCTTAAAAATTTAAAAATAATTCTAGGCACTAAAATATATTTTTATAAATAAAGACTACTAAAGTTTATTATAAAAAGCTAAAATAAACTTAAAAAAATTTTTAGCTTTTTATTCTGCAAATAAATTTAACAAGCACAGCTTGATATTATTTTTAATAATTCCACATTTTTTAAATAAATAAAATGGATTTTATGACATGTATAATTTCAAAGAACTTTTTTAATAAAAATTTTTTAATTTCTAAGAATTTAGGAGAAATTTTAAAAGATAAATTTTAAGTTTTATATAATTTTAACTACATATAACAAGTCAAAAAATTATATTAATTTTCTTAAATATTTCACAACAAATTAATTATTTTATCTTTTTGTTCCAATACTTTTAATTTTAGTTTATTTATTTCTCTTTATAGTCACTGATTTACAGTATATATTTAAAAAAATTTTTTTAGTTTAAATTTTTTATTAATAAATTTGCAAAAAATATATTTAAAAATAATTAGAATTTATTTTTATTTTATTTTTGTAGCCTTATTTTTAATTAATTGAGTGTGTAGAATGATGATATTTATATAAAAATAGCAATAATTAATTTTAAAAAATAACTAAATATTTTTTAATTGTTTTTTAATCTCTTTTTTATTTTTGACTAATTAATTACAATAAATATTTTAATTTTAAAAATACAAAAAAAATTTTTTGGAGAAATTTCTATTAAAATAAAACATTTTTTGTTTTTTAATTCTGTATAAAATAGGAGTTTGAGTTATATTTAAATGATGTTAAATTAAAATTAAATTATGAGTAATATGCATAAAATTTTTGGTTAGAAAATTAATTAAATTCTAAAATTTATTTAATTAACTTAGAAAAATTTATATGTTTACATTTATTTTTAAATCATTTTAAATGTTTACGGAAATTTTATTTTCTAAAAATACTAAAGATTGAAAAATGTTTTTAAACTAGGAAGTCTTATTAAGAAAATTATTTTTCATTTAGGTATTTAATTATAATTATCTTCTAGGATACAAGTGTATCGCAGATTCCTAAAGCTAACACATCAGTCCGTTAACTTCCAGCGCCTGATTTCTTTTCCATGACTGTGATCTCTACTTTACTCAAGAATTCGTGGAATCTATCATCTTAAATATCCCGCTAGATCTACATATAATCATAAATTAATAAAATATTGTCAGTCAACATCTGTTCTATTCTTCTATTTACCAAAAATAAATAAAAAAATTTTTTGTGCAAATCAAAAGATTTTTTAAATATTTCCTATAAATTATTAAAATTAAATAATTTATGTCTATTTTTAAATTTTTAAAAATTCTTTTTTAGATTTTTTTATTATTTTTTTTCACATGCAAAAAGAGGAAATATACTCCCTCAACTTCTAAATTTAGTTAAAAAAATTTTTTTTTGAAAAATGGAAACAATAAAAGCAATGACGACAA